GATTCTTTGTCATCCTCCATGTGGGGGCGCACTGCTTCAACTTACAGAACCTTTACAATGGAAGGAAGGCAACGAGTGAAGATGACTGGCTGGCTAACAGACTAAGCCAACCATCCTTTGATCTTAACCCCTTCAAGACTATCCGTTCGGTATGCAATCTGTTTAATATCATGTTCCAAATGGACACTACCAAAAACCATAGCAATACTGATCAAAGGAGACCGGTATCATTAGATACATGTACTATACAAATTGCTAGCTGGACGCTTCAAAATGCAGAAATATGCTTTTTAAAAGTTTAGAAGGAGGATAAAGTTTAGAGATCATAATATCTCGAAATAGTTTTCTTAGAAAATATCCACAGGAAAGTAGGAAGTACAGTGTCCTTGTAACGTTGCATATAAATGAAATGAATAGTTGGTGTAAAACATTTTCAAAACTTAAAAACAGAGCTCAACACTTCACTTAGAAATATTCATTAAAAAAAGAAGTGATGTTACAAATAATTGGGTCCTGGGGCATGTCACTCATAAATGCAAGTAGGCATTTAATTGCTATTTTTGCTATCGATCACAGTGTACAGTCAATTAATTGTATGATCAGTCAGTCAATCATACAATCAAATGATAAGCTTTGTGTTACCGGCTCTGCTTATGATAATGGTATCTTTACATATTTGAGGCTCAGTCTTAATTTCAGGAGGTCATTTGTCTTTGGCTTAGAAACTGTACTTGTATACCAGCGCTTATAAATCTTAATTATTATTATTATTATTATTATACCTACTATTGTTTTAGCCCTTCATTTTGTAATATTATTTACCAAGTTTTATGAAGTAATCAGAAAGTATGTTTTCTTTGCACAGAGTGATGTTAGTGGACTAGGAGTAATAGGACCAGGTCTATCTCTGCTAGCAGGTTGGACTGGAGCAGTACTGGCTTTGACTTATATTCTCATGTTCACCTCTGCTACAGAATTCATAAGGTGAGTCACTCAAGGAAAACAAGCATCAAAGTCTTGATAATGATCAAATCTGCGGCATAGTTGTCCCTCGTTTAAGGTAGCGATCAAATTATGTTCGGTTTTCAGTCTTGCATATTTAATTCTTCTCTATCAGCGCCATTGTTTAAAATATACGAATCCACTGAGTGCAACTATCGAAAGGTCCTTCAAAATAAAGTGGAACTTTGAAACTGCCCACCTGGTTTTACCAGAGTGCTGCAATAGTGGCTTTCCTGATTCAATTTATTGATTACACGCATACCTACACCACCGCTGCAAACTAAAATGTCTCCTGGAATATAAACCTGTACGTTAGAGTCCCTGTCTCGAATTGTTTAGGAGAAAGTACAGTGGCATGGCAAGGAGAAAATTATCATAGGCCATTTCCTAATTGGAATCATTACAAGGGTATAACTATATACTTGCCTATTGATGCTGCTTCCCCATTTTGGAGTTATTTTTCAAAGTACATTTTTTTGTATATTTGCTCATAGAAGGACCTTCTCAGTCCACACACATGTTAAACAGGCAATAATATGATGTAGCACTCAATGACAATTATTATTTTTCTTGATTTGTAGGAGATATTATTTTGAGACTTTCTGGCTAACTCATCACCTGTTTGTGATTTACTATGCAATGCTGATGACGCATGGCATGGGGTAAGTCTCTTTCCAATCAATACCATTTTTCTTTATTTTGCTCAATTTTCATTCTGAACCAGTAAAGGTTTCTCTTTTTCATACACATCATTTAGTATAATTGACATCAACTTCTGAAATTCTTAAATTTTGTTTGTAAATAGTACATATGATAATGAGTTTGTGTTATTGGGGATTTTGTTGCCTGATTGTTTGGAGGTTGCAAATTAACAAGGTTGTGATAAAAGTTTCCATTTATCTACCCATTTTTATTTGGACTATGCACAATTTTTGTTGATCATATTTTAATTTAATCATATTTTAGATTTTAGATTTTGCATTTGCCTCTTGAAACTACATTGACACCACTGCAGCAAAGCCCTGCATGAATAGGAAGAAGCACTGTTTCTAGATGATTAGAAATTAGTTGCAATAAACCCTCTATGTACTCAACGATCTTTATGTTACAAGGTAAAGAAACACGAAGTAAAGTGTGCTCTTCTCATTTAATTTTGCTGTGTCATTTTTAAGCACCTAAGTCCCCTCTAAAGTGTTGGCAGCCCTTAAAATGTACCATGTGAAAGAGGATGTCAAGAATTTTCAAAACGAATATTGATGAAAGAATACAAAAATTTTCTGCATACAACAGAAAACTCAAATTATATATTCTTTTATCAATACTTGTCTTCAAACACATTTTTTTGGGGGGGAAATCTTTGCTGAAGTGTGTCTTAAATGACATCCTCTTTCACATTATGATACAATTTAAGTGAAATTTCGCCAATATAATTTTGGTGAATTCAGGGCTCCCAACACTTTAGAGGGGCTTTATAAGCTTGATTTTTAATTGGGTCCTTTGCATTTTGATATAGTGGAGTTGTGAAGTACCAGACCAACGTTGATGAGCATGATCCTGTAGAATGCATGGTAGATGAAGAGACCTTTGATCAATGTGTGATTGATAACCCACCACTGTTTGCTGGTACACCGGGAGCTGTGAGTATAGATATGGTTTAGTGGTGTAATGATTCGGTTGTACCTGACTCCTATTAGAAAGCATGTGTACATGTGTGCTTGTAAGTTCAAGCAACCAGGGGACTGACGTCTTTATTAAAGTCCTCTCAGAGGGGATGAGCAAATCCGCTTGTTTCTTTACATTTGCCCTAAATGAACTTTCAGATCAAAATTTTGACTCAAAATGCATGGTTTCATTGATAAATTGGGCATAAAAATGTTTTACCGTACATACAGTATAAACTTCACAATAGATGTAGCTGTTTCTGGTTCTGGAAGAAAGATGTAGTCTTTCTTAGTCCAAACACTTGTTTTTTAATAAATTTCTTAGGCGGGATTTGCAATCCCTCATAGCATTGAAGGAGTCCATATCTTCATTTGTTGGGTAAATAACCTTTAAAGTATAACTTATACCAAAATACCAATATGTTGTTGTATAATGTTTTTGTCTTTTTGCAGAGTTGGAAGTGGTGTGTGACACCCCTCTGTGTGTACTTCCTGGAGAGAATCCTCAGGATGATCAGAACATGGCCAGATGTCACCATTGTTCAGGTAACTATGCATTATCACTTCATATATGCACAGATGTGTGGGGGTTTATGCATTTCGTTGCTGCGTCAATTCAACCGTGCGAGTTGTGATATGAAGTTTACGAGGTTGTCATTCTTTATCTTGTACGTCTTGGCACAAGGTCCCCATTGATGCTGTGATAACAACAATATAGATGATATCACTATAAATATGACGGACAAAGAAAGCGGACAAAATATACAGTTCCTGAGGTAGACAAAGGAACATCCCTTCACTGCCATTATGTAAAAAGGTGAATATGCATGTGACACCTGTTCTACACATTTTTACATAATAGCAGTGAAGGGATGATCCTTTGTCTACCTGAGGAACTGTATATTTTGTCCGCTTTCTTTGTCAGTCATATTCATAGTGTATTGTCCAAACACCACTGATTTATACTTTATGCAGAATTCTGTACTTGCCAATGGTGCAGACCTGTAAGGTTTTGTTAAAGCCTATCTGCACTAGTTTGGCCAGGGGGGATAAGACCTCCCTGCATCGTCACTGGCAGGTGGTTATCTCATCAAATCAGCTCTCAATTAACATAAGAAAAGGGGGATCAACAGGTTATGTTTAGGCATTGTTGGCTATATACATGTAGAGGGCACAAGTAGCTACAAGTAGTGCAGTCCCGCTTTAAGATTGATTTTTTGTTCACATGTAGAACTCTCCACAATAAATCTTCTCGCAAGAGTAGACGTTTAAACTTGAAAGTTTAGAAGTTGTGATGCTGATTGATGTGACACACGCCCTTGGTGATAATTGTTTGGCAGTCAAGTTCTAATGGTAGTCAACTTCTTACTTAATTCCTAGGGGTGTTTCACAAAGACACCAAGTTGAACTTATCTTTAAGTTGGACTTGAAAATTATGGAAAGCTGTTAGCATCTTTGAAAATATTTTGTTAAAAGACATAACATGTTGATTTAAGTCATTCATATTTTCTATTATCAAGGAGATTTCATGTACATAACTGGAGTGTTGGCTCATACCCTTTTCACATCTACCAAATATTGCTTAACCCCGGGAAATAGGTGGGGCTAAGGGGGCTCTTAGCCCCACCAATTCCTTCCTTAGCCCCACCAATTACCCGGGGTAATTTTAGCCGGCTTTCTGTTCACATTACGTTTTGCCAAAGTGGGCTAACCCCACAAATAGTACGGGACTATCTGGCCCTGCAAAATAGCAGGGTTAGCCGGGCAATTGCGGGGTTAGCCGGGCAATTGTGGTGCTAAGCTGCGTAGTGTGAATCCGAACCGGGCTAAGGAGAAGCGGGGCTAAGCAACGGCCAATCACAGACAGCGTGGTCGTGTGGTCGTGAATTTGCATTTATCGCGCGCTATGCATGCAGTTCACGTTACGCATGCATGCAGTTCACGTTACGCATGCATGCTCTCTGTATTGACGTTTAGTCTTTTACGAGGCAGAGGTCATTATGAAAAAATCTTTATTATAAAATTGATTTAAAAAAATAGTGAAAGAACATGTAGCTCATAATTTTTTATTGCATTTATCATTATCAGTCATATTTACGTAGGTAAATTTATCAAGTGAATTGGATGAAAAATGGGTAATTGATTTGTATCGGTAAAATAATAAAGGGAAAACGCTTTGCGCAAGGCTGGATAACACAACACATTCGGAGCCATGATTACTAGTATGCGTCGAGATCGAGATCGTTTACTACGTAGGCCTAGAACTACTTCCAATTCCGATCGATCGGAATTGAATTTATATTTATATTGAATTTAGCGCGCGGGTTTTTCCCCTTCATTTAGTCGAAAGGCGCATGCGCGGTAGCAAAAGCATTAATATTCATGAGCTATCGAATAGTCCGGGGCTAAGGCGAACGTAGTGTGAATCGCGTGAAATTTCTTAACCCCGGCTAAGCACATAGTCCGGGGTTAAGAAAATAGATGTGAACAGCAAAAAAAATAGTATGGGGTTAAGGATAGTATGGGGTTAAGGATAGTCCGGGGTTAAGAAAAATAGATGTGAAAAGGGTATCAGTCAGTAGAGCGTCCGCCTCACAACCGGGAGGTCGTGGGTTCGAACCCCGGACTCGTCATACCAAAAGACGTTAAAAGATGGGAGTTGTTGCTACCTTGTTTGGCGTTCAACAATAAGGGATAGAGCAACGTCGATCTGGCGCTGCTCAGTGGCTGCTGGGCTCACGATCAATTGGGCAAAAAGAATTTCCGTTTCGGTTAAATAAATTTTGGAGTGGACTATTAGGCTATTATTATTATAATTATTATTATTGGTTTGGAATTTAGAAAAGTCTAAAATACTTGAATATTTGCCATCCACAATGTCTAAGTCCAACTAAGAGTTAAGTTCCACTTAGGATATTTGTGAAACACCCCCTGTACCTAAATCATACCAAACTCAAACCTAACCTAAAGCCCAAACGTAGTCCAAGCTCTAAATGCTATCTTTGATGAAATAATGCATCTAGCAAATGTTTGATCACCATATTTCCAATGACACAGGTTGTTCAGCACCAATCTAAGGTGATAGAGTTGTGGATGAAGAAGCAAGGATTTAAGATGCTTCCAGGCCAGTATATCTTCCTCAAATGCTTACTTTCTTGACTGATTTATCTCCAATCACACAGGTTGTCCAGCACCAATCTAAGGTGATAGAGTTGCGGATGAAGAAGCAAGGATTTAAGATGCTTCCAGGCCAGTATATCTTCCTCAAATGCTCTCCCATCTCCAAGGTCCAGTGGCATCCTTTCACGTTGACATCGGTAAGCTCTGATTTTCAAGACTGTTGCCTTCTTAATTATATTCAGTGTTTCATTCTTGAGCTTTTGTATTGCACCTGTGAACTCACATCTTCCTTCAGACATTTAAATGCTAATTTTATTGGAGGAGCTCGCGCCTTTGAATGTTTTTGAAACAGATATATGGCGCCATACAAATGCTGTTCATCATCATCATCATCATCAACTCCATCCCACTGCATTATAGTAACAATAGTTGTAATAGTATATATATCTGTAAGGCACTTTGAAAGGGCCCTCCTGAAAAGCGCCATATAAGAAATAGTTATTATTATTATTATTATCACATACATCCATCATGGAAGGTGCTCAAGACACTTTAAACATATTCTAGTACCCAGACGCTTGCCAAGATTCCCTATATTTGGTGCTGAAAACATTCAAGTAATACCTTTCTACCAGGTACCCATTTACTAACTAAACCAGGTTTCATTGGTCCATGCATGCAAACATTGCCGGGTACATAGAAATTTGCTTCCAATGGCTTTTTTGACAGTGAACATACAAATGATAGAAAATACAATACAACATTCAACAATAGAAAACGATATACATGAATATGGATAATAATTTACCATGCGCCCCTCGATTTCATACTGTCTACGATTACCATGCAAGTGTAGATTAAGGTCTTGTGAAATGACTTGAGTGAATAGTGTTTGATAATGTTATCTTTTATCAATGCTTTGATTGGTAGGCCCCTGAAGAGGATTATTTCTCACTGCATATCAGAAGAGTAGGAGACTGGACAGATGAGCTAGCGGTCAAGATGGGAGCTGACCAAGCAGAACCACTGTCCATCACACAACTACCAAGGTAAGACAGGGGGCTCTAGCCTTGTCATTAGGTTGTGACATAGTGACAGTTCTGAATTCAATTCCATTTTGACCTTGATAGATTTAGCGGATAGGGAATTTACCATGAAATGTAAAGATTGAGGGGAAGACAATTGGTAGAGAAGGGGAAGAAGATTGCTCTGTATGTTGAGTTTGAAGAACTGGATAGAGGATAGCAGGGTAAAGGCCACTAGGTGAAACTGGTAAAGCTCAAACTGATAATTTTGTACGACCTGATCACTAAAAGCTGTACAGATTGCACTAAGAATGAGAGAGAGAGAGACAGAAAGTTAATCTATTAGGTGTAATGTAGAGATTCTAAATGTGTTTGCTGTTCTCTGCAGATTTTCTGTATATATTTTTTTGTTAAATGTTTTTTTAGATTATGGCAAATAAAAGTGAGATCCATCCTGAAAAACCTTCTACTAAATCAATTTACCTAATTACAACAGAAAGATATACTCCCCTGCTTTTTCTATATATGAGATCTTATGCAATACTTTTCCCTTAACATAATGATACGATAGGGTACAAATAGCTAACATGATTAATACACAGCTATTTAGTTTACCTAACATATCAAAATAATATAATTTTCCCCTCTCTACAGAGTTCAAGTTGATGGACCTTTTGGTACGTCTTGTACTGATATCTTTGACTATGATGTAGTGATGTGTGTTAGTGCTGGCATCGGTGTGACTCCATATGCCTCTACACTCAAGTCAATATGGTATGTGATACACTACTTAGTTTTTTAATATGTGACACTATTGGTCTAAGTATAGATGCACTGTCTAGTGAATGGGGGGATGATGGGAAAGTCATTTCTCCTTGTATCGATAGATAATTATGCATGTCTGTGTTACTGCATAACATTATTGGTCAGTAATTGTAAACATGACCTCAAAAGAGAAATAACAAATATAACCCCCTTCCCCTTGACCTTACATGGATAATAGATATGTCAGTGAATAATATCAATCTGTGAAAAATGCTTTGAAAACTAGCATGAAACATATGTGTACTTTGAAATCACATACTATACTATGTCAGAGTGATTTTTCTGGTGTCATCATTTTCAAAATTAAAAAATGAAAAGATCAAGTGGAATTCCAATTAATGAAACAGGTTTAATTGTTGCTATGTATTTATTGATTATACCCTAGTCAAATTAGTCCTACAATCTAGAATAACATCGGAATCAGACCTATAATAGACCAAACATGAAATCAGTCAGTTTTGTGTGGTTTTGAGTCTGTCTAATAGTGTAACCAAGATTATTCAAATTCAAGTTCTAGTTTTATTTCAATTCAAATCCGTAACAACACATGTAATGAGAGTATAAAATACAGATTATATAAATATAGAAAACAGAGAACACACACAAAATGGAAACATGTTTTCAAATATTCCAGATGGCAGAATTACAAAAAGTTAATAGAAATGAATTGGGGAAACTGCAAATAAAACTGTAAGGTTCTGTCGAGACAATCCTTGTTATTAAAAGATACATACAAGTTCCAACAGTTGCCTATACCAGATATAACAATAACAAAACAGTGTACAAAACATAGAAGACGTATTAAAATGCATATTACTATTGATTTAAAAATGATGAAGTATCTTTAAATTTTTGTTTTAAAGAGTTAAAGAAAGTAGAATCATGGATATCTCAAAGAGAATTCCAAATTGTTTGGCCAGTGTGTTTAAAACTAAATAAAGAACTTGTTGATGAACATTTGTCAATAAAATAATTATCAGTTATTACAGGTTGTTGTTAAAGTTGATACTCTAAGACAATCCCGAATACTGAGATAATTACATAAATAGAAAGCTTTAAACCCCCATAATAACACCAAATGGTGTCCACCCGACAAAACAAGTTTAGAATAATGAATTTATGCGAGTAAACTCTACCAAAATATCTAAGTCTGAAACCCGGAAGTGCACGTAGAGTCGGGCCTCTATCCGTGACGTCACGAACGGGACTCATGGGCTCAGTGAGAGTGAATGGCAGTGATATCCCTACGTAAATGCTATCCTGTCAGAGCTTAGATTTGTTGTTGTTAAGGAGTATATTTGATGGATTTTCTGTTTTCATTTGAATGAAGAATAACAAAGCAACATTTTCCAGTCACTGATTTCTTTTTATATCCTCATATTCACCTATTTGGTAGAGATTTAAGACGAGTTTACTGCTTAGGAATTAAAGTTAAATCGTGCACGTATGAATAGGCGGATGCATTATATCGTCATCAGATAAGGTACAGGAGCAGTTTTGTAAAACGAATAGGTCTAGAACTATACTTATCATAGATGTATGTGACTGCCTCAAAAAAGCATACAGTACCAGTTAAACATTTTATGTTGTAAAATATCAAACTTGAACGAGATCATGCAAGCGCGCTTCCTCTATAATATTTTGGCGAGTGATGCGGCTCTTGCATGAACGTTCGTGAAGCGAGCAGAATCGGGAGGTAAGACCAAGCCGCTGCTCTAGGCGCTGCTTGCTTGTGATGGAACGTACGTGCGCTAGTTATATGTTTATCGGCAATTGCAAGAGAATGAAAGCGACGTTGCCAGCTAAGAAAAACAACTAACAAAGACTTGCTCCTGACTACCGGTGTCAGAATTGGTAGATGAAGGATCTTCAGGGCCAAGGAAGGCGAAAGACATGGGGAAAAGGAAGAAGAAACCATCGGGAGTTCGCTGTAGTGTATGGTAATGAACTGTGCATGGATAGACAGCTACTGTTCACTCCATGCCTGGGCCGATTTCAACACCAAAACAAAAATTACATGGTAAAAATATTGACTAATAGCACATCGTTGGCATGTATATGTCATAATGTTTAAAAGGGGAATTGATATAAATACTATGAAGTACTAGGGGAAGGTAAAGAATTGTGCATAGAATTATGATTTATTAGACTTTTCAGCCTTTGAAACAAAAATATGCAGAAAATCGTATCACTCTGCACATGTTTGCTATGGAACATCCGGGTACGTGAATATATTCTTTCCGGGACGTGAGGTCATAAATAGTAGACCAGCGCCGTGACTGATTTTCTATGCAAAGAGAGGCGGATATTTTCGACATTTCAATCGAGGATTTCGAGTAGACAGAATTTTTGTGTGATATACTAAGTAATTGAAAAACTTAAAAATAACATATACTTGCCGTAGGTAACAAATTAAGGGACATTTATTTGCTTAGAGTATCAACTTTAACAGTCAAACCTTTTGTCTCTCTCTGTTTGCTCCCAGCCACCGATTACAGGCCGGTGATGAGACGCTTCACTTGAAGAGGATGTACTTCTACTGGATCTGCCGTGATACCCATGCCTTTGAATGGTTTGTTGAACTACTCTCATCCTTGGAACTCATCTTGAGACAGATCGATAAAGAACATCTTCTCTCTTACTCCATCTATCTGACAAGAGGATGGGATTATACGCAGGTACAAAACATGGTTTGATGGACGGAACTTAAAGTGATTAATCATACCTCAGGAGAAAAATATCTTGAAAAGTCCTAAAAATATTAGGATCACTTGAATAGCTAATGTTTAGAGAGCATAGTGGAAAATATATATATTGCATGTTCTGAAACAATGTTCATTTATTTTATTTGAAAATATAATCCTTATATTATCATTTTCTTTGATTTTGAAACCAGTGCCTACTTTGAAGTATTCCCTGTTAAAGTAAACTGTTTTGATAATTTCAAATCATTTGATTATATCTTTTTTATCATATTTTGTTTTATTGACAGGCGAAGAATATCTTCATGCAAGAGGACCGAGAGATAGATGCAGTGACTGGACTGAGACAGAAGACTCATTATGGAAGACCTAAATGGGATTCTAACTTTTCATACATTGCTGAAAAGAACCAAGGGTAAGCAGGATTTGGAAGTTAATCCTGTTCTTTTTAATTTTCTTCCTCCTCTTCTTTTGGTCATTATTTTACTCTTCTGTTTTCTTCTTCTGCAGATTCTTCCGCCTTTTTCCCCCCATTGTTTTGTTTTGTCATCTTTTTCTTTTTCATACCCTTTTAATGCTTTCTTGTTCTTCTTCATCTTCATCTCTTTTTCTTCTTTTTCATAATCATATTCATCTAGATTTTTTTCATCAACGTTGTATCGCAGTAGGTATGTACTTAAAAATGGTGCTTGTAATTAGCATGGCATGAAAGCTGTAAATCATCTTTATCTTCTTCTCTTTACTTGTCTTTCTTTGCCTTTGTTTCTCATTCTCTTCTTTGTTTCCGTTTGCTTTGTCATCTTCTACTCGTGCTTTCGTGTTCTCAGTTCTCAAATTCTACATTTACAACCATCGTTGTCTTCATATTATACTTTCCATCATCTTTTCTTATGTCTTCTACTTTTATTGATATATATTGTATATTACAAACTTCATTCATAAATCTTTGACAGTGATGCCAGTAATATATGAATGTCATAGGATTATTCACAAATATATCAATAATAATAGTGGGTTGTTGTATAGTGCTCATATCTGTCAGACTTGACCCTCCTGGTGCTTCCCGATTATTACCCCGACTTTAGCATGGCGCTCTTACCCTCTAGCATTTCAAGGAATTACTTCATGCCAGGTACCCATTTACATCACCTGGGTCGAGTGTAGTAAATGTAGATCAATGTCTTGCCAAAGGTCATTAGTGCCGCGGCGGGACTCGAACCGTGGACCTTGTGAACCACAGTCTGTTCAATTCAATTCAATTCAATTCAACTCAAGGTTTATTTAAAAAAATATAGAATACAATGATGCACGTGTTGCAGCTAAAAAGCTGAAATGTGTGGCATGGGTGGTTACATATTCAGAAAAAACATTTTGACGTATCCCCTCAACCACCTGATGATGCAATACCTTTATCCTTCTCTCTATTTGTCCCCACAGTGCTACTATCGGAGTGTTTTTCTGTGGTCCTAAGAGTCTTTCCACCATCCTTCATCAGAGCTGTAACAAGCACACCTCCGATGAGTCTGATGGCACTCGCTTTGTTTACTACAAGGAAAACTTCTAAGTGCAAGAAATAAAGATGCAATGGTCATTTATTTTTTTATTTTTATAATTTTATAGATATCTACTTCCTGATTTGTGTTTATCTCTTTGTGTTATCTAGCATTTCTCTTATGGTTTATGTGAAAGTCCATAGAAGAAAAATCTTTTGAAGGTTACAACATTTTTATGAAAGCTAACAATCTATTGGTACTATTAGATCATTTTGACAATTTTCCTGAAGAAAAAAAAGGTGTTTTGAGCATTTTGAATGAAGGCCAGAATAACATAATTTATTTTGAATAATTTTGTCAACCTTAAATTCTAGTACCGGTAGAAATCATGGATATGCTTTTTTGTCTTTGTTTTGCAATATATGAGTTTTATTGTAAATTGTTGTTTTTCTGTGTAAGTTGTGCTTAGCCTTCAAGATTTATGAATCTTGTATTATTATTTTGTCATAAAAGGTTATTTGCTGCCTTTTTACATTCCATGTGTAGGATTATTTAATTTTCCTAGCTTGTATCATGTTCTTTCATTCATTATGAAAAAAAAATTAAAAAATTCCATCTTATTAATTTCAGTGTAATTTTGTTTTACAATTTGATTTGCAGCATATGTGTGTATATAGTAAGATTTATGTATCTATAGATAGTATATATAAACTTTCTACAAGAAATTAATTTTGTGAAAAAGCTGTCATTGTTCAATAACCATGATGCAGGATAGTATTTCTTATGCGTACTTTCAGTACTCTTTCCTTCTATATATTTCCACCGATGAATATATTTTCATTTATGTGTGTGTGTATTGAATGACTGTTTAATGATACAGTTTAGATTTCAAAAAGAAAGATCATTGCCTCTGAGACATGTTAATATATGATTCACTACGTGCCTCTTGAATGCATTAAAGAGTTATCTTAATCTGAGTGTACAGTATTCCATCCATCTTGACTTTATTACGGCATCAATCAATTTTTATATTCAATCTTTGCTAAATTTGCGGATGGAAAGCATTCTGTGAAAATCTTAAGAGAAGAAGGTGAGAATTGTATTTTTTAGAAAGCAACACACCGGTACTTGGATGTTTCAATGGGAACTATTCTTGTGTAATGCATGGTTGCCTAAAGTTTCAAATTCTACTATGTTAGTCTCTGAGTGATATCATAAAAAGTGTATAACTTGATATTTGAAAAGCATATGTTCGTTTAGACATATTATGATATATTTTATTTTGTTATTCCATTTATGATGTATACAGTTATGTATTTATGCCTTCCTATCTATCCTGATAGAAAAGGATAGAAATATCTTTGTGTCAATTTTTATTTTTTTACAAGCAAGTCTAGTTCTGGGATTATGCCTAAAGTAATCATGTGCCTTTTCTAAATATTAATCAATTTTTGTTTGTTTTAAAATGGATTTTTTTTTTGACCCGATAGAACCATTGTAAATGAAAAGCAGTTTAGAGCAAAAGCTCAAGAGCAATCACAGATTTTGAGTAATGAAATGAGAGAGATTTTAATTTATTGGTTTTCTTGTATCAATTAGAAACTTTGATCAATTTTTAAAACTCTTTTAAGTGATATCGCCAGTTTCAACTATCCAAAATTTGGGAAACCATTTAAAATTTCTATGAAAAAGATTTTCTTTCTGTTGGTAATTCTTTCATTTCATTAATGAATTAGAAAGTTGCTGACGTTTGATGATTTTTTTTTTTTAAACTCCTTGGATTGTATATTATATTTTTCTTCACGTATCTCACTGCTTGTGTAACTTCATCCCAAATTTGCTGACTTTTTATGAAATTGTCTTTTATTTTTATCAACTTTATTTGTGCCATAGGTACTTTAAACTATCCCAAATTTGGGATTCGTTTTTGATATACCGGTATTTGTATTTACTCTTTATAGACAAAGAAAATGTCTTTCTTGTGATGAAATTGGTTGAGAAGATATAACGTTACATTGATTTTAATGGAATAATGTTTGTACCAAGTTCGAAATTTAACTGAAGCAACTATGATTGAAAAGTTGTCTCATAAAGTTGTCTTTGTGGTTGTCTATAATTTGATGGTATTGTAAGGGTACAGGAAAGACCATCTAAATAATCAATGTAAGCATGATTGATATGAGTGTCAGGATCCAATTTATATTGGCTTTTATCTTCTTTTATTGAACCAAAGATGAGATTGGAAATATAGCAATATAGGATTAATTCTAAGTTTTATAAAGTACGAAGAATGGTGAACTTACCCAAGCATGAGTTGGTTAATCTTTTGTTACCATGAAGCAAGCCTATTGAAAATAACAATTATATTAGAATGTCTAATTTCATGATAAGGGTATTTTTTATTGTAATATGGTCATGATTCCTTTTGGGAAAAAAGGGGGAAAAAAGAAAAATCAGGGGTTCATGTACCACAATATTTTGTATAGCCAGCAGATTCAGATATTTAGGAAACAGGTTGTGTGATCTTTCTTATGTAATAGCCCAGTAGAAAGGCAGGTTGAAATTTTTTTTTTTTTTTTTTTTTTTAGATAATTGCTTAAATGTGTATGCAAGTACTGTGGTACTGAAATATCATTATGTATTGAAAAGTTTGAATATTTAGTTGTTAGTAGATTGTAAGAAATTGAGAGTAACTTTCTTATAGTCAGAATAATTAACTTTGTAACCAAAATGATTGATATTGAGATGAAAGCATAAATGTTTGTTTGTTATAGATTTGAATGAAGTATGGAGTGTTTAAAACAAATCAATTGTTGTTTTTGTTAGGGGGAGGGTATCATTCACTTATGAAAGTTCAGATATTAATCTAAAATAAAAAATGTTTTTTGGATCAAGATATGAGAAAATGATTCTTTATGTGAATGTTTGTTTCTACATGTAATTATCATTTATCAATGGCAAAAGATCATTTTAATATTCTGAATTTGTTTTGTTAAAATCTTGCCATTTGTTTTTACATTTCCTTCCACGATCTTACTCTACTTTTTTACTCTTTGATATGACAACCTTTCTACAGTCAAGAAACTGAATTTATACCCTCTGATGCCAAAATCAGAGCTTTAAAAATAGAATAAGAAATGTGAAATAGAAAAGCGAATGACTAGATTTTGCTCACATTGATTTGATTTAGATTATTCCTGCTAACGGCAAGAATAGCATTCACTTATTAAATTAATTTTCATGAAGCATTAAGGAAAATAACAATGTGTGTGTGTGATTTAAGTATTCATCTTCACTGGTAAATTATGCAATTTAAACGATCAGTTTATAAAACATGTGTCCAGATCATCTATTTTAAAATAGATTAAAATAATTCTGATAAGGCATGTGTTACTGTTGCTTGATTATCTGATAAAACTGCCTCCTCCATCACTTCCAATACGTTATCCACTATATTATTTAAATTGATCAAAAGATGTTGTACAATGCTGAGCTCTGTGTTATTGCTTCAAATCTGCTTGCCTGTTTGCCCATAACAAGCAAAATAAGCCCAGGGGAAAGCACATACTGTGTGATCACCTGATAGAGCAAGTAGAACATTCCAATTTTCATTTGTCTTTCAAGTGAATTAAATGTCTTGTGAAGTGCTGCTCACACTGAGTTGCACAGTAAGCAAATATGAATACTCCTACACTTTTCAGTAAGAATGATGTACCGAGATACAATGTTTATCAGTCTATGTATTGGTACATATGTTTTATAACAATCCATTTATAGTCTTTTGTAGACTGTTTTTGTTGTTGTGTATATATATAATCAGAACTTATAAATAATGCAGTTACCAAATCATAAATTCTCAGGGTAGTCAATGGATTCAAAATTGGTAAATATTTGATGTGGCTTAAAGTGTTATGGATGCAGATCATGCTATTAGATGCCGAATTTTGATATAATATGGTGTACATGTATCATTACTTGTCAATCAAATAATACTGCCTTAATTTTGAAAACTTCTTCTCTTCTGGGAAGTATCATCTACAGATCGTGTTACAGAGCCTTTAATATTGTTTTTCTTTAATCAAGCTTGTGTAAAGTTGTATTATGTCTTTTAGGATTGAATTATTATTTTGTAGGCAAGATTAAAGTTATGGTACATATAGGGTTGGGATTTATAATCAGGAATTGTTATCAGGAAATTGCATTAGATTATAATTCTGAATGTGACTCAGTCTTATTGATTTTATTGAACATTTTGACATGATCATGGCATTTGTTGAATTGTTTTAGTTTATGATGAGAGAAAAAGATACTGAAACTAAATGGATTGAAGGAAACAAATGCAATGTTTATTTTTTAATATTGCAAAATGTTTCCTTTTTTTAAAGGGAAGAGGCCTAAATTATAGATATCATAAAAAGATGAGTAATAATAAGTTCTTTGAGATTGTCACAATCCTGATGATTAATTACTTTTCATCACAGTTTGGGCTGATTTTCAACATGTTTTTAATGTCAAATTTCATATAATTGTCACATGCAAAATAACAAGCTTTATGTATTAAAAAACAACTACTTTTTAGAATACTGATGCCTCTAATATTGGTTAAGTATTATGCTTTATGCTATTTTATTGTAGCTGGGAAGGATTTATTTGTGTATAATTGAAGCAACACTGTTGTCATTTGTATACAAGAAAGTTATTTCATGAATTAAAGAAAGAGATAGAACATGAACTTTTATCCTGTTTTACTTGTCTTCTTGTAGTCAGTAAATTGTGTTTTCATAGATCTCTGATTCGCCCCTGACTTTGATTCCGTCTCTCTTTAATGATTTCTTCATTTCTTTTCCCCCTTCTTTTCTTACTATCTCCTCTCTTTTTCTCTCTCTTACCCTCTCCCTTTCTCTCCCTCCTGCGCATTTAAGAAGTCCTTAAAGGCGGGGGTGGGGGCTTACTTTCATACCCTCTGTTTGTCGCTCCATCCCTTTTTATTCTCCCTCTTTTTTTGAACCACTTGCATGCCTTTGAAACATGTACTTCCTAGCAGACATCTATTTTGAAAACAAACATGATTGAATGTCTGATTGGATAAATAAATGAATGAATAATGGATGATTTAATGACGGATTTGTTGTTATTGTCGCTGTTGATTTTCAAGCATTCATCGATCCTGTAATTCTTTGAACAAAATTGCCCATATTTTTCCTCGTCAGATAGAAGAAGTCTGCCGCCCCCAGTATCATGCGTACAGTGCAGTTTATTGCAAAACACCCCCGAAGGGACATCGCGAATTTTGCCGTATCCGCAGAGTCGCGATTGTCGGTCACGGATCTTTACAGTGTCGACAGTGCATTACACCTGTTACGAGCATTCCGCTTGGCGTACTTCGCAACCATGACTACCGCTAACTTTCTGCGGAATGATACACCACCTCGGCAAAACAAGTACTACGCGCAAAATATAACACCAAATTAATATTGAAAATTCATCTTTATTAGAGAAACACAGTCATCGAAATCGTTATAAAGTTCATTTACATACGTATTGGAGGGTATTATATATATTTTTTCAAAATAAATATCTTTATTCCAGATGTTAGTGTCAAAGAAGCTAGAAGTTCAGCGGAAGAATCTACGAGTTTTATTTATCGACCCAATCAATTAGCATATCAATGAGCTGTACCCGATCTCGGCTACCGGTCTGCAGCGTAACTCGCGGCCGACTACACAGGCGAGGACTTTGAGGAATTACCGTATACAATTCAGACTGCGTTAACAAAACATTGGAATCTGTGAAACGTATCACAGCTCAGTGGAACTTGAGATCATCATTTTCAGAGATATAATGCATTTGTATGTGTTATTTTAGATATCTGTAGCTAGATTTTGGAAGTTTGTCAATAATGGCAGATACTGAACCGGCGGCTACCACTGCCACAGATGGAGGGCCGAGTGAAAAGGAGGCAAATAAGGCCGATTCTCCGAAACCAGATCAAGAAGTTGCACCTCCTTTGATTACCACTTCTAAACGTGAGTAGAACTTAGACTTGGAAGTTATAGGAAACCATTGACATTGTGAAAAATCAATGATATCCACCACGGAGATGAAGACCTATGTTGATATGGTGAATGGCAGATGATTGGCAAGTTCTGGCAAAGATTGTCTTTATTGGGTAGACCTTTGCCTAGATCTAGACTCTATGGGAATAATAAATTGAAACAAATTCTGAACAAGATTTTTTTTAAAGTTTGACTTTTGAGCTCCCTGGAGGCTGGAGTTAATTAATGGGATTGTGTTGCTTTGCCTTTGCAAAATTTTAGAAAACAAGTTTTAAAAAGGGACTAAAATTAAACTCCATGTTGTAAAGCCTTATTGCTAATCCTTTGTTTGAGTAGTCCTATCACTACAACATCTGAGAGTATCAGAGAAAATGGAAGTCATTTGCAATCTTAAAAAAGAGAAAATAAAGGAGGTTTTGAAGGCAATATTTTTTTTATAGGGGGGGGGGGGTGGGGAGGCTGTCGATTGACCTTAAGTTAGGTCTGAACTGTGATGTTTTATGTAGACAAGGTCGCCTTGACTTTTTTTTCACAATTTTTGTGATAATTTTGACTTCTGAAAGGGAAACCTCGCAAAATTACTTTATTTGGCTACCGGTACTCACAGTCAAAGATGGTACAACTTGACAAGACATCAGATTTTTGGGGCAATTATTTCCTCCCAGTTATTTTGTTTTCTTTTATTTTTGTTGTTGGGGGATGGCTGATGGGGACCCATGCTGTTCAAGATTTATTTTTAAAAAGGGGACAATAGACCTATTGTGTCTTTCTGTCTATCTGTCCCAGGTGCTACTTGGGAAATAGTACTCTTCCCCCCTTTTTCCCCCCCTTTTCCCCTTTTTTCGTCTTCTTTTTTTACAGCTATTGAATCTCACCTCCATTGAAGTAAAACAATTGCCTGCATCCTCCTATTTTTTGTTGACAGTTAGGGCAAGGAACTGGAATGTTTTATTTGGTCTAAGTAGGGCAAATAGATATTCAATTAATTTTTTTTCTTCTTCATTTATGACAGCTGAGAAAGATGCAGAAACAAAGCAAGATAAGAAGAAGCCTGGTGCAGCCCCAGCCCGCAGGGGAGCAGGACCAGCTGTAAGTATACCCAATCTCTGTCTCTCTCTCTCTCTAAACAAAAAAAAACAAAAACAAAAAAACATTTTTTCTCTTAAAGCCCCACTGTCCTACTTGTAGCTACCTGCTCCCTCTATATAGAAAACTTTCCCAATCGGTGCCTGTTGGTCCCTTTTTCTTATGCTAGTTGAGAGCCGAGTTAATGAGATAGCCACCTGTCAGTGACCTCGCTGTGTGGTCTAATCCCTTCTGGCCCAGAAGTATTGACGGTCTTTAATAGTTTGTAAAAAAGTGGATCATCTGCTGAAAAATATGTACATTTAAGATAATGAGATTCATGCCCTTTTGACTTTCAGGAGACGATATTCCAAATGCATACTTAAAAAGATAGATAGAATCTTGTAAACCTAATTGATAAAAAGAGTCAGACTTCGTCCTTAATAAGCAGTAATTGATAGAAAATTATTTATAACTCTTTTTATATTTTGTTTGCTATTAGCATACCAACAAAGGCCCGGTAAGTTGAATCTTGTGTTGGTTAAAGTTGGGCACTTGTTGTTTGTTCAGTTTTATGCTCGCTGTCTTAAGTTCTAATGCCACAATTTCTAAAAATGTGTGTGAAAATGTGTTACCGATTATTTTGTGTGTTTCTATCATTTTGTTTCAGCACTTTGTTGTTGTTTTAGATGTCTCTGTACAGAAAAAATGAGAACAAGAATACTTGTTAGTAAATTACAGTTTTGTAAGCTTGAACTATTTTCTTTGCACTATGAAGATGAGGGTCCTTATTATTGGATTACATGTTCATGTACAATGTACTCTCTACTGTACATTGCAATCTATCTCTATTGATCTTCAGACTTGATCAAGGTTCAAATATTGACCTGTTTGTTAGGCAGCATTGTTTGGACCTCAAGGTGTACCTTACTGTAGACTCAGTCAATAGACATTTCTCATTGGGCAACCATTAATTGATTGATACAACCGTAGGCTCTCAGGAAGACAGTCAATATTTGAACAGTCCCCAAAGTTTGCTTGCAAACTCATCCCATATTGCAAAAATCTTATAATACACTTTAACAAAAAATGGTATTGAAGTCGTAAGTACAGTAGATAACAAGGTAACTTGAGCAGGAACAAAAAAAAAAAAATCATGATTTTAAATGTTGCACTCAGTTTTGTTGATTGTAGATATAGACAAATTTCGTAAAGTATTCATCAAATGTTTTAGTGGCTGTAGGCATACTGACAGAAATTCTACATCTTATGTTTAAAAAACTGGTAACTTCCCATTTATGCACAGTTTTCCATGTAATTAAGCTTTCTGTTTTATAGAAAAATATAGTGAAATCAATGTACGGTTTGTTTGATTTAGACCCATAACTGTTCATGTGTAAACTTCAAATACCTGTTCCTTTCAAAATATGGATGCTAGATATTTATGGATATTGTTTAGTTTGTAGTCCTTGTAAATGTAATGACCTTTCACCCCTGTCCTCCAGGGTCAAGGGGCACAAAGAGGTGCTCGTGTGTCTATATCACTTCAGCCTGGAGAGCTACACACGCACACTAGTGATCATGTCAGAAATAGACGTCAAGTATGTTTGACTATCTATCAGTCATTCCATTGCGTCTGCAGGCTTGCTATTAAAAAGAATTAAACAAATTATATTCAGCTATACATGTATATCCTTTAGCAACCAGTATGATTAGCCCCCTCCCCCGTATAGTTTTGAACATCTGTACATTGTATATTATGCTATTTTACACCATTCATGACATAAATGCCAAATACTATTGTTTGGAAGAGTGCAGTGGCATTTCCAAATAATGACCTCAAAGTACATTACCCTTTCATAGCTTTCAATCATTAATCAATTCCTTGACACTTTAATGGCAAAAATACACCATTGCTCTTTATACTCGTCTATCAAATTCATTACGCTTTCTCTTGGGGCCGACAAGTGGACATTATATTATGTACAGGCTTTTAGAATTTTAAGTGATTAATGAAAATATTAATTGATGTAAGACTTAGGCTATTCAGACAATGTCCATGGTCAAATATTTTGTTGGGTCTTACTTATGAAAGGACTATAGCTTAGACTTTTTTTTGGTAGTTTCATTTCATTGTTTGAAATTAATCAGGAAAAGTATTCAAAATTTCAAATCCTTTAAAATCAATATTTGAGACTTAATCTTGACAAAGATACCTGTTAGCAAAGAGCTGCAGAAAGATTGAACTCCTGAGTGAGACCAAAATGGTAGCCAATAATATCCATATCTTGTTTAATACTGACCAGTGTACCGGTAGTGATATTACATTGTAACTCAATAAGAGTGAACTTTTGGATTGACTTGATATCATAATTCATAAACGATGAAGCTGGTAGTGAGTGATGCACACTTATTTCCAAACCTGTTCATCTGTCTCTTCAAAGCATCATCATTATGCACAAACCAGGTCAGATTTTGTATTAAAGATACCCTGGTACTGTCGTATCCATAGTAACCAGATAGCTTCCTAAGCAACGCATGCTTGCCAGCTGGCAGAAGTGTAGAAATGACACTAACTGCATGCATCTCATCAAGTTGCGTGAATAGTACAGTGTTAGTATACCGGTAGATAGTATAGGAAATAGCAGGTGCTATCATACTGCTCAACCTCTCTCTCTCTCTCTTGCTCGCTTTCTTTCTCTCTTTCTCTCTCCATACATTACTGCAGTATTGGTTTATCAAATATCATCAAATATATGTTAAGTCACAGTACATGTAGGATAAATAAATGACAAAGAGCAGGAAAATAAAGTGTAAGAGCCTAGAGCTTTGTTATTAACGTATCCTGTGGACACATAAATGGCAGATAATAAATCAACAAAGCATTTAGAAGTCTAATAGAGAAGTGAGGTCATAGTAGAATTTACTTGTACTTCATAATTCTAAGCTGATCTGCTTGTTCATATACATGTATGTAAATCACACTGTAGACTAGAAACCGTACTGCATGAATATAGTTTGATCTAGAGTGTGACAAAAAGAGGAGAAAGTTATGAATACATTGTATTACTTTTGATTTTAACATACTGTACAAAACATGTAATGTAGTACTGTATGTAGAACGATTTTAAATGAAATAGAGACATAGATTTATTTTATTTTATAGTTTTGATAATTTCAGGACTACTTGCACATGTACAGTATGTAAAATAGCTGTTCATGTCATAACCATGACTATACCATCTTAGTTCACTACTGACAGTTATTGCACTGCTCGTTTACATGTCATATTGATATTCTAATCGTATTTATTGTATCGTGATATTGCACAATGTTTCTTGTGTTTCTTAGCCAAATTTTCACCTTTTGTCAAAAAATATTTGAGTCACTTTTTGTGTGTGCAAAATCAGTTGGTTATTTCTGATGTGTCTTTGGGTACTTTACATGTATGTTCCACAGCACTGTGTAATTCACTTAAATGTAATATTGGCATTGCCTTCCATTTGCTGTGGCCCCCATTTCCAAAGTCACATTTTTGTGGTTGCACCTTTCCTTTAATCTCTTATTTTGAAGCTATATAACAGCTGAATTCAGTTATTTTGAAGCATATTAGACCATTAAGTTTTCATTAGTAGTACTATTGGGAACCAGGTAATTTTCTCAAATTGATAGACTAGAAACGGAATCCACTTGGCTTGAGTAAGTCCACAGGAGTGGATGAAAGCTTGCTTACTAAATTTGTAAGGCTGCTAGAAGCTTGAATTACATATAGAAACAGATTCTTGCTGTTTCATTCACTTTTCTTAAAAGTTCATGTTTGAGTTCAGTGCAGTGGGAAGATGAAATATACGGTGGGTAAAAGCATCTTCAAAAAAAAAAAAAAAAAAAATTAATGAAAATTCAAATCTTCTTTCTATCGGACTCAGTAACAGAATAAATACTTGCATCATTCTGTATTGGATATTGTATTTTGTTTTGTTTTGTCAGCACAGCTTGACTTTTCATTTCATGTTAATATACACTTGTATATATTTTTTGTTGTTGTTGTTGGGGGTTCATTCAAAAATCATTAAACATATTCCAATCTTCAGAGAGATGCCTTGTTGTTTTTTCTATACATTTTCACTTTTCATGTTTTTTTCATTAATTGATTTACAGTCGATGGTGAAGAAAAATGTGGTGATGTCATCTGAGGCAATGAAGGAGATGGCGAAACAGGCCAAAGCAAACAGAGATGAGAGAAAGACAGCGGTAAGACAACTCAACACTCCTTCACAAATTCATTTTTAATGCTTTGCTTGGCATTTATTAGTCCTAAGTTTCATTTGAGGTGTTCACACTTGTACAAGCACTGCTTTTTAGTGGACCCCTCTGTTTCCGACATGTATTTCTTAAATTTGTTTTAAATGCTTATAATTGATTTGTAATGTTTTGTTGGAAACATGAATAAATTTGTAATCTTGAAATTTGACAATTTTGGGATCTATTTTAATGTTGAGCTATTGATATACAGTTGTAGCTCTCTTATTTCTTCTAGTCTTGTGCATCTTCTATGTACTTCCTGTTAGAGTTAATTTACATTTCATTTTGGTTAAACATTTGAAGAAATCCTCTGGAGAATAAAACAAATATCTTAAGGAGTTGCTATGACATGAACAATTGTCACATTGAAGCGGTATAGACAAGAAGATTGGGAACAAAAAAAGAAGGCTAAGTTAATAAATCACTGCTTCTTTAGATCAATTTTTATTTATTTTATCCAATGGATTATTTTTTATATGATGAAGATCAGTATAAGTTAGATAAAATAGGCCATATTGACTGTTGTGTACTGGACAATGAACATCATGGTATGAAGCACTTTGTCATGATTAAACATTTTGTGCTGTTTTATTCTTTCATTCATCTTGAGATAACAAGTGACATCAAATTAACATATTTCTCTAATTTGCTTTCATCCCACACAGATGGACAGTAGACATAACTTCATGTTCTCAAGTGTAAGTGTCTTTTAGTACCTCTGAAAACAAAAGATTATAAATATTTCAGAATTATCATTTATCATGGAATCAGTCAAAATTATGGTGCTGTGTAATGTTGTTGTTTAATTAACTTAGTCACTTAGCATCTTCAAATACATCTTTACATTAATATTGATAAATAGTTATCTTGGAATCAGTCGAAAGCACAATGTTGTCTTTTAACTAAAAAAATAGAGTTTGCAATTTTGATTGAAATGTCTTACTCACCAGTAGTTCTCTCTTCTGGTTATATGTTGTTTCATTACTCTTATGCAGAGTACATGTACATACGTACATGTAGCTAAACTCATTTGATAGGAAACCAAAGGTCACATAATCATAATGTATGCCGTGAATTATAATATAATGATAGACTACTGTGATATGGGACACAATGTGAGATCATCATTCTTTACAACACATTTACCATTGTTTAAACATATTTGTGGCTTACATTGATTGACCAATCTGTAATTGAAAACAAGTCCGAAATTCCTTTGCAACCAGCAGGATTTGAACCTTACTGGGTGTAAGCCACAAATATGCTTAAAAAATTGAAATTTCTCTCAGGAAGCATTACATTTATAAAACATTAACCATTATTTCAATGTTGACATAATGTAGCTTGCCGAGGCGTTGAACATGGAGGTCTCTCAGGTCGAGGACTTCTTGCTTGGAGACGATAAGTTCGATATGATTGGTGAGTTCTTTGCTCAGGATGGACCACGTAAGCTCATGTTCTTCTACCAGGAGGCTGCTAGCCGAGATACCTTGTATTCCAGGACTGATACATCCAGTGTCATCACTCAACCAATGCAGAAAAAGCTCTTCCTTACCACCGGTGAGTCATCTAGAGGGTGTTTCACAAAGATCCAAAGTTGAACTTATCTCTAAGTTGGACTTGACAATTATGGAAAACCGTTAGCGTCTATGAAAATATTTTGTAAAAGTTAATTTAAAAGGCATAAAATGTTGATTAAAATCCTTCATGTTTTCTGCTATCAAGGAGATGTCATGTGATCTTGATGTGGAATTCATAAAAAGTCTAAAGTACTTGAATTTTCGCTTTTGAATATTCTTTATTTTAAGACTACAAATTAGAGTTAAGTTCGACTAAGGATCTTTGTGAAACACCCCCCCCCCCCTGACATAATGTATTCAGCAGGAATTGCTTATGAATGTTGTTTGGAGCATGTCTTGTATTCAGATCCTGTTACCGTTAGAGTGTTGGAATCTAAGTTGACATCAGAATAATTCCCTCTTGACTTAAGTATTATTCTAACATGGAATTATCTTCAGCATTCAAAGTTTACATTTTTAAATGAGATTGACACTGCTTGAAGCAGAGGACCATTTGTGTATTTTAAAACTTTGATTAGCAGGAGTTTTTTTAAGTCGATGTAGTCAATGACTAACGATTCATTACTAATATGCTTCGTAATTTCAGATGTGCAAAAATGAGTCCTGTGTCGTTTCATGGTATACATTTTAACTACAAATAAAGAAAAACCATTTAAAGATAAACTATTCATTTATTGGGGTTTTATTTACCAAGATCATTTGACATTTGCCACACTCAACCCAAGTGATGTAAATGGGTACCTGGCAGGAATTAATTCTTTGAAATGCTAGAGCTCCGTAATGGCAGCACAGCTAAAGCCAGGGTAATAATCTCCAAGTTTGGAAGCGCTTAGTGATTGTAATAAGCGCTATATAAAAACTGAGTATTATTATTATTAACATAAAAACTTCAGCTAGGTGAACAACGTTAGAGCTCCCTGTCTTAAATCACCCTTCCCATCTTCTGTTGCAGGTACATCCGAAGGACTGAACGGTATGTGCTATTTCTTCCTGCGTTCTACCAACAAGGCCATTGCTACCTCTAACATCGCTGCAGAGCTCAACTTTGGCATGATGGACTGCACCAATGGCAAGATCCTCCAAGGGTTCAAGATGATGCTCGATAAGATCATGATGCCTGCTCTTAAACTCCAGGAGGTAAGAACTTCAAATTATTTAGGGCAATGTTGCAGTCCTATGAAATTCATCTTTGTAGAGGTGTCGTGGCTGAGTGGATATGTCACCGGACTGTGGATCACAAGGTCCGCGGTTCGAGTCCCGTTGCAGCACTTGTCCTTTGGCAAGATATTAATCTACATTTGCCACACTCGTCCCAGGTGTGGTAAATGGGTACCTGGTAGGATTATTCCTTGAAATGCACTGTGCGCTGATTATGTCAGACAGCGCTTTGTCTTTACCATGACTGTGGCTCAGTTATTGTTAGTGGCAATTAGTTTACAGTTAGCTGTGCCTGGGAGAACTGAATTAGATGTGCAGGTTTATCATGATTTTAAATTGCTCTCACAACAAGTATACAAAGCCTTCATGTTTGAGCTCATTTAAAGGTAGTCTGTCCCTTTTACAGTAAAGTCTAGAGAGTAAATGGTTTCCCTTGCGTAACTAGGTCAATGCTAATCGTTAAACGTTTACATTTCACAGATAGGACATGCTTGACATACTCATGATTCCTGCAAAGTTCTACAGAATTTGATGTTGGCTGCAGAAGGGATACACTACCTTTAACATACATCAAGCATGGAAAAGGATAAAATGTAACATCTTTGTACCTTTATTTTTCTTGTAGAACTGGGGAGAGATCAAGGATGAGAGTCAGGTATCTGATTTCTTTGAGCAGCTTGAGAAGTTTATCGGTAGCCTTGGGACAGCTACATCTAACATGGATGGGAGGGTACAGCTCTGTGAGCATGAGTACGTAGAAACCATGCTGGATTCACTCAAGACGGCTGCTGACTTCACAGCTGCTGGTAAGGAAAGCATCTCCCATTTTAATCAGTTTTGTCATTATCTTTTTGGAGTTTGTTTAACTCTGTTGTAGTTAACCTATAGCCAAAAATGAAACTTGTACTCATGACATTTCAATTATGAGCTCATAAATCTGTATAACTGCTAGTCTGAACTTCCTTCAGTTACCGTTTAAAAATCAAGCCAACTATTTGTTAATTATAACTAGCTTACCAGTCAGTGACGGTGCCTGATACTTACTGGTGTCTGGGATACATGAATCCAAAATCTGAGTTTAGTCCTACAAACTTATCAAGTGGCACATACATACAAACCCTAAAAACCTTAAATCTGGTCTCTTATGAAAAAAAGTAATGTGTGAAGCCTGCCTTTGTAAATGTATACCTTTGCAGATAATATTTCATTTGAGCACACAATTTATCTCAATGTTCATTGACTGATGAATCTCTCATCCTGCAGCCTCTGTGCCTGACACCGTTGAGAAGCTCGAGGAGCTGAGTATGATGTGGATCAAGCAGATCGTCCAGGTGTTGACTGAGAGCGAGCAGATGCGCAAGGAAGCTGATGACATCGGTCCCGCTGCTGAGCTTGATCACTGGAAGAAACGTATGTCGAAGTTCAACAGTCTCCTGGATCAGATCAAGAGCCCACGATGCAAGGCGGTGGTCGGTGTCCTACTGGCTGCCAAGTCAAAGGTCCTCAAGCAATGGAAAGAACTGGTAAGATCACTTGAAAATGGGTTTCACTTCCATCTTTAAATGCAGGACTGCACTACGTATAGCTACTTGTGCCCTCTATATAGCAAACAATGCCCAAGTGGTACCCCTTGGTTCCCCCCGATCCCCTTTTTCTTGTGTTAATTGAGAGCTTATTTGATGAGATAACCACCTGTCAGTGCATGATCATGCAGGGAGGTATAATCCCTCCTGGCCAAAGTAGTGCAGACAGGCTTTTATATGCTTATCTGCAGATCATTCAGTTATTCAGGACATCTTGATTGCCAAGTTTGATTGAAATCAATCTCTTTGATGATAAATATCTATTTGAAAATGACATTTTACCTTCTCAAATTCATGCAATGAGTTGTGATTCAGTTTGGATAATTGTCCAATATGGCCTGTAGTGTATGACAAATTATAGACGGTCAGAAGACGTATCGATAGTGCAGGTAATTACCATTGCTAGTCTTGATTTGTTATACAGCTTTCCAAAGTAACCATTGAGAGTCGTGAAGATACCCTGGCAATTTAGGAAAAAAACATCTGCATATCAAGTTGATGATGATAAAAAAAAAAAAAAATGAGTATGTTTCAAATCTATAATATCTTTATAATTCATATTCTTTATTTGACAGGATCGTCGCATCACTGATGCAGCCAATGAGGCCAAGGATAATGTCAAGTATCTCTACACCTTGGATAAATTCTTTGGACCTCTTGTCAAGTGTGACCCTGTGAGTACACCAATCTGTCTGCCATTATATTGAATTTTCATCAATAATAATAATAATAATATTCAGTTCTTATATAGTGCATATCACATTATAACATCTCTATGGGCTTACAAAGAGTTTTGGAAATGATAACTCCGGCTTTCGCATGGCTGCCATTACGAAGCTCTAGCATTTCAAGGAAGTGATTATTAGGTTTGGTCCATGGCAACAAAACTTCTCAGAGAACTTTAAAACCATCCTTCACAATATTAATTCATACAAGATAATAGTTATAATGACCTAGTTTGCTACACATTTAGTGCTATTCTATAAACATATTAATTATTAATTGAACATTGAAAATGCCAAACTAAACCTTATGCTTCTTTCATAACTTAAAGTTTCTCTTTTTCTGGAGGAGGACAAGCGAATATAATTATTTATGCATTTGGAGCATTGCGATTAAGAACCTATTCCATGGAAAGTATATGACTCCACATATGTTATTGGCCTGTCAGCAGCATTGACTTATTGTTATCATTAATTGAACTCTGTTATTTTGTCTTTTTACATACAGAGTGCCATGATCGAGCACATTCCCAGCCTGATGAATGCCATCCGCATGATCCATAGTATCTCACGCTTCTACAACACCTCGGAGCGTATGACCTCTCTGTTCGTCAAGGTCACCAATCAGATGATCACTACATGCAAGGCTTACATCAAGAGAGATGTCACCAAGATCTGGGATCATGAAAGGTAACCATCTCTCAAAGAAGAATAAGTCAAGATTTCTCAGGCAGAATCACAGTAGGAATCATGATAGAATAATAATAATAATAATAATATGTCTTGTTTACCCAGGGTAGCCTCATTAGTATTAAAGGTATAGACCAGTTCTGGTCATGCGATTGCATTGTGAAAGAAACATTGTGGAATCGATCAGGAAAGGTTGATCATCTAGCATATAAGTATTGGTGTGTACTGCAAGGTTCTGGAATCATCAAAATGATAAGAAATTTGGTGCAGTCTTACAAGCACTGTACACAGAAAGATGTTTATGGGACTATGTGACATGTGCACGATATCTTTCTGGTCCGGATAGATATAATAATTTACCAAATATATCAATTAGTAGGCGGTTTCCCGGCAAAATTTGTATCATGTATTAGTCAAAACATATTCTTTCACATGACTGGTAATAAGAGCTTCCATTTCATATTTTTGAGAGGGGGTGTTTCCAATACTGGTCTATACCTTTCATACTGTTCTCCATGAGCGCCCTGCAATCATATTAATACACTGGTTTTAGATGAGCTAAACATGAAATACGTATTTAGTGAAATTAACTATCCACCAGGGTAAATACGATCAACTATCTGGTATGTTCTATGATAAAAGTCAAACATTTGTTTTCCTTTAGGGATTAGCTTTGTGGCAGTGAATAACTGTGGAAAATTCTTGTAGAATGGCTTTTGAACAATGTGCTTTAAAGTTGTATTTTACCAGGAACTGTACTGAGGAAATACCTGAGGAATACTAGAAAGACAGTGGGTGGGAATCCACATATTTTTTTATGTGTACATGTCTAAATCAGTTTAGGTATTTCTTATGTTGCTGTCTACCCCTCTCCAAATGCACACACATCTCTACTATCAAATACACTGAAAGAAGATCTGCATGCTAATTCCTGCCATACTTGGTTTTGTATTTTCCTGTAATCTGTTAGGCCCGACTTGCTGAAGCGGCTGAACGACTGCATCAAACTCAATACCGAGTACCAGAGGAGTTTCCATCGCACCAAGGAAAGGCTCAAGGAAACCCCTGAGGAAAGACAATTTGAGTTCAGGTAAGATTTTCTTTGATTATTTTAGTCCATGTTCTAGTGAGTGGAGGCACCATGCCTGTGTCAAGCAGATGATACAGGTATGTATGTTTATGTGAGGTGCAGCAGTAGAACCTGACGGTTGGGATAAATTTTGACTTCAAAAAACAAATGGCTTACTTTCTTTATCAAGCTATTGATAATTTTATGAAAAAAATATTATACAAATCTGTGGTTCAGATTATGAATAATATGACCTGCAGCAGAACAGCCTTTGGCTGAAGTTGGTGCCGTGCAAAAATAAAATAAACTGAACTGAACTGATGATGGCTATAAGTAATACACCTGTCCACACATGTTTACCCTGACAGTGAGAACTACATCTTTGGGAAGTTCGACACGTTCTGCCGTCGTCTGACCCGTATCGCTGATCTAGTTAACACCATGGAGAGTCTGAGTGGTCTGGCTGATGTCAAGATTGAAGGCATTGACTCCCTGGCCATCAGGTTCCAGGGCATCGTAGCGACACACAAGAAGAAGAGCTATGATATCCTGGACCACCGCAAGGGAGAGGTACGAACTAACACTTTGGAATTTGTTACCATTTCATTTTATTTCTTATTAAATTTCTAAAATCTATAAATGTTTATTTACCACATAACCTTTTGCTGGTCTTCCAATATTATATTGATAGCTTTTCAAGCTTTGGGTAACATGGCAAATCTATAATTCTTGTGACAGTGAGTTTGCTCAAACAGCTTTTATTCTAGTAAATCATTTTTGTAGTTGTCTAAGGTTTGTCTGATATATTCATGATAATACAATTTTGGATTGTTTCTTCCTATGTATAGTTTGATCAGGACTACATGGACTTCCGCTCTCAGATTGACAGTCTTCACAGTGCCCTTCAGAACTTTGTAGACAGCTGGTTTGACAAGCCTCTTACAGTAAGTTCCTCTCCAGCAATATTTCCTCAATTGTAACTTCATAATACTTGTGGTTGACAACAATACTGGTCTTGAGGCAGATGACTCTTGAGCACTGACAAATTCTCAAACAACTGTTCCGTTAGTAGATATAGGGTGATTGGGGGGGGGGGGGGGTAGGATGAGTGATTTCCTTAACATGACCATGTTAAATAGAAGTTAGAGTGGAAAGCAGGCTGTATACTATACTTGTTAGATAATACCTAGATTGAACATCCATCTTCGGTCTGATCGTATGAATTGGACTTTCACTTCTACTGTTATCTTGAACACTTAAAGGGATCCGGTAACTTTGTCTCAGATCCTTAAACAAAATCCTTGATTTAGCTCATGCTGCAATCATAATTATAAACCTTTAGGTCATTCAGGACTTTTACAAGCCGATCGCCTGTCTGATTATCAAGATATTTATGATTGGAAATCTAAATTTCATTTTGCGTTTTCATAACACTACAGTCTATTGGGGAAATGAGTATGGTAAAACCGGTCACTCAAAGAATTTTTTATTTTTTGAGGCACAATTTTTTTTGGCTTCAATATTACACCCTATCACAGACACTGATAATACGTAGGGCCATGCATCTCAGATTTAACATTGTCAAACGATGACTTTAAGGATCAACTTGACTTGTATGGTTAAAAATTTCCTACACAGAATATTGAAACTTGAATTTATATCTCTTCCCCTCTCTTTGCCAGACGGATCAAGCCTTGGTGCTGCTCTCTAAGTTTGAGAAGATCAAGGGTGCCAATCTGAACCTGAATGAGAAGTACATGCGTGTGCTGTCTAACTATGGTCGGGACCAGGAGATGGTGCGTAAGTTCTACCAGAAGGGTAAGGAAGACCCACCCATCATGAGGAACATCCCTCCCGTAGCAGGCAAGATCGTCTGGGCTAGACAGCTCTACAGGAAGATTGAACAGCCTATGAGAGCTTTCAAGGCTAAGCCAGAGATTCTCAAGACCAATGAGGCCAAGAAGTTGATCCGCAATTACAACAAGATGGCCACTGTTCTTCTTGAGTACGAGGTAAATATGTTATACAGTAGTGGTCATTTTACCTGACTGCTAAGAAAGCATAAAATGCTTGTTAGTAAGCAACCACAGAGGACCGGCAGCTTTAGGACCTCTCTCCGAGGGACCTGGTATTGAGGATTAATGCCTTACCAAAGGGCACTAGCGCATCGCCTTGGAACTGAAACTCCACTTTAAGTTTGATGTATGATATCCTCGTCTTGAATTAGTGTGCAGTAAAGATTAGAATCAAATCAGAGTATCTGCCAGTTACAGAGATATATCATCTGCTGAGAGCCAGAAGGGTGTTAAGTCTTTGTAAAATCATTTGAAGTGATTCCCTTCTGCTTTTCAACACATTGTTTGAAATATTTTGTACAGTTGTGCAATATTCAACTATTCCCTCTTCAAGAAACATGAGGGTGTAACAATCTGAGGAATGGCTTTGAAGTAGTTTTCTTTTCTTAAAATAAGGTCAGAATGAATGTTGTAAAGGGAACCTGGTTGGAACTAGTTCCTTGAATGCTGTCAGTGCCCCAGGGCAGCTGGGCTAAAGCCAAGGTAAAAGTAATCTGTAGGCACCCTGAGCCTCCCCTGGAATGGATTTGCTTGCATTGTTGATGTAGCTATTACGATGATGACGATGATTATTATTATTTCTTGTGTAGGTTCTGTATCACCGTGGATGGTATCGTGCGGTAGACAACATCCGTTCAGGACTCCAGGCCTCACTCCTGGTCCGCCACCCAGAGACCAAGGTGCTGTATGTCAACTTTGACCCTCAGGTCTTGGAGCTGATTGCTGAGGCCAAGTACATGGGCAAGCTAGGGCTTGAGATCCCTGAAGCTGCTGGAGTACTGGTCCTAAGGGAAACTGAGATCAGGGGCAGCTATGTTGGGTAAGTCAACTGTTATAACTTACTCATGTTAACTCCTATTAAAAGTCGTCTGTATTGCAAATATTTTCTTCAAATCCTTTGAATAACACCTCGTATCATTTTGCCGCGATGCATGTACATGTATACTTCTAATATTACCAAAGATTATCTCCATAAACCTCATATTGAGCTTGCATACCAAAACTTTGATAAGATGCACACCAATTTTTAACAAAATATAACAATGCCTATATCCTAGACGTGGTATTCTTTTACTTCAGGCTCTACATGATATATTTGTTGGTTCCATGGCAAGGAATTTCCTTACTCATTCTGTGCCACATGGTCATTATTTTGCACATTATTCTTGAAAATTCTATTCATTGGGTACCATCCCCCATAAAAATACCAATGAATGTGTACACATTCAAACAGATAGCTTGGATCATCAACTATCCTATTATGCTCACACCTCTTAACTCCATCGTCCTATTCTTTTGTTATTTTGACAGTCTGATGGAGATGCTAAACGAGTATGACCGCATCATTGGAACCATCCCCAACATCCTGCTACCCCTGATGACCCCATTCAGAGAGCGTGTGGAGGAATCCTTACAGCCGGGATTGACCAGTCTTAACTGGACTTCACTCAGCCTTGACCAATGTGAGTTACATTCAGATCAGTGAACAAGTGCAATGTCCAGTGCACCTGAGTTTGCCAAACCATTTTAAGGTTTCTTCTATTTAAATATGAGACTTAAAGAAAATTTATATCAAAGGGGGAAGCAACAGAGGTGAGTTTAGATCAACTTCCTGTTGTGGACATAGACATTTTCATGAAAGGCATACCTGCTCTTGGTGATGTAGACAAGATTTAGTCCTTAGACCAGAATGAATCATTTTGTACATTCATTTTACATTGGGGCTCAGGTCAGGATCATCCCAGAGACAACATACAAAATGTAAGGCCCTGTAAACTTGTCACCACTTGCCCCTGTAGGTCAGACTTTTCACCTGAAGATGCATGTATGATTAGTATTTTGTGTTCATAATTGTTTGGAGGATGTTCTTCCATAGTATGTCATAGCACAGAGTTAAATACAGTCAAACCTGTCTACATCGACTGCCCAAGGGAAACACAAAAAGTGGTCTTTGTAGACAGGTTCCTTTAGAACATGTTTCAATGAGAAAACATTTTCAATGGAAACAAAAAATGTGCTTGTTGTAGACAGGTGGTCACTAAAGCAGGTTTGACTGTTTATGTGTCCCTTTACCGTTCACAGACATCAGCAACACGTACAAGGAGATTCACTTCCTACAGCGTCAGACCAAGCAGGTATGTGACCTCCTGGAGTGTCGTATTGATGATGTCCTCAGGGACATGGCTACTACCGCTCTATGTGCCTTACCTACCCATGAACCAACCTCTACTAAAGACTTCTTGAAGTCTACCGAGAGGACGTGCCAGGAGGCTTGTGAGCAGCTTACCAGGTGAGAATCATGTCTAGGAATTCAGATTCAGATTCAGATTTTATTGCCCACGTTAAAAAACACAAAAATTTGGCCTCCACTGGCGGAAGATAACAATGAATATCATAAAAATACATAGATGTGTACAAAACAAATACATCAATTAGATTAACAAACAGTTGAATACATTCGTACAGAAGTAAGAGGAGATAGCAGAGTAAGATGAGAAAAGGAATGAAGGAAAGTGAAAGAGAGAGTGTAACAACCCAACAATGACATAACTTTGTGGTTTGGATTAGAAACTTCTGATTTATAGTCTTAAGAATTATACCACATGTGTCAGCATGATAAACATATAGAACCCATGCTTGTTATTATTCATTTTGTTTCATTGTCAAATGTTGGTGATGTCAGGAACTTCAAAGAGGAAAGAGCATTGAAATCTTTGAATTATCTACGTCTTGAAAAATGTCACATCCCCCCTTGATATTGGTGATATTTCTCTTCCAAAAATGAAGGAGAGATGTAGACAATGGACAAGTATTGATTACTTTCTTGTTTGCTCTAATATCGCTAATCATGCTAAATGTACATTTGATTGTGTATTATATCTTCAAAACAATCTTGGCGACGGATCGTCAACCTGTTCGAAACGTCGAGCCACTCATCCTCTCCAAGCGCTATAGTTCTCCTTAGAACTATAAGCTAAGAAAGATAACAAACAGTTCTTTTCAGGACTACATACCCCCAAGAAAGATTACAGAGTCAGAGTCCTTTTCAGGACTCCTCAATCCTCTCTCTCTATCTCACATGGTGCACCCGCAAGCCTACTGTATATCTACATCACCATGCAAGCCGACACTTACAAGCAGCATCTAAAACAATCTTATGTTGTAATGTTTACAGGCAGAGCCAGGCTGTGGAGGCCTCAGTCAAGGACCTTGTGGACATCCTTGTCAGCAACCTTCGTGATAATGAGAAGCAGAACCTTCATGGCTCCTACCCCTGCCTTCACCCAGACTCTAAGCATAAGAGATGTCTGGAGTGTCTGCCATGCTGCTTCTATACCATGCTAGGAAGCTTCAGCCAGCGCAACACCGATGCTCTCATCAAGTGTGAGTGATACAAGTTATTCATAACCCGTCTAAGAACATGTACCTATGAAATAAACTAGACAAATCATAGAGAGGAGGTATAATTTAGAATATTCTGTCATGAAATGGATTACTTGTTATCATTTTCGTGTACTTTATGAAAATATTTCAATTGTAGAGTGCTGTCATCCATTGAGGATTGGATTTAGTGCTTTGAAAGAAAAGATTATTCTGGAGAGTTCATCTAGTGCTTTTAGAGCAAGATTATTCCCCTTTTATATACAGTCCATGCATTGTCAATGTACTGTAAGCAATGGTAATGTGTTGACATTATATCTTCAAAGCCTTATTGGATTTTTGGTGTTTTGAAATTGTCAGATTGATTGCCAAAAGGCAAACGAATCACTGGATTAGTTATCCTCGATCATAATTTTTATAGATCTTTTTGTTTATTGCTTGCTTTCCCTTTGCAGGCACTCCACTTCCCCTCTGTATGAAGATATATATTGATGATATTGTTTATTGTTTATCTTCCTATTGTAGGCACTCGTCTGTCCCTTGACACCATCAAGAAGCGTCTTCAGATAGGAACCAACAAGTACACCCGGGGTGCCACTGAGAATGAGGAGGCTAAGGTACCATTGTTCCAGGCTGACATCATTCTAGCCATCCCTTCCATCGTTCTTCAACCCAGTCTGGATGACATCCAGTCTAGTGTGAACAAGGCTGTACAGGTCATACTCAAGATGGCACAGAATATCCCTCAATGGGAACAGACCATCCTTAGCCAGAAGGCTGCTCTCAAGGTAAGCAGGGTGCATTCACATGGACAATCAGTCAGGCATTTACAAAATGTCCATTGAATCATGTTTCATGTTGACCTAATCTTCTATTCAAAAAGAGAATTTACAGTATTGTAGAAATTTGGAGGATGTCTTGTATTTGTTGCATTTGAGTGGTTTTCCAGATCTGTATAACCTTGTATAAAGTTCCTACAGGTAGAAAGAAAGGTCAGAAGATCTGAGAAACTCCGCACTTCTAGCGATTATATCAATCAGATGTTTGTCTGTTTGTGAAGACTTAAAACCTAGTCCTTTGGTCTGTATGATACATGTCATGAAACGTCTTTGGAATATTCTAAACTCTGAGTATTCTAAAGTTCTGCAAGAGTAAAACTTGAATCTACCTCATCTTGATAGTATTTATCTTTCTGCATATAGACCAGCCTTATTCTTTAGAAAAGCAGAAGATTAAATCAGATGTTATTCCAGTAGTCGGTACATATATATGGTGTGTAGCTATATCAGAATTCAGTATTTACAGACCTTTCTGAGACCTTTAAGATAGTGTGAGCAGACTCTACTTTCTTTACCATCTATTTCTCTTTCCATTCTTCATTTCATTGGAAGAATATAACTTCTGCCAACATTTTTGGTGCAAGATGGAGAATTTCATCCACTCCTGAAGCAAGTATTGCGTAATAGTTGCATGTCAAGTTCCTTTGTCAATCTAAATAGACCTATAGTGCTTGGCTCGCATGCTATTCACACATGGGTGGATCTCAATTATGAAAAACAGAAAGGAAATTCTCTTGGATTAAGTTATGGGATATTGAATACACCATCCACATGTTGATTATATTAACACTGCATTTGACTGAGTGGAGCTAGAAATAAATGATAAAGAGATTTTTGTTTATTTTATTTTAAGTTTTCTATTTTCGTATCAGAGTATCAGATTTGCCTTTTTTTGCATTTGATAGATGCATTAATGAATCTCATGCAAGCTCTGTGCATAATGTGATCTATCCTATCATATTTCTGCTGGAGGTAAAGCTAGGGTAATAAAGTCCAAAGCTCTTTGGAAGCGCATAGAGATGTTATTTCATAACGTATTATGCGCTATACAAGAACTGAACTAAATTATTATTATTATATATTTAAAGCTTGGTCACAGAAATCTTAATCAGTTATCAAAATCACAAGTATTAAGAAAGATATTTACCTAATAAAGGTCCCCCTCCCCCAGAACAAAACAAAAAAAAGATGTAAAATGCAGCTGAATATCACCATGGCTCGAATGAGAGACTTTTTTTCAAATACAGAAAGAATGAAACTTCATTTTACTAGCTTCTAGTACTGATCAAAAATGTGCTGTCATTGACATCTTGATTATACCTTCTATAAGTTTGAGAGACTTTGCACCCTAATGTAGTAAGTGTTAATCCTGATAAGATAGATCATATGCTTTACTAGTCAGTATTCAGGTAGAATTAATTATGAATCCTATTTGCACTTCAAAATTATGACATTGTTGTGATACTTATCAGTGATATGATATCTTGCTCATATTCACAACAATGTGCTTGCTCTGTAAAAGTATTTCTTGAGATTATAAGATATTCTGTTTTGTATGTAGATGATGATTGTTGAAGAATGATATAGTTGCACTATTTACTCCCAGGTATACTTCAACACTAACAAGTACATGATGTATACATACAATTGGGATAAAACTATAACATAGCCATCTACTGTATACTCTATTTTAGGTACACATTTCATTGAACTTACACTTCTAAATAGCCAATTTCCCAAATTTGCTTTTCTTTAGGGCAAAAGGGCTCCAATGGTTGATTTCAATTCGCTTTTCATTATATTCAATTCACTTTCAATTCAACTTAATTCTTCAAAGCCTCTTCTTTGATTTTCGTTGATAAATGTTAACAGATGAAATATGTGTCATGGATTGATTTGAAGTATCAATTATTGGGAACAAAGGAGTTCTAATAACAGCTGCTGGCCTAAAGAAAGAAGGACTGTATGTACTAGGAGGAAATGCCAATGGAGTCTTGTGCACTAACAGAAGCAATGTGTATCATCATACTTCACATATCAGTCAGATTTATAGCTTTTATATCTATCTTACTATCCAAGTAGTAGTAGCTACTGACTATATATACCTCTCTCCTCCCTGTTTCATCTTTCATTATCATCTCTACTAACATGGTTGTCATAGAAACGGCTTCCTCCTGAACTCTACAGCAAATGGTTGGCCAAGTTGAACGCTCTTCATAGGATGACAAATGCAAGTAGTACTGTGCAGTCCCTACATGGCCCCGCAGTGCACAAGAGCAATCAAAGCATACCTTAATTCTAAAAATCAACACATAAATACCTTTTAAAGCCCCACTGCACTACTTATAGCTACTTGTGCTCTCTATATAGCACACAATGCCTAACCGGTGACCGCTGGTCCCCCATTATCCCCTTTTTCTTATGTTAATTGAGAGCTGATGTGATGAGATAACCACTTGTCAGTGACCATGCTGGGTGGTCTAATTCCTCCTGGCCAAACTAGTGCAGACGGGCTTTAAGATCCAATCACGCTTAAATATATTCTCGAGTTTCACCGTCACTCAGTAGAAATTGAGATGATGATTGATACCACACCGGTGTATGTACAGTCATGATGAATGCAGCACATTGTATTCCAAAGTAGCTGATTTATTTGAAGTTTATTATATATTTTGCGAATCCATGTCTGAATGAAATTATATGCATGATGCAAATTGTGATTTATTTCGTATTTGATGGTAATTGTTAAGAGGATTTTGTACTCATATATTGTACTTCCAATGTCCAAGATTCGATAAGTGGGAATATTTTGTTGAAATGAGCATTATTTGATCATTGGTGATGGTCACAAGCAGTTAAAGGAGTTTCATCTCGAACGTCTCATCATATATTTCACCCTCCATCATGGGTACCGCATGCTTCTGTCTTCCCTTCCCTCTACACTTGCCTTTCTTTCCATCTATCTTTAGTTGAAGTAGATGATAACTAGAGACTTGGTACTCAATCCCTATCCTCTATTTAACCATACATTCATTCATTCATCCTACCTTCCTTTTATATATCTGATGTCACATTCACCAACTCAAAAGGCTATGCTGGGGGAAAAAAGAAAGGTGATGTATCTGGATTATTAAAAATAAAAGAAAGAACTAATGCACCTCATTTATTCTCACTTTCGTTCTCTCTCACCTTGAATGAGCAGTGGTTTCATCTTCAATAACACTCTTGATATATTCATCATCACTTGAAAGGTCAAAGTTTACTCTTCTCTGTGTCTCATATTCACAGGGGCAGGGTGATGTACATTGCAGTGATGTGAAATCCATGATGTTTCTTTATCCCACTTCATTGAAAGATTTTCATTTGAATTAGGTTGAAAATTATGCATCGCAAAAAGCAGTAAGATATTCGGCAGAAATAGAACTCAGCAAGCAATAAAGTGTACAAATGTTTAGATCAAAGCATTTACAAATTCAAGAAATTTGTTATTCCAAGCACACTTTGAGAGAAAAATGAAGATTCCTCAGCCATTTTCAGTGATTTCCTAATGCTCCACATCCTACTTTAGATCATGTGTTTCCATGTGTTATTTGAATATTAAACAAAGCAATCAAATTAATCAATTGGCGGCTGTAACAGGAATAATATGAAGAGTTGAATGTCTTTCATGCACACGGTTTGGGTTTGTAGGGCTATACATTTGTCTGTGGAGGGTACTTTACCTGTATCGTACATTGTTGTACAGCATTGGTTTCAAGTGTCTTTTCTTTATTCTCATACGATTGTACACAAATGTATCTGTATATTGTCGATACCTGTGTATTTGTTACCAGGTGATTGAGGTGGAGGTATTGGTATGTTGTAAATGTAGCTTCTTTTTGCAGAGGGATGTGTGAGTTATTCTAGTAGTATTGAAGCTGTCCAGAATTCAAGATTTTTCTCCCATACAGGGTGATAAAGACATCTAGCTTGCTGAAAATGCATCTCATGAAAGCATTTGAATTGTATTTCTCTAGTGCTATTAGAAGCACCATGATCTTTTTTTAAATATATATTTTTTTCTAATTTTGATTGGGTCTAGCTATGTAAGTGTACAATGGAAACAGTTGGCTACTTGGGTTCCAGGACAACTACCCCCTGGACATCAACCCCCCGGATAACCACCCCCAGGCAACTCCCCCCTAGGAAAACTACCCCCTAGGACAGCTACCCCCTGGGGCATTCATCCTCTAGGACGACTATCTCCCAGGACAACTATCCCTCGGACAACTTCCCCCAGACAACTACCCCCTAGGAAAACTACCCCCTAGGACAGCTACCCCCTGGGGCATTCATCCTCTAGGACGACTATCTCCCGGGACAACTATCCCTCGGACAACTCCCCCCAGACAACTACCCCCTAGGACAACTACTCCCCGGACAACTACCCCCTGGACAACTGCCATCCTCTAGGACAACTACCCCGGACAACTAACCTAGGGGGTAGTTGTCTGGGGGGTAGTTGTCAGGGGGTGGATGTCCAGGGGGTAGGTGTCCGGATACGGGTTACTTGACATCAGTAAGGCTATTTTATCTTAAGCTTTCCCTCACAAACTAATGAGATCTTATTGTAGTTTTTCCAAACCATCACTTCATAATTACAGGCCCATATCAGCATAAACATTTATTGAAAACAACAAAATTCATGTTACATACAAAAGATAATTTGTTTTGTTGTGATTTCATATGATACCATGTCTGTCAACGTTGAGGTACAGTATCAGGTTATCCATTTGCATTGTCAGGACATGTTCTTTTGTGAATTCATATGTCATCAATTTATCCATCATCAACAATTGGGATATAAATGTATGTCATCATTTCATCAACACACCAATGTGTCCAATCTCATTTAATACATCGACCTAAAAAAAAAAAAAAAAAAGGTTTGATACGTTCCAATTTAACCCAATTCATCTGTTAAATCATCAAATTTAACATCCTCTATAGCTCCAGAACCGATAACTAACTTTTGAAAGTGATAATTAATGGGGGAAAAGGTGAATATTTGATTGCTGAAAGCTTTCATAATTGCAATGTATGATTCTTAATGTAGAGACAGATGGCTATGGTGAAATCTTTTAAAGGGGTAAGCAAAATACTTTCTTTCAGCTTGTTGAACCCATATTATGAGGTCATGTGGTTCTGCCTCTAAACCATGCTTGAGCATTCTCATTTAACTTCGGTATGAAATGTATACTCGGGCTTTGCTTTTGAATAACTCATACATGTATCCATACAGAGTGAATAATGAGCCTTTAAATTTATTACGCAAATACCTACAGAATGACAAGAAGTTGGATGTTGCAGGTCATTGATAATGTCATGCATATCTAAAGAGTGTTTTGATATAATGAATACTGATGCAGACTTATGAGGCCGCCTTTGCTATGCCACTTTTTTATGGTTTATTAGAAGGCTTTATAAGTTTTGTTTGCTGAATGATTCATATTGCAAGTTCAGATGCAGCATAGCTTTTTCTCATGCAGCATAAAATGTGGATACCCAAACTCTCACCTTATAGAAACAAATTCATCTGATTCCTTACATACTCATAAATATTATTTCATGATTTAAAAGCGCAAAAAATGTAACAAAATGCAATCAGCATCATCAGTGAATGTATGAAGTATTCCATAGGAAAGAATCTGAATCAGATAATGCAGATAATCAAGCAATTTGGAGTTGAGAACTATATATACAAACAAACAAATGTTGCTATCACTTAGCTTGTTCTCTTTATACGTATATAATGATAATTAGATCAAGTTATACAGCACAGTCACTATATAAATATACTACACTGCGCTTCAGGATCATTATAATGTGATGTCTATTCTGGCTGCCAACAATAATACACAATCTTTTACTTGATCTTCACTAGTAGAACAAGCTGCCAGACATTACTTTCATTTCTCCTCAGGTCTACTGCATTCAAATTCATTCATCATCGTATTAACAGAATTTAGTCAAGAGTGGAAACACATTCATACTTGTTGACATTTCATTTCTCATAACAACTCAACATTCCATGTTCATTAAGTTAAATAGGATACAATTTGAAAAAACTGTAGAACACTATATTTTTTACATTTTAATTCTAATTTTAATATTTTGAATACTATTATTAGTATTTATAACGATGATGATTATGATTATCATTATTATAATTATTTGTTTTGATGGGGGCATTGTGTTGAGAGTATGTCTATTATATGGATAAACACCGTATCAGAGCTTTAGAATGCAAAGTTATCATTTTTAACCCATTTTTTTCTTCTTCAAACGCAACCAAGTTAAAACACAATGAACTCTCACTCCCCTTTTATTTGTTCACAGTGCAATGTGGAATAATAATGAAATCATTCCAGCCTACACACTGTGTGTATATATGATATATGACTTGCTTCTATTGGTTCATTTAATCTTCACTTGTTGACGCATCATGTTCACAATTAACCATTATATATTCATTCATCATTCTGCTTTTCACTGACCGTATTAAAATCCCACAGAGATATAGCACACAACAAGCCTATATCTGCACTATAACACTGATTGGAGCTAAGCTTCCCTAACTCATATTGGAAGGGAAGGCTGCAAAATATAAAATATTATCAGTTAAGATGTAATACCACCCTAAAAACTTCAACCAGGCTCCGACGCAGAATATGTGTTAATTCATGTGTTTATATAGCTTTTTATGGCTGTGGACATTAATGTGCCTCCAAAGTTTTGGCTGTCACATTATGTATATCTAGGAATTTTACAGAAAATGAAAAGGACAGTTTTATGAAAAATTATATAATGATGCATTTTTAGAATTTGATAAGTTTAACTTTACACCATTATGTATTATGTTTTGAACATGTACAATACTTTTAGTAGCTTGAATTAAAAATGAAACAATGATGGAAAATAGTTTTTAAAATGTTTAAGAAGATTTGTGACAGATCAAATTCATAAGGTAACATAACAATTTATAGTGGAAAAAACAAACCTCCATGAATATCTTTTGGCCTAAGCGTTTGAAGACCATTCTATGGTCCGTTGGTTGTCATGGTGTAGTGGATAAGTCATTGCACTGTGGATTGAATGGTGCACTAGGGCTTGAATCCCAGCCAAATAGCGCCTATGGTGTTTTATTAGCATTCAAAAGAAGTAATGAAAATGTTAATATTTACATATCCTATATGAAACAAAAAAGCTGAAATTCTGATGACCAAAACTGTATGTATGCCCCTATAAAGTAACAATTGAGCAAAAGATTTTGAGTGGCAGTATATACTCATAATGAAAAGACAGCAAATAAACTGATTTCACAACATTTGCAATAAAAAAAAAGACAAAAATTTCAAATTTCATCACCCTGACATCTCATTCTTGCTCAAAAATATATAATCATAAAAGGATCTGAATCATTTAATATTGCTTTCCATGAAAATGAGAAAACAAAATATGCAAGCATTTTAGAAATAAGAATATATTTAAATTCCCTTCATGTGTGTGATTATTGGATGATTTGCTTTCCGTAATGGTGTAATTTCTCCCATAAATGGTATTTATGGGGCAAAGGAGTGTCATTGTGAAGATGCAATATCATCAGTGGAAAGGCACATTTATAAACATTTTGATGAATGTTCACATACACTTTGCTCTTCACTACAATGTTACCATAACAACTCCATGGCACATTTCTTTAAATCTACACTGAGCTTATTTTGTTAACGGTATCGTCCTTGATTATCCTTACTTTGCTATATAGGAGCTTGAGGAAGCCAAAGATGACAAGGACGCTGAGAAGGTCACTCTGCTGGCCATTACCCAGAAGCCCCTTCACAAGGTTATTGGTGAGCACAAGGACGTCCTGAAGGTTGTCATTGCTCTGAATAACATTGTGGGTAACTTCAAGCTCGAGTGCCAAGACATCCTGAATGAATTCACACTCTTTTCTGAACTCTGGAAGGAGGTAATGTTTTTATTTTATTTCAATTCAAGTTCAATTCATTTTTCTTCTTTCTTTTATATTTAGTAGTACAGAAAATGTGACCAATCATCTTAATTCAATGATTTGGTATCCAAACACTCAGTATCCCCTATTGTTCATCATTTGTTTCTGTACATTCTATGTCAAAGTTGAAACATATGACATCTTGTTATGTTGCAGCAAGGTTATATCACATCTAGATGCAAAGATCTGCAATTCATTTCAAAGTAAAGTTTACACAATTCATTTAAATATAGTTTGTAGAAACTCTTTGCTTTTATTAATCAATTCAGTAATCACAATGAAAAAGATGATACAAATCTAGTAAAGCAAATCTATTTCTGAAAGAGTAATATATACTTAAAGACTTCTCACATAGTCACATGTGCAATACTCACAAAGTTATTAGCATTGTTGATCAATCTATTCATCACAAGAACAAAGTTGATACACCTTTTTATAGTCAATGTTTTAACAAAAAGAGGTGATATATTTTTGTAGATTCATTGTATTATTTTGCTTTTCTCTCTCAAGGATCCTGAGGAGAAGGTGAAAGAGTTCATGAACACCAAACCTCTGATGTCTGAGATTGAATCACAGATGAGATACTACCAGGTAAGTAGAAACTCGTTCTGGATTATATTCACAGTATAAATGACACCTGTTTCATAAAACTTTGTATCAATAAGAAGTTATAAGAAATGATGTGCAGGTGTAAGCCTTTGAATTCATCATATCTGATTGACTGTGAGCAGATTTTTAATTTTTGCACGTTATCATTCAAAATCAATTTTATAAAAATGGGGGTCAGAATATAGCCTACCATTTATATATATCACTTGAAAGCTAGGCATTATTATATCATTTGTAGTAGTCTGTATTCTACTGATATATATATAGATATAACATAATAATAAGCAACATCAATCGGTATTTACATTATGTCTTAAGAAACTAGTATATATGAAGGAAATATATGAATCTGTCTTGCATCTTTCATCCTACAGGGATATGAGATCAAGATTGAAGAAATCCCAGCCAGCTACAGGGTCGGCTCAGTCATCTGTCTTACCGAGCGTCTGAAGAGCGCCCTCGTTGCTGAAACCAAGGCATGGAAGGTTGCGTTTGGTCGCGCCCTCAACTCGAAGGCCTCAGCTGACATGGAGGAGATCTTTGATTTCATAGAGGACCTTCAGAAGCGTCTCACCCGACCTATCAAGGATCTTGATGATGTACGAGCGGCCATGGCTTCGCTGACTGAGATCAGAGAATCAGAGATACGCATTGATATGACTATCTCACCTATTGAGGAGTCTTATGCTCTACTCCACAAGTATGAGCTCATCTTCTCTGATGGCAATGCAGAGAAAGTGGACAGTCTGTCCTACAACTGGAAGAACCTCACCGCACAGGTAATCTTCATAGGCAGTTCTTGACTTCTATCGATGAATGCCTTCTTTACCACGTACATTTACTACGTGGGAATTTAATCATTAACTTGAAAATCATGTGTCTTTCATCTGTAATTTTATTGGGGATATTCATAATATCTGTTATTGAAATAGTAATGCAGTTGCTGAAGCTGCTTATGATGTTGTTTGTTTATTTGTTTAGTAGCTGATCATCTGTTTGTTTATATATTTGTTTGTTTAGTTCATCAAAGTAGCTGATCACCTAGTGACTATCCAGCCAGACTTCAAGGGTGACCTGCTGAGTGGTGTGACCGCTTTCCAGGAGAATGCTACTGCCTTTGTAGACGAGTACAGTGAGAAGTAAGACAAACCCCCTCGGGCCTTATTTAGACGTGGTTAAACTTTTCTAACAAACCTTCATGGTGGTCAAATGAAATGGTCAAATGCCTGTTACAAATCTGAAATGTTGTACATATTGCAGCATAGCCTCCTATAATAAGGGTCTTTGTTCTGCTCAGCCATTTTCCTGTTGATTGTTGTATCATAATAATAATAATAATAGGCATTTCTATTGCGGCGTCTATCTAGAATTCTATTCTGAGGCGCATTATTATTACCCGGCTTTAGCCTACCTGCCGTTACAGCGCTCTAGCATTTCAAGGAATTGATTCCTACCAGGTACCCATCTACCTCACCTGGGTCGAGTGTGGCAAATGTAGATTACCACTTAACATCCTTTAGGGAGATGAACTGATTAGATTTGGAGTAATTATATATTAAGGGGTTAAAGGTCATTCAAAATTAGTGTCCTATGCCTTCTCCCATAATTACAATATTTCAAGAGTCTCTTTCAAGTGCTACGTGTAGATAGATATTCTTTAAAGCCCCACTGTCCTACTTGTAGCTACTTGCTCCCTTTATATAGAAAACTTCCCAAATCGGTGCCTGTTGGTCCCCCATGATCCTCTTTTTCTTATGATAGTTGAGAGCTGAGTTGATGAGATAGCCACCTGTCAGTGACCTCGCTGTGTGGTCTAATCCCTTCTGGCCCAGTAGTAATGAGGGTCTTTAAAATAAGCCACTCTAATCTTACAATGGTTGTTGTATCCTCACAGGGGTCCCATGGTTCAAGGTATTGCACCCAGAGAGGCGAGTGATCGTCTCCAGCTCTTCCAAGCCCGGTTTGATGAACTCTGGGGTAAATACCTGACCTACTCTGGAGGTGAGGAGCTCTTTGGTCTGCCTGTCACTGAGTATCCTGATCTACAGCGCATCAAGAAGGAGTTCAACCTGCTGCAGAAGCTCTATGGTCTCTACAATAATGTGATTGAGAAGGTCAATGGATACTATGATATCCCCTGGGTGGATGTCGACATTGAGAAGATCAATGGAGAGCTGCAAGACTTCCAAAACAAGTACGTTCTAAACTTATTGGGTGGTATTCCGGTAGCGCGTACTAAGTTAGCGCTTACTTAGTTAGTTCACACTTTTATGGAGTGCCTGTTGCAAACTAATTTACCCTGTACAGATTATTTTAATCCTTCAATGAAAAGTGTCCAAAAAATTAATTTTGCAATGAAATGGGAAGAAAAAGATAATATGAGTATGAACTGAATTTCAACAAAGTCTTTGGTAGATTATCTTTGTCATGAATATTGAAGGAGGAAGATGAAACCTAGCATTCCATATAAGTGTGAACTAAAATTCTTGTTTAGTCTGGACTTAGTCCCGGCTTAACTTATGAGAATACCACCCATTGTATTCATTTTCGGGGAGAGGGGGGTGTTGTGCTCATGCTTGCAGAGCCATCTATACACAGAGTTTGGCCAACCCCGTTCGAGTTGGGCACAATATGGCGACTACTGCTTTGTTGGGCAAGCACAAAACAAAAGAATAAACGCCATGTTGTGACCCAGTGAAACCAAGTTGGCCAAACTCTGTGTATATATAGATGGCTCTGAGTGCTTGTAAGTGATCTTGTGTCGATCAATTTGAATCAAAGATATAGTTTACATTTATATAGTAAATGGTATATTTTGATAAGCTAAAAAATTGAGGTAGCATTTTATCTAGTTACAACTGATATGATAACCCTTCTTATGCATTTTACTGATGAATGGATTAATCACTCTCTCTCTCTCTCTCTCATTCCCAATGTCCATTGGTAGATGCCGAAAGTTGCCCAAGGCTCTCAAGGAATGGCAGGCCTTCATGGACCTGAAGAAGAAGATTGATGACTTCAGTGAATGCTGTCCCCTCCTTGAGATGATGGCCAACAAGGCTATGATGACACGTCACTGGGACCGCATCGCTACCCTCACTAGCCATACCTTTGATGTGGATTCTGATACATTCCTCCTGCGTAACATCATGACTGCACCTCTCCTGCCCAACAAGGAAGATATTGAGGTGAGCTATTTTGTGATGGAGATTTTGAGTATTGAATAGTGATCATAATTATTTGAATTTATAATTAGTTCTCATAAAGCTTAATACATCAATGATGATTATATTGAATAGCCCGTTAAAACAGTGGAGAGATATTTTGTAATCATCTAATCAGAAAAAAAGTTTAACAATTTTGGATGTCGTAAAAATTATTTCTGTAAAAGGACAAGGTTTTGTCTGTTTTGAAATTGTTTGCCTAATTGTTTCGAATGTTTTATATTATAGTACTCTGTTTCTTGTATTATTGTACTGGAGAGTATTGAATCATTGCTTCATGGCAGAAATGACCACTGTACAAGAAACTGCAAACATGACCACTTTACAAGAAACTGTAAACATGACCATGTTATCGAAAATAATATTGCTAGTGATATCCATTTGTCTCGCAATGTATGGTCAATAAGAGATCTAACAGATCATGACGTTTCGTGCGCCGCTGCAACACTTCATCAGGTGATAAAATAAAATGTAAGCAAGCGTGTTTTTTTACTCTACGGGTGGACCGTCTGTCAAATAATTTGATCAATAATTAGAACAAGTTATGACAAATGACCATGTTATGTTTTATCTCTTGTTCAGGATATCTGTATCTCTGCTGTGAAGGAGAAGGATATTGAAGCCAAGCTAAAGCAGGTGGTGGCTGAGTGGAGTGTACAGGACTTCCAGTTTGGTAGCTTCAAGACCCGTGGTGAGCTGATGCTGAAGGGTGATACTACAGGAGAAATCATCTCCATGATGGAAGACAGTCTCATGGTACTCGCTTCTCTAATGAGCAACAGGTCAGTATTCATTCAATCAAACCTGTATAGAAAGACCGCTTGAGGGAGTAAACTGGTCCTCAAAGGCAGTTGGTCTTTATGTACAGGTTTATTTCATGCATGTTTCATTGAGAAGTCAGTCTCATGGTACTGGCTTCTCCTATGAGCAACAGATCGGTATAACTGCCATTGTCATCATGATGAGCATTATCAACGCTATCCTCATCTTTCTGTTTACATTACTATCACTACTGTTGTTATCAAAAAGTCAATTTCCTTGTAAATAATGGAAAGAAAAGTATGTGTAGCTTGAAGGCTGATAATGGTTGATAAAGTTGACAAATTATGAAAGCAAAGTGATATCTTAATGTTTAGCTGACTCCCCAAGAAGTTGATGCTACCATCATTATTATCATCGTCGTCGTCGTCGTCGTCATCACCACCACCACAAACACGAACAGAATCATGACCACCACCAAAATCACTACTCCCACTATCTATTGAGCAGTTCTCATTTGTAGCACTCTTCTTCAACGGTTGACTCTTTTTGCTTTCCATGCAGGTACAATGCCCCATTCAAGCCTGAAATCCAGAAGTGGGTCCAGCGTCTGTCCAACACCACTGAGATCATTGAGAACTGGATGCAAGTGCAGAACCTCTGGGTCTATCTGGAAGCTGTCTTTGTGGGTGGTGACATCGCTAAGCAGCTGCCACAGGTGAGGAATAATGGAGTCAAACTCTATAGTGAATACCATAATCATGGGGGAAATGAAAGAAGACAGAATTAAAGAGATGTAGGTGTTAAGCTAAGTTGTATGATCCACAGTCACATGTTCATATTTTAAAGAGTAGATTTATATAATGTGTTCTTATCATTACTGTTTGGAAGGACTTCAGCCATGGCCATGTAATTCTGCCAAAAGTTTAAATGTATTATTCTGTATCAATACCAGTTTTACCATCAAACTTTGTGTGTGAATAGGAGTCTACATTTTATTTCATTTTTGTTCATAACCCCAAATATTTTCACCCATCTTTACTCCCCTTCCAGGAAGCCAAGAGGTTCAGTAACATTGACAAGTCTTGGGTGAAGATCATGCAGCGGGCCCATGAGGACACCAATGTAGTCCAGTGCTGCGTGGGTGATGACACCCTCTCACAGCTCCTACCCCATCTCCTAGAACAGTTGGAGATCTGTCAGAAGTCACTGACTGGTTACCTGGAGAAGAAGCGTCTGGTCTTCCCTCGATTCTTCTTCGTCTCTGATCCTGCCCTGTTGGAGATCCTTGGACAGGCTTCAGACTCACATACCATCCAGGTCAGTGTTTTACCCTGAATCTTGAAAACATTGAACCATTTTCAAGACTACACCAACAGTCCTTTTCAGGACTACACACCCTCAAGAAAGATTACCGAGAGTCCTTTTCAGGACTCCTCAATCCTCCCTCTCTCACACCTGGTGCAACCACAAACCTACTGTATAACATTGAACCTATATTGTACAGATCACATCAGGTATTTGATTCAGGCAATTATTGGAACTTTATGTTGGAAGAAGTTTTCAACATATAACAAAAATTCCCTTCTGACTGATGGGAATTTATCTTGTGTATTTCTGAAAGAGCTTATCAGATTCTCGATATACTAACATACAGTGTAGATACAGTTTAGTCTTTATCAGATCGTCAATGCAAGTGCTATTCCAGTGAAATCAAAAGACTCTCAAAGCCCCTGTTTTCTTCTATTAAATTGGTAACAAATGACTAATAGTAGCTCAAGTGCTATGATAATACTTGCCCTATTCTAATTAATCATTTGTCAACAGAGAAATCTGTGAGATCAGGTTTCCTTGGCATAGACTCTGGGAGAAAACTAACATGATTATCTTTTGTTAGTTGAAAAAATCTTTATGCACCTCTGGTAGTTTGTGTTGAGGTGACTTAGTGACTATTTGATTCACACCATATTGTTACAAGTACATAATTGTATTATAAATAGCCATTTCCTTAATGTTGATATGATGTTGTCGATTGATTACAGGCTCATCTTGAAGGTCTGTTTGACAATGTGAAGACAGTGGACTTCCATGAGAAGAACTACGATCAGATCCTCGCCATCAGCTCTAGGGAGAAGGAGAAGATTGAACTGGTCAAACCAGTCAATGCTCAGGTAATTCATTTACTTAACATTTGATCCGGGCATTATTCTGTAAAAGATACAGTGTTGGGGTTATGGTTTCCATTAAGCATTTAGGTTTGAGGTTAGGCAGAGTGTTTTGTTCAGGGTTGAAATTAGATTTTTTTAAAGTATAGGAAATTGACTGCAGAGGAATTGTCGCTGGAGTATGTGACATAGAATCGGTGAAGTCATAGTCTTAGTTTAGATGTTGTAATCAAGAGAGAATGTATGAAGTTTCAGTTCTTGATAAATTTTAGAAAATTTATAATATTTCTGATATGTACAGGTATTATTGATATTACAAGAATTAGGTCCTGTAGTCTGTCTCTTTTATTGATGTTGATTACATGATGAAATACAGATTATATAATATGAAAGTAGCATATATAGACACATTTTTCAATGAGCTCTGAATTAGGAACATCCTTTCATCACCTTGCTATAATCATCTTTCTTTCTCTCTCCTCATGTAGGGTAATGTTGAGATGTGGCTAGGAGAACTGTTGAACAATGTGAAGAAGTCTATTCACACTATCATCAGGACGTCGTACATCGGTCTCCAGGACAAGGAGAACTTTAACCTGATTGAGTTTGAGAACACGTATGCAGCGCAGATCGGTCTGCTTGGTATCCAGATGATCTGGACTAGGGACAGTGAGGAAGCTCTCAAGAATGCTCGCTCTGATCGCAAGGTTAGTCATCTGATCTTTTCTCTGATAGATGTATAATTGTGGCCATCGATTTGACTGCCTCAGTTGTGTGCATGATTGAGAAACGTATGAGTGCAGATTCTATTGTGGCTGCACATTGTGTCAACTGTATAGCTTCCCTTACAGTAACATGTTATAAGATGATTAAGATCAATTCCTGAGAGGACCATTGGATTTATTAAGTTAGATAACAACAGTAATTAGGGCTTAATACCATGATAAAGGTGTGGATGCATTGTCTTGTATCCTTAGAGGAAATCATTTTTATAAACCTAACTGTTATTATCATCGTTGTAGGAAGATGGTGATTTGATGATATGAATGTTAATCTGTTTATTGATTCGGTTTATTGCAATAAAAGAACATGCAGCTGGAAAGCTGAAATTGCTCATTTTACAAAGTCAATGTACAACACAATAAACGATCAAAATATGAATGACTAAAACGTACAACCATAAATCATGCATAATGAAACAAAATAAAACTCAATGTTACATCAAAATCTAAATATATTACAAATATTAAATACAATATGAATGTTATTCTCTTCTATGTACAGATCATGGCAACCACCAACCAGTACTTCATTGACATGCTGAACATGCTGATTGATATGACCACTCAAGAACTCACCAAGTATGAAAGAACCAAGTTTGAGACTCTCGTCACCATCCACGTCCATCAGAGGGATATCTTTGATGACCTGGTAGGTCAAAGGTCATCCATCTTTGAATGGATTTCTTCACATTCATGTTAACAGTTGGTTTGAAAGTGATAAACTGATGTGCAGATTGCTGGAGTAAATTGTTCTGCATTTACAGGATACAAATTGACTACATGTAGTTGAACAGGGTTTCACAAGCTTGTAGAGTTTAATTTGAATATTTATATAGAGCCAATTGCAGAGGTAGTGAAAAGGAAATGACTAGAATAAGACTGAAAGAGAGAAAGATTGTGTGAGGGGTAGAGCAATGGATCAAATAGATCGGGAGACGGGGCTAGAGAATGAAGGGAAATTTAGAGTGATATGCTAAACATAAAGGACAAAAAAACTGTAGCAGATCCATCACCAGACCTTTAATGAACAGGAACTGACGCTTCTCAAAATGCAAATCTTTTCTTGCATTTCAAAGGTACGCATGCACATCAAGTCCGTCAATGACTTTGAGTGGCTGAAGCAGTCTCGTTTCTACTTCAACGAAGACACAGATGCTTGTATCATCTCCATCACTGATGTGGACTTCTCTTACATGAATGAACCTGTGGGATGCACAGACAGACTTGTGATCACTCCACTTACTGACAGGTATGTCCAGCATCTTGGAGGGAGGGACAAAACAGGAATTTATTTTGTCCCATAAACGCATGTAATGTAGTGTATCATGTTCTTTGCAGCCAAATCTTAAATGGCTAAAAAAATGAGTGTAATCCTGTAGCTGATATGTTTCCTAACACCTTAAACTCTAGTTTCGTACAGTTGGAATATTGAAATGAAAAAAAAGAATCTTCCAGATGATCCTTAAAGGTTGGCTTTGCTTGGTAGTGTGTATATCATTCAATAAGTTTGCGGGTACACCATGTGGGTAGAAGAATCTTCCATGTTCAAATATGTATGGGAGAGGAAAGCAATGGGAAATTCTTGTTATGTTATCTCACCATATCACCTTTGACATTGGATTATAAAGCCGTCTCCATTGTACAAACTAGAGAGGTGAATTTTAGATCAATGTCTTGCCAAAGGACATTAGTGCCGCGGCGGGACTTGAACCGCAGACCTTGCGATCCACAGTCCGGTGACATATCCACTCCACCACGACACTGTACAAACTGGAGAGGTGAATTTAAGAGAAGAATTATCAAGTAGGCGTTTTAATGCCCTGCAAGATGCTCCAAAACAATCATTAGGAAAATGTTTAATTCTATGATTTGATTTCTTTATTCTGCTGTGCTCAGATGTTACATCACTCTAGCCCAGGCCTTGGGTATGAGTATGGGTGGTGCCCCAGCCGGCCCTGCTGGTACGGGCAAGACTGAAACAACCAAAGACATGGGAAAGGCCTTGGGCAAGTATGTGGTGGTCTTCAACTGTTCTGATCAGATGGACTTCAGAGGACTTGGCAGAATCTACAAAGGTAAGTTTAATAATAATATTCGGCTTTTATATAGCGCCCAATACATTGATACAACGATGTGCCTAAGCGCTTTACTGATATATAATTACCCCGGTCATCGGATTCAGGCTTACCCGCACACAATGTATGCAACTTCTCCACTCCCTGGGCAGCATTCTGGCCAGTCGCCATTTTACAAGTGCACACTTGCTCATCCAACCACATTAACTTTATTTTTCTTCATTAAAATGTTTCTTTGTTTAAGTACTCTTATAAACCAGATTCTGTATCTGACTATGTCTGGCTTCTCACGTTCTTTGACTGAGTCAGTTGTACTTGGTTAACTGTAGCCTATGTGTTTACTCAACGAATCTCTAATATGAAAACAAATGTCCTCTCTTGTTTGTTTAGGTCTGGCTCAGTCTGGTTCCTGGGGTTGCTTCGATGAGTTCAATCGTATTGAGTTACCTGTACTCTCTGTGGCTGCTCAGCAGATCTACATTGTACTCTGCTGTAAGAAGGAACGCAAGAATAACTTTGTCTTCACTGATGGTGATATCGTTGACATGGACCCTGAGTTTGGTATCTTCTTGACCATGGTAAGAGATTGATGAAAGTATATCAACTGCAATAAAATCCTACTTTTGTAATATGAACGCATGAAAAGAGATATGTAGTATTGCTAACAATGATTGTGCACCTGTTCAATTATCTGTTAATTCTAAAGTGTGGCTTGCAAGCATACCTCTGTGTTTGGAATAAGAATAGATATTTTCTACCTTCTGATATAAAATCAGGTGTATCCATTTCAAAGTTATCAGAGTTCACTGGCAGAGCAAGGTCAAGTTATATATCTTCTTTATAGTAGGAACATTTAGTTTAATTCTATAATGTGAGTCTCTTTCTTTATTGTCATTGATACTAGATTAGGTTTGTAAGCTTACAAATTAGAGAATATCAGTTAACATTGTTAATACTATACTTCCAATCCTAACAATTTCAAGCTGTTCTTTCACTAACACATCTGTGTAGCTGAAAAATCTTTCATGTGAAATCACTATCAAGCTCATTTTATTCGCCTTCCACAGAACCCTGGATATGCTGGACGTCAGGAGCTGCCCGAGAACTTGAAGATCCAGTTCAGGACCGTAGCCATGATGGTACCTGACCGTCAGATCATCATGAGGGTCAAGCTGGCTGCCTGTGGTTTCCAGGGTAACGTCATCCTGGCTCGCAAGTTCTACACACTCTACAAGCTGTGCGAGGAACAGCTTACAAAGCAGGTGAGACCATATGAGATGATAAGATCTATTTCCTGTCAAGGATAGTTGGGTTACTTTTTAGAGCATCTAACTGTTGAATCAAAGATGATGACTCAATGTGAGTCTTGAAAGACTTCTCAGTTATGTTGTATATTTCTATATTTGTGGACCTGCAATAGAAATGTTGTTAATATGAATATTCATATTTGTATTATTCTATTCAATAGCGAAAACATAATGTGTACTAGAAAACTCGACTTGAAAACCAAATGTCTTTCAGGCGTTGTCTGCATATTGTTGTGTACTTTCAACGTCGCACATATCAATGCTATGTCAATCGAAAGATTTGAGACATGCATGTGAGTTGTCTACATATACAGTAGTAAGCTATACGTGGCAGACAGCATAATTAAGGTTATTCTGTTATGATAATGATGTTCTAGAGCTTGCCTACTAGAGCCTAGATTACACAGTTTAACAATGTTTTGTTTCTGATTGTAGGTTCATTATGACTTTGGTCTACGTAACATCCTATCTGTGCTGCGTACACTGGGAGCCTTCAAGAGATCCAACCCAGGAGACAGTGAGAACATGATCGTGATGAGGGTTCTCAGAGACATGAACCTCTCCAAACTGGTAAGCTTCTTTTCTTTCATCTAAACAGTGAAACCTGTCTATAAAGACCATCCAAGGGAGACAAGAAAAGGGGTTGTTATAGGCAGGTGGTGATTATGTACATGTTCCTTTAGTACATGTTTCAATGAGAAACCATTTTCAAGGGAAATAAAAAATGTGGTCTTTGTAGTCAAGGGGTCACTATAAAAGCAGGTTTGACTGTATTAGAAGGGAGAACATCTTGTTAAGCTGTAGCTTTGTCTGTTGACAGCCAAACAAGTGTTAAACGCATGTCATTTGCCATAAAATGAAGGCCTTTCTAGATCATAACAGATATCAAGATATATTTATTTAAGTGAAATATTTTGGAATGACAACATGTATTAATAGATTGAAACATGATAGTCTACACTTTTCTTAAAATAGATATACTGTAGTCAATGTCATTATTATTCATTCACAATTTGTTTAATTGTATTTGGGTTGTATTTTAAGTTGTTACAGTTGCTTGCCCTATAAGCATTTAACTCATTTGTACACTTTTATGCTTTTATTACCGTGGACAATAAAAGAACTTATGAATATGTAATTTTGGAAGTGAGTCCATCTGCAATATATTTTTTGACAAGTAATTATTAGCGTAATACATGTTATTACGTGAAAAGAGATGCCTTGCTTTAATTGTTATGTTATTTTGTGGCCGAGTCTTTTATGATTTGATGTTGTTTGTTTATACAGGTGGATGAGGATGAGCCTTTGTTCTTATCTCTCATTGATGACTTGTTCCCTGGTATGACTCTAGACAAGGCTGGGTACCCAGAAATTGAGGCTGCCATAGAGAAACAGGTAAGGTGTTTGAATTTTCATTCTAATGTTCATTAAATATCAGCACTTTGCTTGCTGAGCATCTTAATAGGAAATTTGTATATGTATTTTACAATATACTATATATTTGTATACTATATATACTATATATACCATCAATGGTAAATTTCGTGCAACATGGCCTTGGGCCTCATCGTAGAAAGAGCTGAGATTGATGCACGGTGATTGCAACTTGAAATTGACATCGATCATAACTCTGTTCATAATTCATATTCCTGTGAAATGTGCTTAGGGGCATCTTGTTTCATTCGCTTGTTACTAGTTACTGTGTGAGAAAATTAGAGTGTAGGCTGCATCCATTGGTTTTGGTTATGTTTAGTAAACTTATTGCAAACCTAATTTCAAACCATTGTCATTGAGGCTTGCTTAAATTTTTTAATGTATTTTTGAACGTATTTTTAAATGTGTTTTTGAATGTCTTTTTGAATGCATTTTTGAAATAATATTTTAATGTATTTTTTAATGTATTTTTGAACTGTTCTTGTACGATACACAAATGCTAAAGTTCCATACATTTTGTATTTGTTGTAGATCCGTGAAGCTGGCTTAGTGCATCATCCTCCATGGACCTTGAAGCTCATTCAGCTGTATGAGACTCAAAACGTTCGTCACGGCATGATGACACTGGGACCTAGCGGTGCAGGTAAACCCAATCATAGTGATAGCCTGTATTAAACACAATTCAAGATTTAGCTCATAGTTCAGATCACATTGCAAAGACATTGTGATCAAATGCTTCTTTCATAGGGGCTTGTTTTAACTGGAGATGTATCTGAAACTAAATATGCACAAATATGGATAGGAACTTCTTTTCTCTAATATGAATATCTTACCAATGAAAAGAATCAATATGTTTGGTGAGACTCCTGTTCAAATTAAGGCACAGTGAAGGAAAAAGGACCGCCCCCCCCCCCAAACAAAAGAAAAAAAGAAGAAGTATGAATTGACTGATTGAATCTAAGCTAGATTTAATCTCAACAAGAAAAATGTCTTGCAATCAATATTAGAGCATTAAAGTTAAAGAATCTTAAATGCATTGTTTGTGTAGTTCGTTTGGGTAGTGAGACGGAACTACTGTCCTTTGGCAAGACATTAATCTACATTTGCCATACTCTACCCAGGTGAGGTAAATGGGTACCCGGTAAGAAGAAATTCCTTGCTTGAGCACCTTTTAATGGTAGCTTGGTTAAAGCCGGGGTAATAATATGATTGCAGGGCTCTCAGGGAGAACAGTATGAATACTTGTAAGGCTTCCCTGGGTAAACAAGACATATTATTATTATAATTTTGCTCTGTCTATTCTTAGGTAAGACCAAGTGTATCAACACCCTAATGAAAGCAATGGGTGAGTGTAAGGCCCCACATAGGGAGATGAGGATGAATCCTAAGGCTATCACTGCACCTCAGATGTTTGGAAGGCTGGATGTAGCTACCAATGACTGGACTGATGGTATCTTCTCTACACTCTGGAGGAAGACTCTCAAAGCTAAGAAGGTAGAATTTCTAGAATTTTATTGACTCTTTGACCCTCTCTTGGGGTATGAGAGTACAAATAAACATTAAAGTATAAATAGCAATGCATGACTTGTGAATAAATTTCTTATACATTATACATAGATAATGACACAAAGATACAAACGATAATACATGTAGGTCTATAGTGTATGAAAGTACAAACATGAACAATGAACCAACTATTAAACACAAAGTATATACACAATGTAGATAGTGGCAATAATAAAATTTATAAGTATTATTAATCATCTATCTTTAAAGCTCTTTTGTTGTTAATCTCTCATCAAACACATATGTTCAATATGACTTTTGGTATGTTATTTAAGTGCTGAGAGCAGAAGTTAACCTTGTTTATAACATTGTTATTGTAAAGAAAATTATTTAATGATGAAAGATTTATCATGGAATTGTACATCAGCATATGTGTTAATTGTTCTGAGTTCAACTAAAGTCAAACTTACCAATCACGGTTTATGATCAATGCATTCTTTCTAGCTCTCTTAACCCAACATCTCTATTCAGCATTAACATGTGAATACTTGTGTGGAAAACATGTAAGTCCTTAGAACTGTTTACACAAATCTGGTTAGAGTTTATCCAAATAAATGTTTCACCCATTATTCCTATCAGGGAGAACACTCCAAATTAACGTTTCACCCATGCATTATTCCTATCAGGGAGAGCACATCTGGATTGTACTTGATGGACCAGTGGATGCCATCTGGATTGAGAACCTCAACAGTGTTCTGGATGACAACAAGACCCTCACCCTGGCCAACGGTGATCGTATCCAGATGTCACCGAACTGTAAGGTCATCTTTGAGCCTCACAACATTGACAATGCCTCTCCTGCCACAGTGTCTAGGAATGGTATGGTCTACATGAGTTCATCTATCATGGATTGGCTGCCTATCCTACAGGTAAATACCCATTATGAAGGTTTATTTTGAAACAAGGGAGTACCACTTTGAGAAAAAAAAAAAAAGAAATGCAGGAAAGATGAAGGATAAAGTGGTAATATGCTTCACGTTGCTATATTTCATACACATATCACCATGACTATTCATAGGGGTCACTGTTGGATGCAGCTTCTACCCCCCCCCCCTCCCCCCCTCCCCCCCCCCCCCCGAAATAATATCTTTATGGTAGCCTTTCTACCTCTAGAACCTGTGAACCAATGCTATGCAAACTTAAAAGTTTATGAGTCCTGTGTGGAGAAGTCTTGACATACTCCATATTTTATATACTGATCCTGTATTCATTTCTTAACCTGTTGACTACTGAATTAATTCATTGCTGTAGGGTTAATACAGGGGTTATCCAGCTCTAGTAGGCAATGGGTTAAATGATTTGTTTTGTTTGTCTCACCCTTTAGGGTTGGTTGTTCACCAGACCAGCCACCCAGCAAGAACTACTGATGGCTCTCTTTGAGTCTACCTACAAGGACCTGTACCTCTATGTCATTCAGAGTCTTATCCCCAAGATGGAGGTGAGTATCTCAGTGGATCAGGAAGAAATTGATTGCATTTATTGATGTTGATCGCATTCATTGATTGCATTTATTGACATTGATCGCATTCATTGATTGCATTTATTGATATTGATCGCATTCATTGATATCGATTGCATTCATTGATATTGATAGCATTCATTGATATCGATTGCATTCATTGCATTTGTAAAGTTAAAGGGATTCTGCACCTACTGATGTGGCCCTCTATCTCTCATGTGCTGTGTTTTCTTGCCCATAGCTGCTCCCACAATGCAGCACTGATGATGACAACCTCCTCTACATTATGTTTTCTCTAGTTCAATGTTTTAGTCTTAACCCACTTGTGAGTTTGTTAACACTTCAGCCTAGTGTAGAGATCCTTTCAAGTATGTGCTAAATGACATGTCTTTGAAAAGATGTTTATTGCTGAAAAGTTGAAATTCAGGGCCCTGTCTTATACAGAGTTGATATGAATTGCAAATATTTTGCGATTCATATCAATTGCAAATATGTGCATAAGAGATAGGAGATTGCAAACTTGCGATTGATTGGAGGACTTGCGATTGATTTGGATTAATCAAAATATTTCAGAAGACAGGGCCCAGATGTTATTTATGTCTGCTTATATAGTATTTTGTTGTTACTCTTTTAATGGAATGTTGAAAGAATACTTTAGCTTGAACTTTTAACTTGGAAGTATTAGTAGGTTTATATGAATAATGAACCATTACACAAGTACTCTCTCTCCCTCTTTCTCTACCCCTCTCTCTGTCTCTGTCTTTCTCTGATCTTCTCTTTTTTTGCTAATGTACATTTTAATTCTTTACTTATGCACTCATAATTAATCCTATTCTTTCCTATGCTGCTTATTTGTAGGTGCTTGAATGTATGTACGTGAGGCAGACGATTGATCTGCTGTCTGGTCTGATCCCTGGAGAGGATTCTAACCCATCTAGAGAGCATCTTGAGAGACTCTATATCTTCTGTCTTATGTGGTCTCTAGGAGCTCTCCTCGAGCTGGATGATAGGAAGAAGGTAAGATGGATTTCAAATCCAATCCAACCAATCCTATCTGTAGGGGTGTTGTGGTTTAGTGGATAAGTCGTCGGACTGTCGATCACAAGGTCCGCGGTTTGAGTCCCGCCACAGCACTAATGTCCTTTGGCAAGATATTATTCTACATTTGCTACTCTCCACCCAGGTGTTAAATGGGTACCGGTAGGAAGGAACTGCTTGAATGCTGTGAGCGCCGAAATCGGCAGCCTAGCAGAGCCGGGGTAATAGTTGAAGCGCCTTAAGCACCATGCATGCATGCGCTATATAAATATCCAATATTATTATTATTATTATACCACATGTATTCGATATAGCACCTTTTCTAAGCAGTTGTTGTTTTATATTTGTTGATGAAGAACAACGTATTACGATGGATAAGCTGCTGTATTTGTTTTTATTAAACTGATAGGGGAGTATCAGAAGTTAAAAGGAATTTTGATCTTATAGTCACTGGCTTTCTAGATCAATTTTGAATGAGAACTGCTGCTCATGGGAGGGGGGGGGGATGATATTACAATGCATTATCTTGAAACAATGATGGCGTCATTTATGAGTGATATTTCTTCTTTTGAAGCTAGACGTGAATTTATTGTTTATCCAAAATAAGCTGAGATTTAAACTTGCTGCTTTTTTTTCAGATGGAAGCCTGGTTAGTTGAGAGAGGCGGTCTTCTGCTACCTACTACTAGTGCTGGTCAAACCATCTTTGAGTTTGTGGTCAGAGATGATGGTCAGTGGGAGCATTGGTCAGATAGGGTAAGTAGTATTCTACTATCTTTTCTTTTCTCCTTATAAATATTGCTTTAAAAATAAATAAATAAACAGGTTATTAGATGAACCGAGAGAATTACAAAGAAGAATATAATAATTATGTACCTTTTGCCATCTAAAAGACTATAAAAAGGGAGTGAAGTTGGAAGTAAATACATAAAAGATGGATACTGGAGCACAACAAACATACCTCACTACTTCTGAGAATAAACAAAAAATTAGAACCTACTACTTTAATCATCATCATCAACTCTTTCCATCTTGAATCCATAATGTATTTTTGGTGTATCTAAATTTCCTTTTGTTCATAATATCTTGATTACTCTTTCTTATTTGATTGTTATGATTTGTATGTTTCTTTTCTGTTGTTGATCATTTTGTCTGTAATAGCACTCAATAAGAATCAATTATTATCATCATCATCATGATTTCTATGTTTGGTATAATTGTTATTACAGGTACCAGAGTACATCTATCCTACCGATTCCACACCAGAGTATTCCTCCATCTTGGTTCCTAATGTAGACAATGTTTGCACAGACTACCTGATACATACCATCGCCAAGCAGGACAAGGCAGTGCTTCTTATCGGTAAGATTTCAGTTAGTGTGTGTGTGAGACAGAGAGAGAGAGAGGGGGAGAGAGAGAGAGAGAGAGAGAGAGAAAGGGAGGGGAGAGAGAGAGAGAGAGAGAGAGAGAGAGAGAGGGAGGGAGTGTGTGTGAGAGAGAAAGAGAAAGAAAGGGATCTGTGCTGTTGAAACCAAAAAAGTAAACGACAGCAACAACAATAACAACAGCAGCAACAGCAACAACAGCAATTACAACAAAAAAAGAATGATTGATTGTGGGCCTGATTAAAGAAAGGATGCAGTAGATAGAACATGAGGTCAAGAATGAGCAAAGAATAAATAACAGCTCTGGATTGCAGGCAGAGCTGTAGGGGTAAGTTTTAAAATAGAAGGACTGCCAAAAATATAGAAATAGATTATGAAAGATAAACAATTTGATCAAAATGAAAAGCGAAATTATAGTGTGGTACGTGTAGTCATCATATTTAAGAAAGTGACTGTCGTAGTACCATTGTGAATTGATTGATCTTAAATGTGTCTATTAATACAGGTGAGCAGGGTACAGCTAAGACTGTGGTCATCAAGGGATACTCCAGCAAGTATGATCCTGAACACCATCTCTTCAAGAGTCTCAACTTCTCCTCTGCCACCACACCTAACATGTTCCAGGTGTGTTCACATAGACAAACATAGTTTGTACTTAACTCTGCTCACTCATGGTGTAGAATATACATTATTAAAGCCAATGATATATTCATTAATCTGTAACAAACTGTAATTTTGTAACGTAACATAGCGTAACATACTGTAATTTTGTACTGAATAATATTGTGTAAACGTGGTGCTGTCGTCCCGGCTTTTATTTTCTGTAAGGACTTTGCTTCACTTAACTTCACTTCACAACAGCACCACTGGGCCTAGAAACAATGTATTAGGCGCTTTATGAATGTGATCTATTATTATTATTATTATTATGATATCCAATTATACATGTATGTTTCTGAATGAGTCTTCTCTTTAGTATCTTGAATCCTGAAATGTTTCAGGAAGGAGATGGGAGATCAAAAATAGCTCATTTAGGGATCAATTGCCAAATCTGTTGCAACTTGCTTGTCCATGACATTCCAAATAAGTGTATTGATAAAGATAATGAACCCAATCGAACGATTGATCAAATGCAGTCATGTATAAGAGATGAAAGTATCATTGACAATGACAGTAGTTCTTCATTTGTATATGGGAACAGGTTTTAACTGTCGTGTTCTGTATTGATAGAAAGAAGTTGTTCAATGACTTGTTATGACCCGGTAAACCATCCAGTAAGGAGAGCTAGCGTCTTCTTATTTGACAGCCAATAAGAGCTTTTTTTTTTGTCCGTGCGTTCTTTCCTCTCCTGTAGTTTGTGTTTGTATTGTTTGACTTTTTTTGTCTGTGCATTCTTGTGTTTCACTTTGGAGAGGTCAAGAAAAAAGCTTTAGAATGTCTTTATTCAAAGCTGCGTAACTTGACTCCATTATTGCTTGTCTTGTTTGCAGCGTACCGTTGAGAGCTACGTAGACAAGCGTGTGGGTACGACCTATGGACCTCCTGCTGGCAAGAAGATGACCGTCTTCATTGATGATTTGAACATGCCTGTCATCAACGAATGGGGAGATCAGGTATGTTGAATCAAAACCAAAGTCTGGGACCCGTTTCACAAAGCCCTTTTTCAATGACAAATGACAGAAATCAGTGATGAATCTGCTGATAACCAATCAGGAGCAAGGATTTCATTAGCTTATAACAAAATCTGTAATTTGTCACTGATGACAAGTTTTGTGAAATGGGGCCCTAGAATCATGAATTCTCGAAGGGCTGGAAAGAGAATATCAATACATCTTAAATACAATCATAGTTTTTCAAGTTTGAATAATTGAATGGAAGAGGAAGTGGAAAATAAAATGCATCATGTCAATTGATGTCTAGATACAAGAAGAATAATGGCGTAAAAATAATAAATTAGGAGTGGGGGAGGGCAAGAGAAGGCTTAAAGGGGGGCCCTATTAACGTTTTTTAGGATTTAATATTGAGGTTTCCTCCCTAATATTCCTTTCTTTTCTGCTAATTATGCATCAAAATTGGAAAGGTGTTACTTTATCAAAGTTAGAAAAGAAATGTGTGCAAACTGAAAGGAGAATCCTCAAGCATTGAAAGGTATATACAGTTAACAACTACATTATTCATACCTTTACCAAGTATTGTTATTTTAGATGTATGTGAAAAATTAATTTGGCCCGTTTTATGTTTCTTGAAAATATGACATATGAACATGTACATTTGATCCTTCAGATCACCAATGAGATCGTTCGTCAGTTGATGGGAACCCGAGGTTTCTACAGTCTTGATAAGCCTGGTGAGTTCACCAGTATTGTTGACATCCAGTTCTTAGCAGCCATGATCCAACCAGGAGGAGGGCGTAACGACATCCCTCAACGTCTCAAGAGACAGTACAACGTCTTCAACTGCACGCTGCCCTCCAACAACTCCATTGATAAGATCTTCAGTACTGTAGGAACAGGACACTACTGCAAGGTAAGGGCATGATTCTTCCACACTTGGAACAAGGGCACATTCCTTACAACAGGTATTTTGAAATGTGAGGATGATGATGATGATTCACAGCGTTTGTTTGGCGCCATCTATCTGTTTTAAAAAACATTCAAGGGTGCGAGCTCCTCCAATAAAGTTAGCATTTAAATGTCTGAAAGAAGAGGAGGCCGTAAGACCAAGTGATCAAAAATATAATGTTATTACTGTGATCTTTATAAATGTCTTAGGAGGCAATACTGGTAACCCATCTAAAGCAGTTCAATAGATTTCTTCTTGTTATAGAAATAAAGAATCCGTGATTCAAACAGATTGTACTACAGTGACACTTGAACGTGAAGACCACTTAAGGGAAACAACAAACTTGGTCTTCATAGGCAGGTGGTTTTTCATTACAGGTGTAAAGTAGTTTTGACATTATTCCTAGCATACTTGATTTGGCCTACAGCACCGATTCTGAGGTTTCTATTAATGACCCTATGAGACTGTTTTCCTGGTTTATTTATAAAGCATTAAAGAGTAAATGCTTCAGTTGTATCCCTTGATTTAATATTCCTAGCCTAAATACCTTTGGAAGTAGGCATTTAAAGTTATTGATACACATGTTTAGTGGCGCTGTACAGCAATTAGACAAACATAGACAAGCAAAGGACTCTTCTGGGTCAAATTGATCTTTTCTTGATGTCCAAAATTTCAACAAATTGGATTTAAAGCTATTTAGTGACTTGCTCTCCACAACAACAGAGGAGAGATTGTTCCATTCATTGATACATCTCTGAGAAAAGGAGCCATGTCTAAGCTTTGAGTAGACTTGCTTCTTAGCGATCTTGCATCGATGGCCACAGGTTCTACTATCAGTTGGATGGTCAAAGAAATGTGCTGGATCCAGTTCATCTAGGCCATGCATTATATTTTCTACTTGCTTTCTATTGTATGCATGCAGGAGCGTGAGTTTATTGATGAGGTTTGTCAGCTAGCGTCCAGCCTAGTCTCCTGCACCAGGAAGCTCTGGCAGAGGACTAAGATCAAGATGTTGCCTACCCCAGCAAAGTTCCATTACATCTTCAATCTTCGGGATCTCAGTAGGATCTGGGAGGTGAGTTCACTTATTATTATGATTATTATTTATAGGCCAATCATAAAAGCACAATACAATGACATTTTGACAGATACATAAACAAAACAAGAGTAAAGGGGGAGGGAGCAACGTGTTGGCCAGGGCTCACAAAAGTGAAATTCAACACTATTACCCAGAGGCATGTGAGCCCTCAAGTTATTGGAGAAAGGTTTTTTTTAAATTTTTTTTTTTACTGTGAACATGTATTCATCTTTACATCTACATTGTCTATAGTTTATTTTGAGTTGTCCCCTGTAATGAATATAGTGGTTATTGTTTAGATTTTGTTTACAAAATATGGAATCATTCTCCCCCAAAATGACTTTTTTGTTTTTGTATAATATAAGTTGTTGTATTTTTCACCTGAAGTCAACATGGCAAGCTTTATTTTGTCTATGTATATCATTTGTTAGTATTATTATTCCTACTCTGAAAGAAAATCTATCTTAGCTTAGGGTATGTTGACATATTTATCTGTATGTATTATTTTGTGTATGAATTGAACAGTACTCCTGAAATAATATCTCTATGCTGTCTATGTTTTAAGTTTATCAAGGAGTTCTTCCTCTTAAATTGGAACTATACTTACCTTTACTTTGTCTTTGTACAGGGAATGTTGAACAGTGATGCTGCAGTGGTCAGCAGTCCTGCTATCCTACTTGGTCTGTGGAAGCATGAATGCACACGTGTGATCGCTGATAGATTCGTCAGCCAAGACGATAAGGACTGGTTTGAGAAGACTATCAAACATGTGAGTTTAGTTTCTTTATCATGAAGTCGTTCAGTAGTGTCCTGTGCAATATGGCATAATGGTGACAAATGACACTAACTTATTTGATGCAAACTGAGCAGTCTTTGAATGTTATTTTCAAACGATGAAATACTTTGTATTTATATAATGAGCAGCACACTGGTCCACCCTCTTGAGCTTGTACATTACAATGCTCCGTTGGAATGTCTGATCTAATAACATCAAGTTTGTAGGTATCATCGAATGTACACAATGCTCTGCCATGTGAATGTTAATCAGAGAGGTAACTTACGGAAGAGTGAAAGAAAATACTTAGAATTGAGATATTTATGATGATTGCACCTCTGTTACTGACTCTTAGTGTCATGATTTACCTGAATACCAATCATCAAATTAATTAGAATATGATTTCAGTAAGATCTAGGTTGAGAGACAGAATTTTCTTTGAATGCTCCAGTTGTGAAGAGAACAATCTCTACAACATGGTAACATTTCTTTGCTGTTGCTTGTTTCATGAATAGACGATTGAAGAAGATCTAGGAACCTCCTTCGCAGAACAGCTGCCTAAGGAACCGTTGTTTGTTGACTTCATGCGTGATGCTCCAGAAATCACAGGTAAAGGATTGAGTTTGAGCATTTTTACATTGAACAAGATACTGGAAGTGTCTCCAAGATAGCATATACAGTGGAACCTGTCTATAAAGACCATCCAAGGGAGACAAGAAAAGTGGTGTTTGTAGGCAGGTGGTCTTTGCAGACAGGTTCCTTAGTACATGTTTCATTGGAAACAAAAAATGTGGTCTTTGTAGACAGGTGGTCGCTTAACCATGTTTGACTGTACTATGCATGAATGCCGTCTCTGGAAGCTAGTGGTGAGAAACAATGAAATAGCACAAGTGCTAATCAGGTAATGAATAATCAAGCAATACTTTCCAAATTTCTATGAAGCACTAGGGACTATTTATAAATGGTACAATTCTACCTCATGAAGAGAGAGTCTGACATTGTTAATAACAGTAGAAATATATAACTTAATTGCAATTACTTATAACAAGGTATGATAATAGGTATTAATGCTGTTTATTTTGATGAAAGAAAAAGAAAGAAAAACATATGTTAGGTATCCAGTAATCTAACAACATCTACCAATTTTCAAATCCTGCACTGATAATTTAGTTTACCATTAAAAATCCATTAGTAATCCTTTATGAAGACATTTCGTATCTTAGAGGCATCATTTTAACACAATACTTGTAATCTCTTGTTCTCCTTTAAATGATTGTAAGTATGATTTGGTGTCTCTTGATGTTCTTCGCAATATCTGGATAAAATCACTTTCATGTATAACTCATGATTTTCTTGTGCATGAACTTTTTAAATACTCTTCATGCTTTTCTGATTTTATAATCCTTAGTTCAAATGTATATTTACAATAGTTATCACACAAATTGTACACTATCACTAAATCTAAGTTATGAGATTTTCATATTCTTGGTAATGTCAACCATTTTCTTATCCTGTCAATAGCAATGTTATATTTTCTTCAGTCATAAAATTGATAGGCAAGCACAGTGAATTAGGGCATGATTTTTATATGTAGGATAGGGTGGGGACAGATACTAGTTGTAGATATGAGTAGAATCGTGGTGCAGTGATCTTCTTTTCTGACACAGAGACATGTTTCATTTTTGTATAAGCTGAGTCGTGATGTAAAGAAATTTTACTTGTTATTCCTAATTGTGAATGTTATCTTTTATTTCAATTCTGTACATTGATGAAGAACAATAATATCATCTTTTATTTCTCACATTGATATCACATCATTTACCTTGAAGCATGCCTCTGTGTTTGTCTACTCAAGTCATCAAAAAATTATGTTTCTTTCAATAAGTACCGTGTAATGTGCTTAGACTTTTCTGTAGATTACAGATTCTGCATCACTGTGAGATTTTATGTAGTCATATCCTGATTATTGTCTTTTTTAAATTGGCTGAAGTTTGTTCACGAAAAATATTCATACAAAAAATCAGTCCCTTGGTTGACATTAAATGTACTGTATCTTACAATACAGATTTCCTTTGAATTTTTGTGCCATTACAAATTTTTATTTTTCATATTTTTTTATTTTCAGTATAGTGAAACATTTGATAGAATTTGTACGTTTCCTACTAATTTGTAGGTGCCAATTGGATTTCCTAGGTATTTCTTTATATGATTTTTTTAATTCCTCCTGAATGAACTTGTGTTTTTTGATGCCCTAGTCAATAAAGTATCATTAAAAAGAAAGTACTTATTGAAGGAATGTGTAAAATACATAAATTTGAATTAAACTCCAAATTTGCTTGTAAATAAATACATGTATTATTTGGGTAATAACAAGATTTATCTGCATGGAACATTGGCATAAAATAGTACCAACTGATCTGTGTGTTATACAGAATGTGAAGTGCTACGTGTCATTTTAAAAGTTTCACAATGGTAGTTAATTACCACCTTGAGTCTGCATTGAGTGGTTGCTATGCACATGTTTAACCGTAGAGTAATCCTATTCTCATGATATGATTTTGAATACCCAGGTGAAGAGCCCGATGATGCGGACCTGGACGCTCCTAAGATCTATGAACCAATCCCAAACCTGGAAGCCTTGGCTGCCAGACTTACAACCTTCCAAGAACTCTACAATGAGAATGTCCGAGGTGCTAAGATGGACTTGGTATTCTTCAAGGTAAGATCTATTCTTTTTACAAATTATTATTGGGGGTAGTCCTCGACAAATCATTTTTTGATTATTGACTACCCCTTCTTAATTTGCTGATTTTTTTTCTTTAAAAAAAATAAATTGCTCCATATCAAGTTGTTTTTTATATGCTGTACATGTTCTATTATTGTATTGTATGTATGTATTTTATTTTATGTATTTTCCTATGTTTGGCATTTGTGGAGAAATAAATTGGATTGAAATTGAATTGAATTGAATCTTCTCAATGTCTGACTGACTGCCTTTTGCATTACTTCCCTTGGATAGATATGTTTCTTTGAAACTGTACATAAAGACCAATCCAGGATGATGAGAAAAGTTGTCTTTATTGGCAGGTGGTCTTTCTTTTAGGACATATTTCAAAGAGGAAAATTGTTCAAGGGAAAAAAATGGTGGTCTTTTTATAACGATGAATGCTAAAGCAGGTCTGACAATACCATTATTAATATGGCTGTACATTTTTTCTTTCAGGATGCTATGTGCCATCTCTCGCACTCTACCCATTAACATTATTTGTTGTACATTGTTATTTTTTTCTCCAGGATGCTCTACCCATTATCATTATTTGTTGTACATTGTTATTTTTTTCTCCAGGATGCTATGTGCCATCTCCTGAAGATCTCTCGTGTGATCAGGACTAAGAGAGGTAATGCTCTCTTGGTTGGTGTGGGTGGTTCTGGTAAACAGAGCTTGACAAAGCTAGCTTCTTACATCGCAGGATATAAGAGCTTCCAGATCACTCTTAGCAGGTATGAACTAGATGCTAATTGGAAGAACATGTACATGTGAAGAAGCAATAGGCTTGTATTATAGCCCCACTGCAGTACTCAATTGCTCTAGGATTTATTCCATCTGAAGGTTTAGGGGTAAGAAGTAAGGTTTGAAACAAAATTCTGGATGTAGCTCATGCTGCAATGATAATTATAAACCTTTAGGTCAGTCAGTAACTCCATGACTTGTACGAGCCGATCGCCTGTCTGATTATCAAAATATTTATGATTGGAAATCGAAATTTAAAAATTCTCTTTCCTAACAGTTTTTTTAACACTACAGTCTATTGGGGAAAACTGGACACTCAAAGATTTTTACTTTTTTGAGGCACTTCATGATCATTTTGAAATAAGTTTTTTAGGGCTTCAATATTACACCAAGACACTGGTAACACGTAGGGCCATGTATCGCAGATTTAAAATTGTTAAACGATGTTTTTAATGTTGTTGTAATGTATTTTCATAGGTCATACAACGTGTCTAACCTTATGGAAGATCTGAAGTACCTGTACCGTGTAGCAGGACAGCAGGGGCAGGGCATCACATTCATCTTCACTGATAATGAGATTAAGGATGAAGCGTTCTTAGAATACATGAACAACGTCATCGCATCAGGAGAGGTAATTAGTCTGATGATGGTGATAGTGGTGGTGGTGGTGGTGGTGGTGGTGATGATGACGATGATGATGATGATGATGATGATGATGATGATGATGATGATGATGATGATAAAGATGATGTTGATGATAAAGATGATGATGATGATGGTGATGGTGATGATGATGATGGTGGTGGTGATGATGATGATGATGATGATGATGATGATGGTGATGATGGTGGTGGTAGTGATGATAATGATGATGATGATGATGATGATGGTGATGATGGTGGTGGTGGTGGTGGTGATGATGATGATGATGATGATGATGATGATGATGATGATGAGATGAAACAAGCAATCTTACAGTAGATGGATTACTTTGAGTTGCAAAATATTACCAAACAACAAAAATTTTATGGAAATAATAGTTAATGAAAAGCACAGTTCCCATCTATATTATCCTTAGAGCTACTGTTCAAATTTGTTTTGTCATGTGCTCATATCCTCTAAGATATCAAATATTACTAATCATTTCAATTTGTGTTACTATATTTCACTTTGTGTTACTACATTTCACAAGCGCATTACAATTGTTGCGCATAGAGATGGCAATGTGTGATGTGCAATTATATGAGCATACTGTGACTAACGCCATCTTGAATCCCTCAGGTGTCCAATCTCTTTGCTCGTGATGAGATTGATGAGATCACTGGTGAACTCATCTCTGCCATGAAGAAGGAGTATCCCAGACGTCCACCGACCAATGAGAACCTCTATGATTACTTCCTGATGCGTGTGAGAAACAACCTTCACGTCGTCCTTTGTTTCTCTCCGGTAAGTCCTGGGTCCCGTTTCACAAAGCCTTTTTTCAAAGACAAATGACAAAAATCAGTGACAAATCTGTTGATAACCAATCAGAAGCAAGAATTTCAGTAGCTTATAACAAAAACTGTCATTTGTCACTGATGACAAGTTTTGTGAAACGTCCTCATTTGCAAACAGTGATATTAATGTTGTTCTACCAAGTAAAAAGAGAACCCATTCAAGTCCATGAGCTTTAATCCTTATATTTTGTTTGTCAAGACTGTTAGTATATTTTTCATTTGTATTATTTATTTTGGTTGATATTACATACCTTTATACAAAAAAATTAGAAACAATCAGGATTTTAGTTGGCATATTGTTTTAACTCCTTTTAAGTTAAACAACAGGATTGCGGGTGCACCAAGTGTGAGAGAGGGAGGATTGAGGATTCCTGAAAAGGACTCTCTGTAATCTTTCTTGAGGGTGTGTAGTCCTGAAAAGTACTCCTGTTAAGTTGTCTAAAGTTTTGGAAATAAGAAAAAGAAATAGAATGTGAAAATATTGTCTACATAAAATGTAGAAAGTATGGTAGAGGTTTTATGGATAGATAGCACACTCGTACTTTCTTTTCTGTCAGAGATTGTGAGGGAAATGCTATAAATTCATTCTTGTCATCGAAGTGCAGTCAATAAACTCCAGCATCTTTTTTTTCTCTTGTCAATAAAAGGTTGGTGAAAAGTTCCGCAACCGCTCGTTGAAGTTCCCTGGTTTGTTCTCTGGCTGTACCATGGACTGGTTCAGTCAATGGCCCAAGGATGCTCTGATTGCTGTGGCTCAGCATTTCCTTTCCGTCTTCCCTATTGCTTGCACAGACACAGTCAAGAAGAGCGTTGTCAACACCATGGGTGTCTTCCAGGTAAGAAAACATGGCGCAGCCTTTCCATGCTTCCTTTTGATTTGTTTAAAGATCATCTGCACTAGTTTGGCCAGGGGGGATTAGACCTCCCTGCAAGGTCATTGAAAGGTGGTTATCTCATCGAATCAGCTCTCAATTAACATAAGAAAAATTGGATCATGGGGGACCAACAGGCACCGAGTAGGCATTGGTTCCTATATAGAGGGCGCAAGTAGCTATAAGTAGTAGAGTGGGGCTTTAAACTAACACTATCAAGAGGAGCATTGTCACTGCTTTTAATATCTTCCAGGTACTATCATGAAGTACTTGTCCATGAATGTTATTATATATATTTATTAGTATAAATGGCCAGACAAAGACAGAATGCCCCATGTGCTCTTATATTTCTCGGAGGCCAAAGGCGGAAGATGAATTATTGTATCTTTAGAGAAATTAATTCTCAGATTAGAGGAGGGTATTGTTTACTGGAACAAATTTAGTCATGCACTATTTGTATATTTGGCATATGTATCAACTCATGCTTTGCGTCTATTCTGCCATTAGGCCTGGGGAGGGGGACAGTCAGGGGAGGGGAAACATGCTTTGTTTATGCTGTATGGACACAAGTAGGGTACTGACAAAGTCATTCGCAAATTCTGTACAATTTATCATATTCCTTGGTTAAAATCCCACCAGGATCTGGTGGCTGAGACGTGCGGCGAATACTTCCAACGTTTCCGTCGCCAGACTCACGTGACGCCCAAGTCCTACTTGTCTTTCATCGATGGCTACAAGAAGATTTATTCCGAGAAGAAAGCTGACATTGGGCTGCTAGCTGACAGAATGAAGACTGGTAATTAAGACCTTGCTTTTTATTGATGCATGCTTGAAAATTTTGTTTTAAATGTATTGATTACCTCTATAACAGGAACTGATTTTCTCCTGGCTATACTTCAACACTAGTTTATTGTATTTCTTAGTTCCTTTATTATTTCTTGTTGTGTTTAATCATTGCGTTGAAATCAAATGTATGTATATCATAAAGTGAACTTAATTGAAGATGTTAACCGAGGAAGTTGTCTTTTGCATCATTGTCTTGTTTAGGTTTGAATAAGCTTGTGGAAGCCACGACATCTGTCAATGAACTCAGCAAGGAGCTTGCAGTGAAGGAGAAAGAGCTGGCCATAGCCTCTAAGAAGGCCGATACTGTGCTGGCCGAGGTGACCGTAAGTGCTACGGCCGCTGAGAAGGTCAAGGCTCAAGTTCAGAAGGTCAAAGACAAAGCCCAGGCTATTGTGGATGAAATCAATGTAAGTTGATCTGTGTAACCAACATGCAATCTTATCCCTCATTCAACTATGGTGTGGTAGACAGACTGCCTTAAAATAATATAGTGAGCTTGTGTTGGATAGAAAGTAAATATTAGATACAGGATGTACAAAACATGATGCAGAAAAAAATATTTTGCAAAATCAGAAACTGGGCATTCTAGATTGGTACTTAAGCAAATTAGTGAGTGGTCCTGGGGGTGTTTCACAAAACCCTTTTTCAATGACAAATGACAAAAATCAGTGACAAATCTTCTGATAACCAATCAGAAGCAAGAATTTCACTATCTTAGTTTTGTGAACCCCCCCCCCCCCCCCAAGTATTGTGAAAGATTTTACAAAAGTTACTTGCCATAAAACTTGTACAACCAATACGTAAAAGTTTCTGTGTCTAAAGTAAATGTTACCAATTTACATGAAGCTGCAAAGCATTGTTTTGTTTTGGGAATTCATGGTTTATTATTTGACTCCTCCCCCATTAGGTTGACAAGGGGGCAGCAATGATTAAGCTAGATGCTGCTAAGCCAGCCTTGGCCCAAGCTGAAGCATCACTCAACACCATCAAAGCAGCTCACATCTCCACCGTGCGTAAGCTGGCTAAGCCACCTCATCTTATCATGCGTATCATGGACTGTGTCTTGCTCCTCTTCCAACGTCGTCTTGATGGCATCTCTCTAGATCCTGAGAGACCTTGTCCTAAACCATCTTGGGGTGACGCCTTGCGTCTCATGGGAAGCAGCAGCTTCATGCAGGTGGGTTCAACGTACACTCTCTAGCTACATCAATATTCATCCAACTTCTACAATTTCTTGTACAAAGTAGAAAATAATGATATACCGGTACTTGAATGTGTGAGCTGTACCATTACATGGATGTTCATTCAATTGACTTTCAGCTGAAAGTGTGCGAGTTGAAATCCTTGAAAAGCAAGGAAGAAACAAAGCAAGGATATTACTTTCCTGTAGCTCAGCCCCTTGTCTGATTCTCTTATGCCTATGCACACAGAATGAGTTATGCCTTCACAAGTACCCACATCCCCTTATTAAACTTTTTCATGTTTGTCATGTGTATTTACAGGACATTGTGGTCCATGATATAATTACAATGAAAAGATCTCAACCCATTTTGGATGTAATGGCATGCACATTCCTTGTGTGTCTATTAAGTGGACTGATGAATTTCCTGATGCACACTGCTGAATGCAAACAATGAATCCCACTGAAATGTTGCAATCTGGACAATAAATCAGAATGAAAAGAATACCATCATTTCCCAGATTGATGACATGTTTATATCATGTATATGTGTGTGAGTAACATCATAGTTATATCTTGTATGTGTGTGTTCTTGAGTACCCTCGATTCACACAGAAACTCCATGTTTATATCTTGTGTGTGTGTGACTAGACCCTGATGAACTTCCCGAAGGACACCATTAACGAGGAGACGGTAGAGCTCATGCAACCCTACCTAAGGATGGAAGATTACAACCTGGAGTCAGCCAAGCGTGTCTGTGGTGACGTAGCTGGTCTCGCCTCCTGGACTGAAGCTATGGCTTTCTTCTATGGCATCAACAAGGAGGTTCTGCCACTCAAGGTTAGATCTTGAGAGAAAGTGATTCCACCATCTGATTGTAGACCAAGAAAAGGGCATAACAGGAATAGGAATCATGTAGATCAAGTACAAAGCTTGACAAAGATACACAAAAATAGAGAGCTTTTAGAGTAAGAACTAAGCACTGCAGAAAACAGAAAACTTGCATAGCTACAACAGAGCCCTGCGAAATAAATAAAGAAAAAAATGCGCGGGCAAAGCTTAATTTGAGGAAAAGATGAAAATTGATTGAAAAGATACCAAGTTGGTATCCTCGTGTTATCGTTATTGATGTTGTTATAATGTATTTGTAATCACCTCTATGTATTAAATGGCAAAGTATGTATTAAATGGCTATCTCCCTTATTAGTGTCTCCTGGTATAATTGATGTCAGATGTGCATTGTGAACTACACAGGTCTCCCTTTTTCTATCTTACAAAGAGTGTGGAGGATTGTTATTGAGAAAGTCGAGTCGTACAGTGTATGTGCCTTTCAGGTTAATTACAAGCATCTAATTGCTTTCACAGCACTTTGGTAGAAACTCAACAATGAACATTATGAAGATGATCTGTAAAGCGCTTTAAGAGGGCCTTCGGTCCTGAAAAGTGCTATATAAGAATTAGCTATTATTATTATTATTATCTGTTGTTCCTTAGGCTAACTTGGTTGTCCAGGAAGCAAGGTTGACCAAAGCTAATGCATCACTGGCTGAAGCTCAAGCACAGCTAGATGAGAAACAGAGAGAGTTGGACTTTGTACAGGCCAAGTTTGATGCTGCCATGTCGGAGAAACAGGTAAGGGAAATTCTCCTCTGGGGTATTTTTTTAAAGCCTCACTGCACTACTTATAGCTACTTGCGCCCCCTATATAGCAAACTATCCTAATCGGTGCCTGTTGGTCCCCCATGATTCTTATATTAATTGAGAGCTGACATGATGAGATAACTACCTGTCCGTGACCTTGCAGGGAGGTGTAATCCCCCTGGCCAAACTAGTGCCGACAGGCTTTAAAGGCAGCATACATGTAGCTTGACAGTTCGCCTCTTGTCAGTTAAATTCAAAGTTTCTGTTTATGAAAAGTAAACTTTCCAACAGATTTTACGGGCGAACAGGCAATGAAATTGGATCATATCAAGGTATTATAATATCAGTAATACTGGTTCAAGGGTGTTCCTCTTTTTCAAAACCTTCCCAGGTGTTGTGTCCTTGCCGTGCATGATAGAATGTCATATCTTGTATTCATTGGTCAACCAACCTGTCTGGAGCCTGTTTCTCAAAGCCTTTTTGCAATGACAAATGACAAAAATCAATGGCAAATCTGATGATAACCAATCAGAAGCAAAGATTTCAGTAGCTTATAATGGCACAGTCACACGGCCACTTACGGTAGCTGCGGATGCTTACGGATAAAAGTCCGTAAGCATCCGCAAGGATCCGTATCATCCGTAAGCATCCGTATCCATCCGTAATTCAATCCGCAGGATCCGCAGACATACGCAGATCCGCAGCGGAATTTTGAAAATCTCAAAATTTTGCTGCGGATGAAATATACGTAAGCATCCGCAGAATATACGTTATCCATACGTAAAATACGTTATCCAAATATACGCAGGCATCCGCAGGTCCGTAACATGGCCGTGTGACTGTAGCATAACAAAAACTATCATTTGTCACTGATGACATGTTCTGTGAAAAGCCCCCCTGGATGTGCTGTGAACTTTCTAAGAAGTTCAGAATCACACAAATGCAGTTTTAGTTGATAGTCTCTCTTTGCAATCGATAAAGAAAATCCTGGTTTCCCCATGACATAAATCTGTATGATAACATCATTTTGACTCAATTGACTTGAAATTATTATGATCCGATATAACTGATATACACCTGCTTGCCCCCACTAGGCTCTGTTGGATGATGCAGAGAGCTGTCGTCGTAAGATGAACAATGCCACTGCTTTGATCAGTGGTCTGGGAGGGGAGAAGGTTCGTTGGACGGAAGCCAGCAAGAGATTTGAAGATCAGATCAACAGGTATGTACAAGACACTTCTCTCCTCTCCAAATGAAACTGGATGCTGTCAGCGTACATTATTTTGCCTTCACTCAGAGTAGTGCATAGACTTGGCTCATGATCTCTGGAACTCCAGTAGTACCTTTCAATCATAAAACAAAATTAGGGATGCCAGTTTTCAGGCAATAGTCTGAATTCAGGCCCTGGTGAGTTGTTTTCAGACCATAGTTTAGGCTTTTTTATGTACAAAATTGCTCATTTTAGGTGATTTTCAGGCCCTCTGATCATTCTAACTGGCATCCCTGCAAAATACACAGAGGTGTTCACAGATATAGTGGATAAGTCACTATACTGTGTATCCCAAAGATTGATATCCCTGTTATGGCACAAACTTCCTCTGGCATTACAACAATCTAGATAAGACACACTCTAACCCAAGTGAGGCAAATTGGTAACCTGTCGGGAGAAAATCCTTAGCTGCCCCTGTGCATTATCACTGCAGTGGGGCTAGAACTGATGTGTTCATTTCTTAAGCACTTTAGAATAGCATAGGGTCCATGTTTCGTTGGTGATATATTAGTGATGATATGATAACATGGCCCGTTGCATAAAACTTACCGTTGATGTTAACTTTGACAGGGCTCAACAGCCAATCAAAATCAAGGTTTCCATGGTAGTTACCATTGATGGCAAAGTGACCATCAATGGTAAGTTTTGTGCAACGGGACCATGGTCACTTTTTACCCAAGGTAGCCTCATCAGTAGTAACGCTGATTTTCCATAGCGCACTTTTAATCATATTTTTATGTATCAAACAAGAATGCAAGGGTTCAGTGACACAAAGACGCATCTCCATATTTTGCCAAAATGATTATTTGATATCAAAATGTTCAGAAAAATGTGGGCTTTCCAGGAAACACAAAGACTTAACTCCACCCAACACCCCATTGAAGTCAATGGCTAGTGAAATATTGACTTAGGGCCCAAGTGCTTAGTGACACATCAACCACTTTTTCTCAAAATGACCAAAATGGAGTCGTGTCTTTGTGTCACTGACCCCTCGACTGGATCTTGATCGATTGTGCTATTGTTTATCCCTTGTAGGTTGGTAGGTGATGTATTGCTTGGTACTGGTTTCCTGTCCTACTCTGGGCCATTCAACCAGGAGTTCAGAAACCTTCTCATCAGGAACTGGAAGAGAGAGATGGCATCCAATAAGATCCCATACAGTGATGTGAGTATCAAAATACAGTGAAACCTGTCTATAAAGACCACCCAAGGGAGACAAGAAAAGTGGTCTTTATAGGCAGGTGGTCTTATGTACAGGTTCCTTTAGTACATGTTGCAATGAGAAACCATTTTCAAGGGAAACAAAAAATGTCTTTGTAGGCAGGTGGTCTTTCTATACAGGTGGTCACCAAAGCAGGTTTGACTGTACCAATAACAGACAGCCTACCTGTAGCACAGTTAACGCTCTTCTCATGCTCAGCACGCAATACCAAGTTTAGTCTACATGTACATAGCATGTAACACCGGTGGAAAACAAATTTCTGTTATTGTATATGGACATTTTTTTTCTGTTATTGCGTATGGGAAAAAAATCTTGTATCTTTAATCTGAGAAACATGTAACAAAAGATTACAATCTGGTACTATCATACATGGTGCATTTTGTCAGAATTCAGGCATGTTACTTTCCAGGCTTTTGCTTGATTTCAGGCACTATGAACTTAATTATTTCAGGATTTTTCAGGCTTGTTACTGTACACAAATGTTTAAAGCTCCAAAATGTACAGGTCTCTTTTAGGCTTTCGTTAAAAACCAGTTAAACTGACTTGGTAAGCAAGAAGTTGACTTTAACAAAGTCAAATATTTTTATTCTGAAGACAGTCCTCTAAAGTCTTCTACACAGAGTTACATGGACACATGGACACACTTTTACAGTGGCTTCCTTTCTGTTGAAGCTAATGTGTTGTCTTATATACCGGTAGTGAACGAAATGTGTAATCCTGATCTGTTTTGTGTTGTAGGAGCTGAATCTGACGTCTCTGTTGGTTGATTCTACTACCATTGGAGAATGGAACCTTCAAGGTCTCCCCAATGATGAGCTCTCTATCCAGAACGGTATCATTGTCACCAAGGCATCCAGATTCCCACTGCTTATTGACCCTCAGGGTCAGGGCAAGACATGGATCAAGGAGAAAGAGAAGAGCAATGAACTTCAGGTCAGTCTCTCTGTCTGTCTCTCTGTCTGTCTCTCTGTCTCTCTGTCTGTCTGTCTTTTTATCTGTCTGTCTGTCTCTCTATCTGTCTGTCTGTCTCTTTCTCTGTCTGTTTGTCTGTCTCTGTCTTCTATCTCTCTGTCTATCTGTCTGTCTGTCTCTCTGTCTGTCTGTCTCTCTGTCTGTCTCTCTGTCTGTCTATCTCTTTCTCTGTCTGTCTGTCTCTGTCTCTGTCTGTCTCTCTATCTGTCTATCTCTTTGTCTCTTCCATTGAAAGCGTAAAAACATGAATGAATAGGTGAATGAAGCCAATGAATAATTTCCCATCTTGTGCTTATTTTGACATTATTAAAAAAACAGGTACACATATATCTTTGAAACTGTATGCAACAAAAGTCTACAATATACAAGTACAAACATTCATTGTATTCTATATATTCAGGTCAGGATTCAGTGAATGTAGTGCATGCATTTTGTTTTGGCTTATATAGGTGAAGTGAATTACAATTCTTACAAATTCCTGCAACTAAATGGAAGAGTAGAGGAGTATAATCCTGTCAGGACTATCAATCAATGTATATATTACATGTACATTCAAATCTATGTCAACCACACTCACTGTATACCTCTCCTCACTCTTTCAGCAACAGAGAACATCATATTCTCTTAGGTTTTCATCAGTTCCTACCTTTATCATTCCTAAATCCCGTTAGCAGGCTGGTTTAAAATCCTTTCAGTCCTTAGCCCCATGTCTCTGGAACAAACTTCCCTCATTCTTAAGAAACAGTACTTCACTAGATTTCTGAAGAAAAAAAACTGAAAACATACCTCTACAACTCCTCTTAAATTGTTGATAGACTATTAAAGAGACAGGGCCTTGTATCTTTTGGAAAAGGCGCTATATAAATCCAATTATTATTATTATTATTATATATTGATTGTCTTGGTTGTTTCTAGGTGACATCTCTGAACCACAAGTACTTCCGAACTCATCTTGAGGATGCTCTGTCCCTTGGTCGGCCTCTCCTCATTGAGGATGTAGCTGAGGAGCTGGATCCAGCCTTGGACAATGTCCTTGAGAAGAACTTCATCAAGTCAGGCTCCACTTTCAAGGTAACAACCCTTTTTGCCACACTCAACCCAGGTGATGTAATGGGTACCTGGCAGGAATTCATTCCTTAAAATGCTAGAGCGCCTTAATGGCAGCACAGCTATTAAGCCGGTGTAATAATTTCCAAATTTATTAAGACGCCTTGAGCATCCCTTGGGGTGGATATGTGCGCATTATAAATGTTATTATTTTTTTTCTTCTTCTCACATTACATACTGACTTTATGTGCTGTCACACCAACAAACTGAAAAAAGACTATCAACAGAATGGCAACAGACTGAACTAAGAAAAAAAAAGTCCTTCAAAAAGTGGTCAGTTTTGAGTCGGTATGGAGTTGTTTTGATATTGTGACTACTGCCTTAGGTGACCAATCACCCCCAAAACATTTTGCTCTCTCTGCTTGGGTTTCAATGTCAATAAAATATTAGTGTCGACAGTTATCTGCGTGGAGGGATATTGCAAGTTTATTATAAGGTAAAAGTGACATGGAGTGGACATGTCAATGCACCTGGTCAAGTCAAAATAACTTTTTATTAAATAAATGAATCAAAGAGAGTCAATTGTAAAATTATGTGTATTCCTTGTTTTTTAATCTAATACCTTGAAATATTGAAAATTCTTCTTGTGACTTGGCAGGTGAAAGTAGGAGACAAGGAGTGTGATGTAGATGGTAAGTTCATCATGTACGTCACCACCAAGCTGGCTAACCCAGCCTATACCCCTGAGATCAGTGCAAGGACGTCTATCATTGATTTCACCGTCACCATGAAAGGCCTGGAAGATCAGCTGCTGGGTATCGTCATCCTCACTGAGAAACAGGTAAATAACAGATTGCATTCAACTACTCATACTGATACTGATGTCTAACAGACCAGGGAGGTGTTCACAAAGATCCTAAGTCGATCTTACCAGATTTGGTAACATCTACAGTTAGTTTAGTAGGGAAAACATTCAAAACAATTCTCGTCTTGTTTACACCTACCTTCACATTTAATAATTAAAGGAGACTTCCAAGTATAAAAGGTGCAATCTCTTTACCTTGTAGATTTTGCTCTTTTGAATCATTGGGCAATAGAGCCAGGAGACTTTTCAATGAAAACAGTCGAAAGTATTTGAGAGTTCACAATATGTCATTTAGGAAGAGCTGTTCTCTTAAAAAGGAAAAAAAAATAAAGCATGCATGATAACCATAACACGGGGCAGTTGTCCTTGAACCATGTGTCACAGAACCAACTTACATGTAAAGGCACTTACGCTAGCATTCTAAGTATATACCTCAAGGTATCAGTTCCTCAAGCTTTGACCTCTCCCATCCTTGTGTTACAGGAGCTTGAAGCTGAGCGCACCAAGCTGATGGAGGAGGTGACAGCTAACAAACGTAAGATGCAGGAGCTTGAGGATAACCTTCTCTACCGTCTGACCAGTACAGAGGGCTCCCTGGTAGAGGATGAGAGTCTGATTGAGGTGCTGAGGGTGACTAAGATCACTGCTGAGGAGGTCAGTGAGAAACTCACCATTGCAGCTGAGACGGAGGTCCGTATCAACACTGCTCGGGAGGAGTTCAGACCTGGTAAGATCATGCAGGCCTGATAATTACCTGATTTTAAATTGGTTTTCCTGAATTTTTTATTTTTTTCCACATTTTTTTCTTTTCTTCTTCCGAATGTTACCCAGATTTTCCTCTTATTTTCCTGATATTTCCGGATTTTTCAAATTTTTCTTACTCAAAAGGGGGAAATGTTGTTAGATGCGAATTTTGTTATAGTTCTCACTATCACCCTCTGATCATGTTACTCCATGCTACATTGATGATGTCAAGTTTCAATAAGGAAATTGTTGGATACTGAAGAAATAGAAACCCTCTTGTATTGTTATTTACTGAAAAGGGAATTAATTCTTTACAATTTCTATTTTTTTATATGTTTCTCATTGTTGTTATCCATATACTGTAGATTAGGACTTAAATCATAGTTGGATATTTTGGTTTGATATAAGAACATGAAGCTTTCTAGTTCTTATGTTGGTAGGCCTCTTTATTTGTAAATGGTTATCATGTGTAAAGAGATAGATGTACATATTACAATAACAAATATTCTTAAGAGACAATTTGTTACAAATATTCCTTTCTTAATTTTACAAGCTCCAACCACTCTGCTTAAGGCTGATGTTACCGTTTCTTGTTTTCTTTGTTCTTGTTTTTTTCAGTTGCAACCCGTGGTAGTACCCTATACTTCTTGATCACTGAGATGAGTATGGTGAATGTCATGTACCAGACCTCTCTCAAACAATTCCTTGGAATCTTTGATCTCTCAATGGCAAAGTAAGTTCATCTCCCTTTCTATTCCAATTTTAATCCAATCATTGATTTATGTTTTGAAACAACAGTCCCGTATGAACGCTAAGGATAGCTGTAACTATAGATATTTCTCAAATTAGTGTCCTGCAGTATTCTGTGGAAAGCAATATCAAACGAACCTGTGCTAACCGCTTAGGGCACATTATATGTTAAGCTGACCTTCAATTTTGGTTTACTTGTGATATCCCTAGGAGCTTCTTTTCCCATTGATTTTCACCTTGAAAATGCCTTTGCCTCTGTGTTACAAGATCAGAGGGATGTTGATAACAATATTGATTGATTGATTGATTGATTGATACACCCGTTACAAAGAATGAAAAACATTATATAAATTTCAGGTAGCTGACGGTTAAATACTAAATTGCATTTAACTTAATCATACTGGGACAGTAAATATATATCTGTGCTCTTGTGATTAACAGGTCCCAGAAGAGTCCTATAACGGCCAAGCGTATTGCTAACATCATTGAGTTCATGACGTATGAGGTGTTCAAGTACACAGCCCGTGGTCTGTATGAGAATCACAAGTTCCTCTTCACGCTGCTGCTGACCCTCAAGATTGACATGCAGCTTGGCAAGGTCAAACACGATGAGTTCCAGACATTCATCAAGGGTGAGTACTTTTTGAGCACCTTCCAGGAGAGAGGGTTATAGGGTTGGTAATAAAGTAGAAACTACATTTGGAAGTTTATTTCCTACAGATCCACTGCACAAACTGTGTGGAGGATCTGTACTTGTTTCAGAGTAGATCATTACATATTTCATAGTTGATCTGTTTGTTTCAGAGTATATCATTACATATTTCATAGTGGATCTGTTTGTTTCACAATTACAGAGAGTAACTGAAGCATTTGAATTTGTTTCTTCTCTGAACATCTGTCTTTGTGTGCATCTCTCTCTCTCTTTACACCTCTTTCTGTATTTCTTTTACCTCCTCTGTCTCTGTCTCTCCGCTTCCTCACCCTCTTTGTTTTCTTTGTATCTGTCTCTCCCTATCTCTCTCCATCTCCCTTTCTCCCTCTCCCTCTCCCTCCTCTCTCCATGTTACTCTCCATCTCATTCTGTATCAACTTCTTTCTTTCCCCTTTGCCTCCCCCTTTCTCTCTCTCTCTCTCTTGACCATTGTCTGTCTCTTCAATATTGTAGCTGATTTGTAGAGTTTGTTTTATGTTGCCTTCTTGAGTTAAATGAGCCATTATTCACCTGTTTATCATACCCAATAGGTGGAGCTGCCTTGGACCTCAATGCCGTTGAAGCCAAGCCCAAGAAATGGATCCTTGACACTACCTGGCTCAATCTGGTCCAACTGAGCAAGCTTCCTCAGTTCACCCAGCTGTTAGGACAGATCGGGCGCAACGACAAGGCCTGGAAGAACTGGTTTGATGAAGATGCTCCCGAGGAATCCACCATCCCTGATGGTTACTCCACATCTCTTGATGTGTATAGGAAGCTGCTCCTGGTTAGGTCCTGGTGTCCAGACAGAGCTATCCCTCAGGCTAGGAAGTACATCGCTGATGCCATCGGTGTCAGGGTAAGCTTCCTTTAACCCGTTGACTCCTTCATTCTTACATTCCCATAGGCTTAATACAGGAACCACTCGGTTCCAGTGTGGAATGGGTTAAGTTATGCAGACAGGGTGATAAATATATCAAATTTAATATTTGTAGTATGGTTAAAGAAGAGCTTAAGAGATAGGAGATTGAAGGAGCCTTGTGATGAAAGAATCTCAATTTACGTACTGTTACTGCTTACAAATGTTGTGTTTCTGCTTTTACTTTAAGCATATAAATACATTTCTTTTGTAACACGTGCTGTCCAATGATTGCATACTTTCATCATTGTTATTTCTCAAAACACTTGATTATTTTCTCTCTGTCCAGTTTGCCGAGGGTGTTATCTTGAATCTTGAGACCATGTGGGAGGAGAGTGAGAAGAAGGCACCTCTTATCTGCTTCCTATCCATGGGATCTGATCCTACAGCCTCCATTGAATCCCTCGCTAAGAAGATGAACCTTCGTAAGTATGGCTCCTAAATATCAGAACTTGATTGGATAAGATTGAAACTGCGATACTTTCCTCTGTATACTGTGGTACCCCAAGTTTATGAAGAAAGTTTTAATGTTAAATAAAATACATGTTATGTCTTGATATCTTAAACTGTCCATTATGATTAATTTCTGTATCATCCACCTGTATGATAATAATAAATAATAATAATAACGTTACTTATAAAGCGCTTACCACCGAAGTCTCTAAGCGCTAAATTGTGTGTTAATTACTTGGTATACAAATGTGTAATCAAGAACCGAACGTCTTGCTTGTAACCTATCAGGTTGTCGTGCTATCAGCATGGGTCAAGGTCAAGAGGTCCATGCTAGACGTCTCCTGAGCTCCTTCCAGAGTGAGGGTGGCTGGGTGCTGCTGCAGAACTGCCATCTTGGTCTAGGCTTCATGGATGAACTTCTGGAAACGGTAAGAGAGTGGTTCGTTTAGGAGGATGATTTTGTGGGTGGTTGGGTGCTCCTGCAGAACTGCTATCTTTGGCTTTTATGAAGTTATGGAGATGGTGAAACATCCGTCCTTCATTTTTCATGTAGTATTTTGGGAAGATATTCAATTAATTGTTTTTCTTTGTTGACATTTAGGCCTGTTAGTGAGGCATTGTTGGCATTGACATGTAAAATTACTTCTCTAAGTAAATTATAGTTATATTTGTTGTTGCTCGTTTCTTTTGTTAAGAATTGTTAGGAGTTACATTTTTTGGTACAACAGTTCATTGGAAAGCTTTGTTTTCATAATATACGGGGTAATGTTATAGCTTCTCATTTTTCATGATGATGTATTTTGTTATTAGGTGACTTCGCCTGATCCATGTCACGATAGCTTCCGTCTGTGGATCACTACTGAGGTTCATCCCCAGTTCCCTATCAACCTTCTTCAGTCTGGTATCAAGTTCACCAATGAACCACCTCAAGGTATCAAGGCTGGTCTCAAGAGAACCTATGCTGGTGTCAGTCAGGTATGAACGATTCCTTTCAATTTCTTCAATTACAGGTTTTTTTTTGTGTGTGTGTAACCAGCAGACCAGGGGCCCATTGCACAAAACTTACCATTGATGGTAACTTTGCCATCAATGATAACTACCATGAAAACCTTGATTTTGATTCACTGTTGAGCCCTGTTACCATGGTCGTTGTCATTGATGGTAAAGTTACCATCAATGGTAAGTTTTGTGAAATGGTGCCTCTGATCTTTTCTTGGTGGATTGTAATGAAGTTATAGCAGTCTTTGTAGATTCATTAAAAAATTCATCCTCACAAGCTAGAAATATGGTAAGATATTAGATGAGTGAACAAGCATAACAAATATGATTCAGTGATAGTTTTTCTGTTTCCTTTTAAAGTAGGATGAAACACATTTGTCAGAATGTCACATACTACACGTGTATGTGCTTAATGCGGCATCAAGGAACCTTATGAACAAAGAATTGAACTTTTTGTTGTATGTTTCTATGTACAGGAGCAACTGGAGATCTCTAACCTACCCCAATGGAAGCCAGTGCTGTATGGTGTAGCCTTCCTGCACACCACGGTGCAAGAGAGGCGTAAGTTTGGTCCTCTTGGCTGGAACATCCCCTATGAGTTCAACCAAGCAGACTTTACAGCCAGCGTTCAGTTTGTCAACAACCATCTGGATGACCTGGACCCCAAGAAGGTATAGTCACCACCTCGTAGAAACACCACCTGTCTATAAAAACCAAAATTGTCCTCCCTTTAAACTGTGTTTCTCATAGAAAGTTGTATTAAAGCGGGACTGCACTACTTGTAGCTACTAACGTCCTCTATATAGCAAACAATGCCTAAGCGGTACCCGTTGGTCCCCCATGATTCCCTTTTTCTCTCATGTTAAATGAGCTGATTTGAAGAGGTAACCACCTGTCAGGTCTAATCCCTCCTGGCGAAACTAGTGCATACAGGCTTTAAAGAGCAGATTTCTTTTCTACATTGAGCGGTCTTTATGTACAGGTTTGACTGCACTCCACATGGCTTACATGAAATCATTTTGATGTCTCCTCTCTGGAATGAAATCGGAACATGTACTTGGGAAGTAATAAAAAGATAAAATAGGGAGACTGACAGTGTTTACTTCCTCACGAGACAAACTGGAGTGTGTTTCTATAAGGAAATCACATGCAGTTCCGGTATCCCACAAGCAAGTATGATGGTTCCTTAGAAGTACAGTTTGGGTTTAAAGCTGACAAGTCTCGCACGATGTACTTCAGTGCACCTGCACGTGGGATGGACATTGCCGATATTAATTAATAATAATAATTATGGGTATTTCTGTAGCGCTGTCTATCTAGAAATTCTATTCCGAGGCGCATTAATTATTACCCCGGCTTTAGCCTTGCTGCCATTACAGTGCTCCAGCATTTCAAGGAATTAAATCCTGCCAGGTACCCATTTACATCACCTGGGTCAAGTGTGGCAAATGAAGATCAATCCCTGCGAGAAAGTCAAAATTATGTAATTGTAATCAAAAACACATTTCTTGTACAATCTCTACTTGTTGTTCTATTCCATCCACAGGGCGTCTCCTGGAATACTATCCGCTACATGTTTGGTGAGGTGCAGTATGGTGGCCGTGTGACTGATGATTACGACAAGCGTCTTCTCAATACCTACTGCAAAGTATGGTTCTCTGAAGATATGTTCAGTGACAAGTTCAAGTTCTATACTGGTAAGTTTCTTTCACAGTGTATTTGTCGGGTCTATGAATTTCTAACCTTAAGACCCTAAATGTAGAGAATGTTATCTCATTTATTCATGTTTTTGAACATCATTTAACTAGTTTGAAGATTGACTTCAGTTTTAGGTAGACTACTTGTGCAAATAGATTTGAATGGGAACACAATGAAGACGGCTCAGGACAGCGAGGAATGGTGATATTACTAACCAAATGACTCTTGTGTGTTGCCCTTTCCATGGGCAGAACACCCAAGAAGAAAAAGGATTTTTAATTTTTTTTATTTGAAGAATCAGGGACATATCTGTTATCTTAATGATTTCCTGATATGTTGATGCATTTTATACATGAAGTAAGATGTTACCAACTTGTAGGTTTTTCATTTCCATTCTTGTGACTTGACAAATATAGGGAAAGGAGTATACATACTAGATGATATGAGAGCACCTGGGCACAGTTTCACAAAACCGTCACAACTATGACTTCACCGACATGTTAAATTAAATACACTCGTTTAAATGGGTTGTCGGTGAACTTGTATTCGTGACAGTTTCATGAAACGCTCCCCTGGTCTCATCCAGGTAGATGCTGAAGACCAGAACGCTTGGAACAGAACCATAAAGGAAAAAGAAATGTCCGTCCCCAAGTCGGAAAAAAATCTATGCTACATAATTATGGTACCTGGCAGGAATTCATTCTTTGAAATGCTAGAGCGCCGTCATGGCAGCACAGCTAAAGCTGGGGTAATAATCTCCAAGTTTCGAAGTGCTTAGTGATTGTAATAAGCGCTATATAAAACTGAGTATTATTATTATGGTGGTGATAATAACAATTGTAAAATCTTTTAGATTTGTTTTAAATAATTGTTTGATGCTATCGCTGTCTTTTGACCATCCTTTGTTGACAGGCTACACCATCCCCAAGTGCCGTACAGTAGAGGAATACCGCACTGCTATTGAAAGTCTACCGCTGACTGATTCACCAGAGGCCTTTGGTCTTCATCCTAATGCTGATATCACATTCTCTACCAACATGGCGACCGAGGTAAGAATTAGGAGATCGTTTGGGTCAGTTTGATTCTTTCTGAATTGACAGATTGACTAAGAACATTCATGCTATCTTTCAAGATGACTTTCTTCAAGGTAATCAACCCCCAGTGCAAACCTATGATATACCACTGTTCCTTACTTCCACACCTGCCAACCCTTACAAATAATCCAGAATATTCTGTTTTTCTGGATTTCTCGGAGCTGAAAATTCTGAATATTCTATTTTTTCAAAATGTTGATTTTTTGATTTTTTGTTTTGTTTTTTTGTTTTTTTTGGTGCTAAAGTCAAATAAAGCTTGTTTTATCATGTGCCGCGATTTGAGAGTTCACGTATTGTGTGCCTTGAATGGCTGCGATTTCTCATTTTCAAAGACATACTGTGCTAAAACTTCCTAATTCTTATTTTCAAATGTTGGCAGGTATGTACTTCTGTATAGATTGCTAGGTTTTGGAGACCATTCTGAATATCTAAGCTAACACTCAAAACCTCTTTGCAATCCCATGATCTAGTTATATGTACTCATTTCTTGTTTTTGTTTTGATTGCTAGGTGTTGGAGACCATTCTGAACATCCAACCGAAGGACAGTGGCGGCGGTGGAGGAGAGACACGTGAGGCTACTGTCTACAAGATCTGTGATGATATGTTATCCAAGATACCAGATGACTTCATTGCCCATGAGGTAACAAATATATACTGCCTTGCGGGGGGGGGGGGGGGGGGGGGGTCAGCCCCAAGGAAAAGGGGCCCCCTGAAAATGTCAATATTGCAGTTCACTTGCACAGGTAGCCCAAGTTTGTTCTTGGGTTACTGATTTGACCTTCACATGCAGGCTGCGAAAATAGTAAAATTATTTTACTCTTATGTAAAGAAAATAAATGAGGGCCAACAACGATGACCGGTGGTGATCGTGTTATGAGCGATACATGATGCTAGTTTGAAGCTTCTGAATGTGTGACTCCATTATGTCAGTCTTTCATGTATCTCTTGATAATTAATCCATGTTTCCTCCTCTCTCCACTCTCCAGGTCAAAGCTCGTCTTCAGAAGATGGGTCACCTACAACCCCTGAACATCTTCCTGCGTCAGGAGATAGATCGTATGCAGCGTGTCATCTTGACAGTCCGTATTACCCTGCAGGATCTCAAGCTAGCTATCGATGGTACTATCATCATGAGTGAGAACCTGAGGGATGCTCTGGATAACATGTTTGATGCTAGGGTACCTGGATCCTGGAAGAAGGTAGGTGTATAACAAGGGCCCGTTTCACAAAGCCTTTTTCTAATGACAAATGAAAAAAAATCAGTGACAAAGCTGGTGATAACCAATCAGAAGCAAGGATTTCAGTAGCTTATAACAAAAACTGTCATTTGTCACTGATGACAAGTTTTGTGAAACACCCCTGGACTAGTGTTGTGGAGTACAGTCAAATCTCTCTTTCTGGCCACCTCTCTATAAAGGCCATTTGTCTTTTTTTTGATGGCCATGTAATCCCTGACCTGGGATGGCATCAGATGAATGAATACATTTAAGAAAGTAATGCATGTTGTAGAACCTGTCTAGAAAGGCCACTTGTCTACAGTGGCCACTTTCTCTGATTCCCTCGGGTGGCCTCAATAGACAAGTTTGACTATGCATGACTCTTGTCCATTTGTGTGGTTCATTTTCTTTATTTTCTAGTTTAAATTTTAGGGTTTTTACTTCTTGGTGGATGAAAGTCGGTAGTGTGTAAAGAAATTGTCTCATATGTGATATGGGCTATTTAAGAAAAGAAAAAACATTAGGTGGCAAGTTGTATTTAATGTGCTTAGGTGTTCAGTTTTGTTAATTATCTTAAGAAAGATTAAAGTGGTTTGAAGTAAAGCTGTGACCAAGGAATCTATCATTAAGAATGAGAAACAATGTTTAAAAATATTACACTGCTATAAATCTTCATGAAAACAAGCTCAAGCTCACGCACGCTAACTATTCTCTGCTCCTGACGACGGATAGTCAACGAGTCCGAAACGTCGAGCCTCTCCAAGTGCTATAGTTCTCCTTAGAACTATAAGCTAAGAAAGATAATCAACATTCTTTTTCAAGACTACACCAACAGTCCTTTTCAGGACTACACGCCCTCAAGAAAGATTACCGAGAGTCCTTTTTCAGGACTCCTCAATCCTCCCTTTCTCTCACATGGTGCATCCGCCAGCCTACTGTACAAGCTCAATATCATCTCAATTTAGTATTTTACTTTGTGGTAGAGATATCAATCATTGACACACACACCTAACCACCATATCTAGTCGTGTATTTCTAACTTTGCTCTCATCATTCCATTTCTCTTTCCAGATCTCGTGGGATTCTATGACTCTAGGTTTCTGGTTCACTGAGTTGATTGATCGTCATGCTCAGTTCCATGCCTGGGCGTTTGAAGGACGTCCTAATGTCTTCTGGATGACTGGATTCTTCAACCCACAGGTAACTCTCTATCCAAGCTACGCAAAGTCGTTAGCATATGCTGTTAGACAAATAATTCCTGTCTATGAATGTGTTATTTGAAAATGCACTTCACGCAGGTAAATTCGTAATTTTGGCAAGCAAGAGTTTGTCAAGTTTATTGTGCTTTGAAAACGTGATATATTTCACCTTTTTTTTGTTTTGCTGAAAACATGTTTTGTCTAGTGCCTTGTTCATGAAATAAAACGATCAAGGCATTATAGTCAGCTGAATACTTATAGTGACAAAACACATACTATGTGCTCCTAGGCTTTTCTGCTTGGACATGAAAAGATGAATCTGCACCTCTGGAGTGCCACCTAGACAACAAAGCATGATGAGTCCTCAAGTATAGATACAAAGGTCAAGAAAGATACCTTTGGCTGACCTGTCTTTATGTGCATGACCTCTTTATTTAAAGCCTCGGTCACAAATGCCATTCTGAACGATTTTCAGACAATGGAAATTCAGGAAGACAATGGAAAAACGTGAAGATTTGTACAAAATTATTGTTCGTACGAACCTTTGTGACCGTAGCTTTAACTGTTACAGAGGTGTCAATGTTATTATTATACTCACCCAATGTTGTTCTATATCCTTCTTAGGGCTTCTTGACTGCTATGAGACAGGAGATCACTCGTGCTCATAAGGGTTGGGCTCTGGATAGTGTGGTGCTACACAATGATATGACCAGGTATATCAAGGAAGATATAGCATCTCCACCATCTGAAGGTATGTTAACGCTGTCTATAAATGGGGCGTTGCAAGAAGTTGCGATTGATTGCAAATCCCCAAAATCTAGCATAAGTCCTGCGATTAATTGCAAAATTGCAATTGATCGCGACTCAACTTTCTTGCAACACCCCATTAGTAAGAGAGAGAAAGAGCGGCGGGGGGGGGGGGGGGGGGGGGGGGGGGGCATAATAAAAGCTAGATCAGGACAACTTATTTAATTGCTAAAAATTTAATCTTAACAAAATCCTAGAAAATTTAGGAGACTAGTAGGGCGTTACAAGAAAGTTGAGTTGCAATCGTTTGCAACTTGCAATCAATCGCAACTTTCTTGCAACGCCCCATTAGACACACAAATCGTCTCCCTATGTCACATTGTATTTATCATAGATTGTAGATGGAATATGCTCCAAGATTATTTAACCATTTCCATCGCAATAGTTAACTATATGGTTGTCATGTAGCTAATCAAGACCAGATATAGGCAATGTTGCAAAGCCATTGTCTTGCACAAAGCAATCTTTCCATCGTTTGGTGCATATTGTTCTGTGCCGAATCGCATGTGTAGCAAACGAGCAATTGTGAACATTGGCACTGAAGGCAAATGAAAAATTAACCAGTGTATCATTACGTTTGTAGCAAAAGGTCATTAGTAGGGGGATTCCCAAGACACTGAGCTGATAGCAACGACCCTGTTGATACCGTTTGTATTAGGTGTATGAAGATTTCACTTGTTACATCTAAACCATCTAAAACCATCCTTTATGTTTCCAGAGTGAATGGCTCATTATCACCCATAACATTTCTTGAAAATGGTTTTTCATTGAAACATGTACTAAAGGAACCTGTCTACAAAGACCATTTTTTGTGTTTCCCTTTGGCGGTCGCTAGACAGGTTTGACTGTAGTAATAGAGCTATATCTATAATCATGTAAATGAACATGTGATAGATGACCTCTTTTCAATATTATTCCTCTGCAGGTGTATACGTCCATGGCCTGTTCCTGGACGGTGCAGGATGGGACAGACGTAACTGCAAGCTGATAGAGCCCCCTCCCAAGGTCCTCTTCACCCCCCTCCCAGTCTGCCACGTCTACGCTATCAACACTCTCGGGGGTAAAGACCCCAGGCTCTATGAATGCCCCGTCTACAAGAAACCCAGACGTACCGACCTGACGTACATCTTCCCTCTCTACCTGAAGACCGTACAGCACCCTGATCATTGGATCCTGAGGGGTGTGGCTCTGTTATGTGATACCAAGTAGACAGGGGTCAAAGGTCAAGATCAGATTGATGTATAAAGCTTTTTAATGTGCTGTGCATATTATTTTAATGCAATGCCGTTATGAATATTTGAAGTACATACTATTTACTTATCGTCTTGAAATATTTACTTGACCTCTAGGAAGAACAGAGCCATTTTAATAATGGCTCTGAATAGAGCTTTCCAGCCGTTTTTTTTAATTCTTGATTTGTATTATTTGTAAATTGTATTCTTGTATGTATTGAATTTTTATACGGAAAATAAAACCAAACCAAACCAAACTTGATTTGACACCTGCAATGTTGTGTTTCAATGGGAATAAGGGGTCTTAAGGCTTTCAGCATAAATCTACACAGAAGTCAAAACTTATTATACAGTTTTCACCGAGTACTGCAAAAACAGATCTTTCATGCACAAAATGTTCGTTGACTTTGAACCAGGTCCAAGTTTAGAAAGTTTCATGCTATAAATTCAAACACTGAACTCTTTTAAATCTAAATTTCCCACAAAAACAGTGAATCTATCTATTTTGTGAAAATCTTATATGGTGAAAGTGTATAGTTTGTCATTGTATAAGCTTATTTATGTACAGGGTACTGTGTATGTTACGTTATTGATGTATGAAGTGCCATATCTAGATATTCATCTTTCACACATTTAGAAAATGATGTGGAGAGAGTGACAAAAAGGATGTCAGAAATCTCCTTTACTGGCTACATGATAATATTTTATTGAAATATATATAAAGTATATCAGGTTTGTTATTTGCCTGATGTTTGTTTCTTTTAACAAGAAATATTATTTCAGAATATATTTGCAATGTACACTGATTTGAGGAATGCACCATTTCGAGATATATTTTCATTTCCTAATCACAATAGCAATATATTTACACAATGCCACGAACAGGAACTATTTATCAGTTGGAAAGAAATTGTGTATGTTATATCTTAAAGATGTACTTTCTTCTTAACAACAAAAACTCTTTACGTTCTTGAATCTGAAATGACAGACTGCTAAAAATAAAGTAGATCTGATGTCGCTTAATATTTAAAGCAATAATTCAGTCAAGTTTGACAGAGGTGTTTACTTGCATGGCGATAATCTACCAGTAGTTTAATAAGAATAGAATATAAAAGTGATACTTCGCTTATATATATACACATTATTTCTATGTACAAGCTGTATATTGTGCCTTGGTCTGAGCACAGACATTTTGCATTGATATAGGTATGTTTGCTTATACTCTAAGTATGCAATGAAGCATAACACTACACATTATTTTCATATAAATCTGGTATTTGAAGTGACGTTGCACAATTGAACCCAATGGTGATCATTTCATATTTTATTTAACACACATCTCAGATGCAGTGTTTCCTGAGTTATCACATGCACAGTATTCAATGAGATAACTTCAGAATTTCTTTATGGTAGAATTGATGTAAGAAAACTGGATAAGTGTATGCCAGCTGACCAAGCTATTAATAATGCAAACAACTGACATCAGTGTACAAGCTGGTGCTTTCTGACTGAACACATCCACTATTTATAGCAAAATGTTATACTGTAAAATAAACTTACACGGAATTAATCATCAGCTTCAAGTGGGCAGAAATCTCAAAATGTTGCTCCGGTGCTACATTCAACTAAAACGATTCCATCCATCCATACTCTCTGTTCATTCTGCTGCTTCCAATACTAAGATATTCCGTCCATGTTTGATATTAGATTGCAGTGTGTTGGAATGTGAGATTGACCACTTCGCCTTCAAAAGTATGATGAATTTGATGTGAAAGATTATGAAACTACCCTTCAGCTAAAATATTTTCTTATATTCCGTCCTTCTGAGTGAATTTCACTTTCTTCCAATTGTTTACAGAATTGTTTTATCATTAAAGCCGTCCTAGCCATCTTACGTGTATCCACAATCTTACTCTACTGCTTCGCATAAGGGTAGAGCATGACGTCAAATCTATTTATCAAATCTAATCAATTATTGAAAGTGTGAATTAAATTTGTTTTCCAATATTGTGGTATTCAATAATCCTTGATACAAAACTTATATATATTTATACTTATATGCTCTGCACCAAATATTGCCTCTTTGTAAGTGCTGAATATTATATACATGTATTCCATGTTGTGCTCGCTTGAATCTAATAAATGAGTGAAATATAATTACTTTTGTAGGGTCTTTAGTCTGTTCTATGCCTATCCCTGATCTTATTGATATGATTAACGAGATATACTATATGACAATATTTACAACTTTATTATGCGAAGGAGTGCAAGTTAGTGTTGAGAGATAGAGAGTCTGATTGACAGTGAATTTAAAGGGAGTCGTGCGTCAGTTTCCATGTGCAGAAGGCCATAATTCGCTGACACCAGACTTGGTGGGAAAACCATTAATGGGAGTACAAATCTGCACAAAGCAAACCCGTTGGCCAGTCAAGAATTACCCCCTTATTTCTCGGAGAGTCTAGCTTCGGGTCCGGCTTCGGATCGGGTGAGGGAAAAGCAAATCATTACATAAGGTCAAATGATCATAAAACTTGAGGCTAACCCTGGTGATCACGTATCCGGACATCTACCCCCTGGACATCCAACCCCTCCTCCCCCCCCCCCAGGATAACCACCCCCAGTCAACAACCCCTAGGACGACTACCCCCTAGGAAAACTACCCCCAGACAACTTCCCCTAGGACAATTACCCCTAGGACAACTACCCCCGGACTACTACCCTCTAGGATAGTTGTCCCGGGAGTAGTTTTCCTAGAGGATGGTTGTTGTAGGTGGTAGTTGTCTGGAGGTAGTTGTTCGGGGTGGGGGGGGGGGGGTGGTAGTTGTCCTAGGGGGTAGTTTTCCAGGGGGTAGTTGTCCTAGGGGGTAGTTGTCCCGGGGGATAGTCGTCCTAGGGGTGGTTGCCCTAGGGGTTAGGTGTCTTAGGGGGTAGTTGACTGGGGGTGGTTATCTGGGGGTGGATATCCAGGGGGTAGGTGTCCAAGAACCGTCTATCAACCTGTTGAATCAGTGAGTAAATATATTTCTAGTATAAAAAACAACGGCAAAGAAGGGGGAATATATTGAAATTTAAATATTGAGGGCATAAGAGTACATACCTACTAGAGGTGCCAATTGTTTCATTTTATTGCAATGTAAGCTTACACTGCACACCTAAAAGCTAAGGGTTTATGATCATGAATGATATTATTCATGTACCTTAGCATTTATATACATGTATATGTAAACGATTTCATGCAATTTAATGTACTTCATTATATTTACAGATTATATTTACTAGAATATAGTATACAAATAATGAATGGTTATGAGTTCATTAGTGCGAATATTTTCATGAGTTGAAAGATTAACGTTCTATTCAACGAGGCGTCAGCCGAGTTGAATAGAATTAACGTTAATCTTTCAACGAATGAAAATATTTGCACTATTGAACGAAAGAAAAACATTCATTATTTGTTTTATACAACATCAAAGAAGATCTAATAGAACGTTAATCAACAAATTATGCTTTACTCCTTATATTCAATAAAGTTGGAGTCAAGCCTTCTCGATTACATACATTCAGATTGCCTTCGCGTCAGATACACGCAGGGATACGCGCACCGCAGAGAGGTACGCAGTCTGCATATTACCAAAAATGCACTCTGCATATAACCAAAAATGCACGGTCGTGCAATATAACATCTATTGAATATCATGTGACCAACAATCTTCCAATCAAATGACAAGGATCCACGTAGGTGTTGTATAATATTCTCTATAATAACAAACTTACAAGTTTTATACTAGCGCCGATATATGTAATTGCATTGTAACCTTGGCAAATTTTAAGTGCATATAATTATGATTAAGGTATAAAATCTGTCTAAAGATTACAGCATAAATATGGAATATACAAACACCGTAAATTCGTACATTTCGATCCCTTTTCTCTTACAAATCACTTTTAAAGAGTACGTGTACTTCCTCTTGCTTCTGAAACGCTTCCAAAATCTTTTTAAAGTCCGCCCTGTACCCTTTTAAGCTCGGGTTTCAAGGAAGTGAAATGCAGCTCCTTTAAAGGGATATCATCTCAGATTCTCAGGAGCTTGCTAAGGACTCGCCACATAGCATCATAAATTTGAGAGTGATGACAAGGAGTGTGACCAGAATACCGAGAAAGAAGATCCGGTCAAGAATTTGAGCAAGCACCTCAAAATCTTGCTCCATATCAGGCATCTGAAAGAGGAAATATGATAGAATTCTTACTTTTTCTTTATTTTATTGTAAGTATGACCATTCTAGCTGTTAAATGTCCAATTTCAGTTCCATAGGCAATGGGATAATATACACACTCCCCACAAAGTATTGCAAACAACTATGATCTATTTACAGGTACACGACACAGCCAAAGACTTACCAATGCGGGAAAACAAAAACAGAATGAGAGACAACAGATCATCAGATTATCACATTATTTTTTCGGCAGAAGATAAAAGATAAAACAACCAGGAAAAAACCCATCACACCCTACTTGTGACTAATTTGAAAATCATTCTTTCAATTTAATTTTCCAACCTTTGTAGCAAACTTGTCTAGAATAAAGCAGAAAAATCAGACTACCTTAGCACCAATTTCTCTCATCTGAACAATGTTACCAGGTCCCTTTAATATTGGTCCGATTAATTTCAAACTTTCGCCATTCTGTTTTCTCAATTTTTTTTGCTTTCATTCAAATGAACTTATTAGAAGAGTTGGATTGCCCTTTAAACTTGACAACTACATTATCAAATTCTGACAACATATTTCTTAGAAGTAGTTTCTAATAAATCATACCTCAGATTGTGGTTGCTGACCAATTCGGGTCCAATTTGAGGTTAGCGTTTTCACCCATGCAACTCGTAAATCGCCAAGGCTCTCAGTAGACAGTGCTTTTTCTGAAACAAAAATAACAAGCAGAATCATATAAACAAAATGATAAAGATAGGCCTACATTATTCCGTCATCAAATTTGCATCAAATAATCAGCGACAGTCACTCCGTCAGGGACAGTTGAGTTCGGGCATCACGACATAGTATACACACGTTTTTCCTTTTTTTTCTCTAACAATAAATCGTTATTTTTTATGGTCCGCATGTACAAAGAATTCACGTTTTTCCGTCTTTATAAAAATATATTTTCAATTAATCTCGAAACCGACAACACTATCATTTTTTACGCATTTAACTTTGACGAACGATTCGCCGTTTATATCATTCTTTACCATAAGCGCACGGGCACAATTTCGCCAGGGGACAGATGCGTTGTGCCTAAATTCCAATTTTCTGGTTTACACTCATACGCGAGTACGTGTAATTTTGAATTTATATTTCTTATATATTTCCTAATTTCAAAAGAATAGGCCTACCATAATAATCTAAAAATACATATTCGGTACACCCAAGAATTTTGAAAATACCTGTAGTCTATTCGGGCAACAGGCTGGTCATATTCTAGCAGACTGATTGTCTGTTTTTAATGGTTAATAATTAACAAAAATTGTATTATACATAATTTTTTTTTTTTTTACGAAATTAAATTTTCACGACAAAAAGTGTCAAAACGTTGATATCGTGGAAGAGATATCACCATTGGCCAAACGGTACACATACGCCTATCCATCACATGTGCAAGGTTTATGAAGACAGTGTCAACATTTAAGCCGAACTTGCCTGCATTTCTATCCTTCATCTCCAGATCTCCAACTTTGCAGCTTTCATTGGGATTCGAACCCGGGGCCTTCTTCTTGCCACATCCAACACCACCAACAAGGAACCAGGGTCCAACGTACTCGAAGAAGAGGCTCCTGAAGAACTTGTTCTGGATGTTGCCTTTTCGATGACTGATGTTGATAACGATAGCCGACATGATAGCCACGACTATGGTGATAATAAAGCACTCACTAACGTATGATATGACCGGGGCCGTTTTACCTGTGAATTAGTGAATTAGTGAATCAGTGAAAAGGGGTCAATATTTTAAATAAATTTCGCCAAAGTTCACGTCACTGTTATGACTACTGCGAAATCGGCCCGTAAATAACACTGAGTAGTGGGGGAGGGGGGGGGGGGGGGGTAGAGTAACGTAGCAATGATCCGCCTTACCCACTCTGAGAATGTGTATCATGTTGATTTAACTACACGGAACTTCTAATAAGCTGTCAGTAGAATAAAAATTCTGACTACCCTACGCACTAAAAACTTCATTTTCTCTCTTATGGCAGAGGAATACCATAGAAAGAGTTAATGGTATTTACTCATATTTATTCATATATTACATCGGTTCGAATCAACCTAAATATGTACCTCTAGAGCTCTTGGGCAGGTTGTCTGTAATGACGATCTGGAACACCGTCAGACCAAGAACTAGAGAGACGGCTGCCGAGAGGCGCTCTCCACTTTTGGCGGGAATGATAAAAATGAATATCGATAACCAGCTGAGGAAAGTTATCGGTAATGTCACGTTCTGAACGTAGAATTTCGGCAGTCTTTCGAGCTTGAAAACCAGTCCCATGATCTCATAAGTGACGTTGTCAAGTAGAGTGATGTAATCAGAACGTGTTGAGGAGCCTATGACGTTGTATTCGGCGCTCACGTTTGGGTTAGCGATTACGATTTCGGTTGTGTCTAATTTCACCAAGTGGATGGGTGTATTCTGCGTAGTGAATTCGAGCCTATAATACAGAAAGATAAACAGACAGTCGAACTAGCAAAACAACATACAAACGGACAGTGAAATATAAACAAAACAACAATTAGATCGAAGACTTATACACTATTTAATCTTTAAAAAAAGTATTGTCGTCTAAAGTTCCATGACTTCGTTTCAATTTCTTAATAGGTCATGGTAGTATGGGGCCTATCACTTGAAACAGTTAGTTTCCAAATTAATTTTAGTTTTAGAAAGCCTTATCCTAAAATGCGAATCTTTGACAAGGTAGGGATTGGGATACGTTTGATTCTTGCCTCTAGAATCTTTCACTCAACACAAGTTCTGTGAATAGTGAATGCGTCTCTTAAATCTAATATACCACAAAAACTCGATAACGAAAGATTGACCAAACAGCCATTTCATTACCATATTTGATATCCCATAGAAATAATGTTCAATGTAATAATGTCATACGTCGTTATAATGTTTTCGGATTTCAAGAGATATCGATGGTGCTGGACAAGGCAATCAAAATTGTCTGAGGATGATTTTTTTTTAGTTCCTACGATCATGCTCAAAACCCTCTATTTTTAAGAGTTCCTTTTATTTGCTTTAATAAAAAAACCTTCAAACATAATGATTAAGTTTCCATCTCAACTAGTGCAATTTAGTTCATAACAAATTGACTTTGGTTGGCAATTTAGCAGTACAGCCGCCTTGCTGCGCTAATTGACGACTGGATGGAGGGATAATAATGGTTCATGGTGATGTGCATTTTCAATGAAGTTAATGCGCATCTCTCAAGCCTAGCATATTTATTGAGTGCATTATTTATCGACAAAGGTTTCGAGGCGGTAAATGCGTTTCCTCACCATCTAAAATGTTATGTGTAGACGAATTGACATGGCAATACATTTTAAATATCAAGCTTCTATAAATGCACGGTATGTGCACAGAAAATTAATCAGTAAATGAGGAAAATAATCTAGCGGTGGAGAGGCAAAAGAACCTTGACAAAAAATACTGAATTTAAAGAAAATTGATGAATATAGTTAATTTAGAAATCTATTCCCCGATCGACGCATGGAAAGCAATTAATAATTACCACCCCCTGCATGGGACTTCACTGGCGTACTGGTGGGGGTGCTTGGGGGGGCTTCAGCCCCCCCAAATAAAATTGAACCACGACTTTTTTTCACAAGTGATGTATATGTTCGTGATATCACATGATTTTCAACAAAATGCTAGTTTTTCCATTAATTCTTGCAAACTGACCCATTCCCCCAAAAAGCCAGGAAGAGCTTATGTTTTTATTGTCACTAAGGGCCTTATAGTGGCCACCAACAGTAACACTGGTAAAAAAATCCTTTCCAGAAGCTTTGTGCAAAGCACTGCCGGGAGATAACATGCTACCTACCACTCGGGCTGAGCGTGCACAGATTTGCGAACGAGCGTTCCATACTTACATCATGTAACACTGCACATATAGTGGGGGAAATTGAATTCAGACAAGATTAAGAGTAGAGAACGGTACAACGAATCGTCTTCTTTCTCTAATAATTTAATGAAACGGCAAAGCCTTCCGCGCTTTGCACGGGAGGGGGGGGGGGGAATTGAATTCAGACTAGGATTAAGAGTCGAGAACGGTTTTGATGAAACGCGAAAATGATTTCAGACAAGGATTAAGAGTAATAATTAAATAAAACGACAAAGCTTCCGCGCTTCGCGTGGGAGGGGGAAAACTGAATTCAGACAAATACACGATAAAATGAATCGTCTTCTTTCTCTATAAATTTAATGAAACGTGATAGCTTCCGCGCTTCGCGCAGGATGGGCGAAAATGAATTCAGACAAGGGTTAAGAGTAATAATTTATTGAAAGACAAAGTTTCCGCATTTCGCGCGGGAGGGCCGGGGACTGATTTCAGACAAGGATTAAGAGTCGAGACCGGTACAACGGATCGTCTTCTTGCTCTAATAATTAAATGAAACGTGAAAGCTTCAGCGCTTCGCGCGGGATGGACGAAAATGAATTCAGACAAGGATTAAGAGTAATAATTTATTGAAACGTCAAAGCTTATGCGCTTCGCGCGGGAGGGGGGGGGGAACTGAATTCAGACAAGGATTAAGAGTCGGGGTTGGAACAATGAATCGTCTTCTTTCTCTAATTATTAAATGAAACGTCATAGCTTCCACGCTTTGCGCAGGAGGGGCGAACCATGAATTAAGAGTCAAGAACGGTACAACGGATCGTCTTCCATCTCTAATAATATAATGAAGTGTCAAAGCTTCCGCGGGAGGGGGGGGGGAACTTAAAAAATTAATTAGTTCCTGGCCTCGGGTTTATGGGGTTAAAATTGTAGGCATTTGGACATTGGCATTTTTATATTTGTTGGTAATTGGTGGCTCGTTTTGTCGGTAATCGGTGGCCTCTACACCCTTCCCCCCTCCCCCACTGAAAAAAATCTAGCCGCGCCCCCGATAACGACACAGTTTATACACTCAGTATAATTTTTGCAAGTACTACAGTCAAGTACCGGCATCAAAGCATAATCTATACAACGTCTCACGACGTGTCAGATCACTTTTCTCTAACTTCTAACGAATCCCCTCCCGCGCAAAGCGCGGAAGCTTTGCCGTTTCATTAAATTATTAAAGAAAGAAGACGATTCGTTGTACCGGTCTCTACTCTTAATCTTGTCTGAATTCAAGAAGGCCTCTTTTTTTCCAGGAAGTGCCGGTGGACATTAATGCGCCAAATGTGGTTCTCAAATTGCAATAGATCCCTACTCTTGGAAGGGGTAGGAGAAAGCAATTTTACGTCATATTATATTACTCCAGGAAGCAGGGGCGTCGCCAAGGGGGGGGGGGTGTCGCACCCAGGATATTGTCGGTAAAATTGCGCTGCCGTCGGAAAAAAGAGAAAAGGGGGAGGGAAAAAAAGAGAGGGGAAAAAAAAGAGAGGGAAAAAAGAGAGGGAAAGGGGAAAGAAAAGAAGAAAAAAAAGGAAAAGAAAAGAAAGAAAGGAAAAGAAAGGAAAGAAAAGAGAAGAAAGAAAGAGAAAAAAGAAAAAGAGGGAGGAGAGGAAAGAAAGGAAAAGAAAGAAAAAAGAAGAAAAAAAAATGAAAGGGAAACAAACGAAACGGGAGATGAAAGAGAGGAGAGAGAAGGGAGGTAAGAGTCTGAGAGAGGAGGAGCGGGAGTAAAAGAGAGAAGGGAGTTGTTGGGTGGAGTCGTCTCGTCGAGGGAGCAAGAAAGAAACGGGTAAATATGTTGCTGTGTTGGGTCAGCTGTGTCGGTATTCTTGATCGATCCTCGTGTACTATATCAATGCAGAAGTTTGAAGTCGGTGAGATGTACACTGTTGCTCATAACGGTGGAATATTTTTTTTTATCCCAATTTATGGAATTATTTTAAAAATAATTTAAAAATACTAGATCTAGATAATAGTATACAGTCTCAGATTTTATTGAATAATAATTTGCCAATATGTGTTTTGCGTGACTGCTAAAGCATGTATATTATGCTACTATGTTTATCAACTAGGGGACCTATGCCCTTAAGTCATAAATGACAGTAATGAGGATTAATGCCTCACAAAAGGGCACTAATATAGCACATCGACACGGTGTTGATCCTGGGGCCTCACAGTTACGAGGCCATTGCTTTGTCACTGAACCATGACTGTACGTAGCGGGGGCTAGGGTAGGGGGCAGTTTCCATAAATTAAAAAAATAAACAGAAAATGCAATAAATATTCAATAATTTATTGGATTTTACCCCGGTCCCAAACATTAAAAAATCCTCCGGACGGCCATGCATTATGGCTCAATGCATGGGCACACAGAAGATTTTTTAATGTTGGGGACCGGGGTAGAATGCAATAAATTATTGAAAATTTATTGCATTTTCTGTTTTTTTTTAATTTATGGAAACTGCCCCCTACCCTAGCCCCTGCTACGTACAGTCCTGGTTCAGTGACAAAGCAATGGCCTCGTAACTGTGAGGCCCCAGGATCAACACCGTGTCGATGTGCTATATTAGTGCCCTTTTGTGAGGCATTAATCCTCATTACTGTCATTTATGACTTAAGGGCATAGGTCCCCTAGTTGATAAACATAGTAGCATAACAGACATGCTTTAGCAGTCACGCAAAACACATATTGGCAAATTATTATTCAATAAAATCTGAGACTGTATACTATTATCTAGATCTAGTATTTTTAAATTATTTTTAAAATAATTCCATAAATTGGGATAAAAAAAAATATTCCACCGTTATGAGCAACAGTGTATATTGTCGGTCGGCCGACAAGTTTTTTTTCCCTACGAACTGTGTCTTCTTATCCGCTGTGACGACTTCGAGAGTGACTACAACTACAATACTTGTTTTTGCTCGAAGTTTCACTTTTCTATAATATCAGCTAAAGAAATCAGAGGTTTAAAATTTTCGGGAAAACTAATTTCAAACAAGGTTTAAGAGTCAACAACGGTACGACGAACCGTCTTCCTTTCTATATATTGTGATGAAACGCCAAAAATTCCGTGCTTCGCGCGGAAGGAAAACTTCATTTAGTCGAGTCGAGAACGGTACAACCATCGTCTTCTTTCTCTAATAATTTAAGGAAACGTCAAAGCTTCCGCGCTTCGCGCGAGAGGGAAAACTGAGTTCAGACAAAATTAATAGGGCTTATTTAGAGTCGAAAACGGTACAACGAATCGTGTTCTTTCTCTAATGATATGAGGAAACGTCAAAGCTTTCGCACTTTGCGCGAGAGGGGGGAAACTGAATACAGAAGAATAGGGCTTATTAAGAGTCGAAAACGGTACGACGAATCGTCTTCTTTCTCTAATAATTTTAATGAAACGTCAAAACTTCCGCGCTTCGCGCGGGAGGGGGAAGCTTCATTTAGATAAGGATTAAGAGTCGAAAACAGTACACCGAATCGTCTGCTTTTTCTCATAATTTAATGAAACGTGAAAGAGGGGGGTGGGGGATGGGAGGGGGTGGGGGAACTTTATTCAGCCAAGGATTACTAGTCGAAAACGGTACAATTAATCGTCTTCTTTTCCTTATAATTATAAAAGGAAACGTCTAAGCTTCCGCGATTCGCGCAGGAGGCCCATCACCCACACCCCCTAATGAGCGCGCTTTTAAGTGATTCTCTTGCTCACTACCGCCCCTCCCTAAAATAAGATCCTAGCTCCGCGCCTGCATTAAAATATATAGCTATGATGCTGACTAAATTGAAGAAATAATACGTATATTTATGTCTTCGAGGAAAATGACCATTTCGCGCATATGCAAGTACTATAGATAGTCCATATGAATTTTTGTTTAAGCTTCGGCCCCGGGTTTATAGGGTTATTTGTAGATATTGAATATTTGTCGGTAATTGGTGGCTAGTTTTGTCGGTAATCGGTGGCCTCTACATCCCCCCCCCCCCCCACTAAAAAAGGTCTAGCGACGCCCCTGCCAGGAAGTGCCTGAAAATACGTCTAATTTGGTTTTAAAATTGCAAACGCTTCTTACTCTGGGAGGGGGCCAGAACCCCCTCCCAGACCCACCCCCTGCTTGGTCACTCCACTCCCTCGCCGTTAAAGCCTCGTTCTGTTGCTTCATCGTTTTACATTTCAACCCTTGCCATTTTGTGCCCCCCCCCCCGTAAGAAATTCCTGGATCCGCCACTGATGCCCATACCCCTTGAGCTTAGGGGCTCCGCCCCTTGACCCCCGCCGGGCTTTGCCACTAGACCCAATTTCGAGAAACGTTCAGCAGGGACTGCATGTTAGAGTGGGGGTGATTTGGATTTTTTTTGTCAGCCCCCCCCCCAAACGTTTTTGCTCATTACGCCACTGAGGGACTTGGTAACATTTTTCAGATGAGAGAAAGTGGTGCTAAGGTAGTGACTTCAATGCTCAATGTACAATTAAAGATAATCTGAACATTTGAGTGAAAACGGATCGTTATTAATGATACAAATTGGGGAAAACTGATCTGATCGATTCCTTAATTATCCCAACTATATTATTACAACCTAATTACATTTTAGGTGAATGTAAATCGACACAAGGCAATAAATTGGCTCTACATACCATTCCAGACATTTAAGTGTTGAAAGATTTTCAATAGCCTGTTTTATGTCTTTTTTCATGGAAAAACGGTTGGGAAAATTTAATAATGTTTGGGAGTATTTACTGTTAATCACTGTTACTGTTAGAGGGTGTTGCACGGTGACGCCTTTAAAGAAAACCATAGATATCTTTGTGGTTTGAGAATTTGTTCAGGATTTTTTTCATATCAGAGGGTTAGTATCGTAGAAGGAATACAATAAGTAACATTTTATACAAAAAATAAGCAATTTTTTTCATCAACCTTCAACAATGTTAACGAGTCATTTTAATGTCCACTCCAAAAAAATCACTTTCAATAGAAGTAGACAAATCAGACAATTCAATCAAAAAAAATTTGAGCAAAATCGAATATCTAATAAGAAAGTTGTGAATTTTTGAAAAAGTCTGTAAAACTATGGAACAATGAAAATCACAAGACAAATTGGAAATTTACTCATGAGTCTGTGACGTCATGTCCCCACTATCTACTAATTGTTTTCTTTATATTGATAATATAAATTTCCTATTTTCCCGCTAAGAATTTAATTTCTTCACACCAGCATTCAAGTTAGATTGATAGTAATATGTTTTTGTGTGGATGCACTAATATAGAGTAATTTTCAGTTAAATCATGAAAAATTTGACTTTTGATAGACAATTTAGATAAAATCAATATTTATGAATATACATTATTCAGAAAAAAGTATACATGCTTCAAAGTTCATAAAAGATTTTGTGCAATGTCATGCACGCAATATGATTCAAATAACCTGGGCAAAGGCATGGGGAAATCAAGTTTTTGGGGATAAAAAGAGAAATTAATGGGATTAAACTGTTTAAAAACAATTGATAAATAGTGAGGACATGACGTCACAAACTGATAACCAAATTGGCAATTTGTGTAGTGATTTCCATTATTCTATAGTTTTACAACTTTATCAACAATTCATAACTTTCTTGTTAGTTATCCGATTTTGCTCAAAATTCTTTTGATTGGTTTGTCTGATTTTTCTGCTTCTATTGAAAGTAATTTATTTTTGGAGTGGACTTGTACTTTAAGGCCGCATTACAACATTACGTATATTGCTTTCATTAATTCCGACTTCTTTGATGACAATATTAAGGTAAAACTATTGACTGCTGCTGCTACTAGTACTACTACTACTGCTACTACTACTACTACTAATATTATTACTACTACTACTACTACTACTACTACTACTACTACAACTACCACTAATATTACTACTACTACTTCTACTACTACTACTACTACTACTACTACTACTACTACTACCGCTAAAACTACTACTACTACTACTACTACTATTAATACTAATATTACTACTACTACTACTACTACTACTACTACTACAACTACCACTAATATTACTACTACTACTTCTACTACTACTACTACTACTACTACCGCTAAAACTACTACTACTACTACTACTACTACTACTACTACTACTACTACTATTAATACTAATATTACTACTACTACTACTACTACTACTACTACTACTACTACTACTACAACTACCACTAATATTACTACTACTACTACTACTACTACTACTACTACTACTACAACTACCACTAATATTACTACTTCTACTTCTACTACTACTACTACTACTACTACTACTACTATACTACCGCTAATATTACTACTACTACTACTACTACCGCTAAAACTACTACTACTACTACTACTACTACTACTACTACTACAACTACCACTAATATTACTACTACTACTTCTACTACTACTACTACTACTACTACTACTACTATACTACCGCTAATATTACTACTACTACTACTACTACTACTACTACTACCGCTAAAACTACTACTACTACTACTACTACTACTACTACTACTATTACTACTAATATTACTACTACTACTACTACTACTACTACTACTCCTACAACTACCACTAATATTACTACTTCTACTTCTACTACTACTACTACTACTAGTACCGCTAAAACTACTACTAGTACTACTACTACTACTACTACTACTACTACTGCTACTACTACTACTACTACTAATATTACTACTACTACTTCTACTACTACTACTACTACTACTACTACAACTACAACTACCACTAATATTGCTACTACTACTTCTACTACTAAAACTACTACTACTTATACTGTTACTACTATAGCTACTTCTACTACTTTTACTACTACTACTACTAATAATAATAATAATAATGATAATGCTAATGCTAATGCTAATTGTACTGTTACAAATACTTCAACTAATGATGATGATGAGAATAATAATGATAACAGTTGCATTTATGTAACGCTTAATACTAATGTTTCCAAGTGATCTATCATTGAATAAGTCATGTATGTATAGTTATTACACAATGGACCCTTCTTCATAAGATAAATCCGACGAAACTTTACCCGCATTCCTGCACGTCAAATGGAAACTTCTGAAGATCTAAGTCACATGATGTATGATGTAACAATGGTGATTCTAGATGTACATGTCCGTCATAGCTGATATACGTTTGACTGACGTCATGTTTAATAGGGTTCACCGGCTCGTCAAGAACACTAGGAATATCATTCAAAACACAGAAATAACAAGTTTACAGCAAAATATTTGGAATTTTGATTAAAAGGATATTTATGAAGGTCTGATAATAAATGTCCCCGGTAACAATTTATGAAGAAACCTCATCAGCATCATTGCTGATCTTCCTAGTGGCCCTTATTATTGCCATATACAATGTGAGTCCAAAAAAAAGTTTACACCTAGAAAATTGCTAATTATTTTTTTTTTAATCTATGAACACTAAATTTGTATACATCTTATGAAAAAGCGTTTTATCCCGAATCATTTAGTATAATTTTGTGTGGATGTGTTCACCCTTGGATGAACAGGAGGCATTGTTTGCGAGAGTGCAAAAATCGATTTGCGCCAAAGTTACTTATGTGATGTTTGAATAAAACAATTGGGATTTGGGTATCAATTCAGTCTTTGCAAATCAAAATAACATCCCTAACAAAATTAAAATCATGCCACACATATCAAATATTAAATGTCAACGAACATGTGTGCGCGCGTATGTGCGTGTGTGTGTGTGTGTGTGTGTGTTACTTTGCTTCTGCAAAATGCATATAATAATAATAATAATACATGAGATTTATATAGCGCCATTATCCATTTTAATTAAATGCTCAAGGCATTTCATTTGATACATTCAATTCATTCTGTCACTCCGCTAATCCCAACATATTAGATTAGAAAGAACGATTAGATCACCACCTCCACTCTGGCACAGGCCTCAATGAAAATCATCATAGTTATTGAAAATTCAATTTGACCGTGACTGCAATTTATGTTACATTACAACAATAATGAAGTTAATAAAATATATCGATATTCATGCGTCTACCTACAAATTATAGCCTTTACACAAAATAGATTTGTTGAATACCTTTTTAAACCACACGAAGATGGCTAATAACCATGCATCTTTCGCATATAATATGTTAACGTTTTTTTTAATGATTTAAGGGAAATCCAACCTTGATAGCAAACTTGTCTAGAATAAAGCAGAAAAATCAGAAAAGCATACTGATGAAAGTGTTAATGAAATCGGATTTTTTAAAATAGAAAGTTACACTTTTTTGAAAGTTGCAATTACTATAGGTATGGGCTCTTCAAATTTGCTGAATTGATAATGTCCATGTGATGTAGTGGCGTACAACTATCCTATTTGCTCCAATACACAAGGACTAAAATTTCAAATTTTCATAAATGTGTGACTCTGGGTGGTCTGTTCTTTTTAGAGGACCTATATTTGTAACAATTTACTCTCCATGATATTTTGACTAGTGCCCCGAGGGTAAAGGCACTTGGACGAAAAACAAAAATAAGTGATATTTTTGTACGCGACAAACGGGAGAGTAATCCGTCCCTACGTCACAATCTATTGATAAAATTGCCGATATGAGATTCACACAGCTGTAGTGATCTCATTATTCAAACACTCATAACTTTCTTAATATTGGTCCGATTTATTTCAAACTTTCGCCATTCTGTTTCTCTTATGTTTCTGCTTTCATTCAAATCAACTTATTAGAAGGGTTGGGTTGCCCTTTAATAATTAATTGCAGAATAGTAAAGAAAACCAGTAAAAGGGTTTGTGGAGAGGCAAATATGAATTGTGAGTATTATGGAATTTCTTTTAGTTGTTCCTCTAATTTCCATGATTTCTTTTTCGTTTTTATAGTTATAGAAATTTTTTAAAATACAACAGGTAGGGGACTACATAAACAACATTCATGTTGATTTGAATAAACATGTTACGAAATTGACTGCCCATTCGCAAATTTGAATGCTCGAGATCACCTTCCGGCAAATGTCGACGAATCTGAATGGATCTTGGCACACTTGCTAGACGGAATGAATTTGAAGGATAAAAGTGCAAAATCCCGTGACCGATACTCTCAATTTAATGACTGAAGTACATTTTTGAATGACAGCCTCCGCCGAAATTAAACGTTTTATAAGATGCGATGAAAAAAGGAGCAAAATTGGCTGGGAAAACCTATATCAATTAAAAAAAAATGAACAATGAACGTCATAATTTTGATTAATCATCTCTACTATCTTCCATCACCTGATAGTGTTAGTTTTTAATCAGATTAGTTGAAAGCTGCCATGATTAGAAATTAATTAGTAGAGCTTTCAGAAATGTCAACGATCCGTGCGAGCAGAAAACCCGCATATTATGTCTGACGGACAAACGAAACTATAGTAGGGCGAACGGCGCGGTCACACCGGCCATCCATTATAACCATCATTACATCCCAATGATCCCACTTATAATCACGCGGTGAATTAAAGCCTATCCTATTAATGGGGAATGCCTCTGATTGCCTCGGCGCTATCTCAATTAGATCGGCTTAGAGCAAACATGGTTCATATTTTGTTCATTCAGTCGATTTTTGCACCCTTGCAAACAAATGCCTCCTGTTCATTCAAGGGTGAACACATACCACACAAAAATGATACCAAATGATCTGGGTTAAAACACGCTTTCATAAGATGTATAATAATTTACTATTCATATATGATCTTTAAAAATAATTAGCAATTTTGTAGGTGTAAACTCTTTTTGATTCACACGGTAGTGGCTTCGCTATATTAACGGACCTATTATTATTATGTTATAGTATTTTGTTTATTCAAATTTAAGAACTATATTGGAAATCGCCTTCATTCCTATATTGCCCTAGCCTATTCGTGCATTCGAATGCCGCAATGGCAGCACAGCTAAAGCCGGGGTAATAATCTCCAAGTTTGGAAGCGCTTAGTGATTCTAATAAGCGCTATATAAAAACTGAGTATTAATATTATTATTATTCGGGAAATATACAATCATATCACTTTTAGAAAAAAATATATGTGTAGGCTGTTTTGAAGAAGAGAAAAGAAAAACATTCAAATAAAGTAGATTATCCTTTGACATATTCACAAAATAAAGATGCGATTTATAATAATGATTTTAGCAATAATGATAAGAATGGTAATAAAACAATAATAACAATAATATATAATAATGATAATAATATTAATAATATCATTACTATAACAATAAAGATTAAAAAAATAATACTAATACTACTAATGATGATAATGATAACAATAGTATACTGATGATGATAATAATAATAAGAATTATAGTAATAATAGTAATAATAATAATAACAAGAATGATGATAAAACTACTAATAATAATAATATTAGTAATGATTATAATAATAATAACAATAACGATTATATTAATACTAATACTACTGCTACTACTAATAATAATGATAATAATAGTATCTATAGTGATGATTTTAATAATAATAATAATAATTATAAAAATAAAAGTAATAATGATAACAATTATTATATGAATAAGAATGATAATAGTAATAATAATAACAATGATAATAAGACAAATATTGATTATACTACTTATAATGATAATATTAATGATAATAAAAAACAACAACAATTATTATAGTGGTTCTTGTATAGTGCTCGTGTCTGTCAGACTTGACACTCCTGGCGCTCTACAGTTATCATAATAACCATGACATGAAAATGTGTAAAACGCAGTTTGATATAACTGCGTATTTAAGAAGAAGTTATAAAATAAAGAATTACTTTTTATATTTTATCTTAGAAATTTGTACATAGGTCTAGCCTTACATCCAGTTGTTTCTATCTGTTATTTTCTGTATTTCAATACTTCCCTAAAAGAAAACTGACATGAGCGTGGAAATTTATATGCTACATTAATTACGCTAATCCCGACTAATAAATTTTAATTACTTATCTCCTTGTATAGGAAATCTATGTTCGGAATCAAGGGCATGCACAGGTAATTCTGTCACAGTAATACTTACGTGTTTTGAAGGTATAATTTTGGTGACCATGTTTGATCGATGTTGACAGTAAAAGATCCTATGCCAGCATAGTCCTTAGGATCCCAAGTCAGCCTATCATCGTACCAGTCCTAGTAGGAGAAAACATGAAGTGCGAATGATATATTCCCCTGGCGTAGCCATGGGAAGCACGGGGCAAGTGCCCCAAAATTTATTGCAAAAGAAAATAGAATGACAGGAAGAGAAAGGGAGAATAAGATGACAGTATCCGCTCTCAGACCCCCTCCTCCCGACCCCGCTGTGCCCTCCCCCCACACACAGCTGAACCCGCTCCCTCCTCGCACTTTATATCAATCCAATAAGATAAAAGCAGAAAGGCGAACCCCCTGAACCCCCTTCTTTCTTCCATCTTGAGCTCCTGAACACTTACCACGAGAAACCAAGATATTCCAGACAATATCTGAGTCCGGGCGTTCTGAAGAAATACAGACAAAAAGAAAGAAATATTACTTCGATCTGTGTAATGACTGCAATTTCCTTCATTAAGACATCTCCCCTTTCTTTAGAAGAAGACTTATTTTAAACAAAAATAGATTTCCATTTCATAATGGCAAGTTATTGTATTATGTAGTAGTGTCTGTAGGATACCCTACCTTTAAGTAGTAATTTGAATCGAAGGACTAAGCGTTTCAGAGAAGAATCTCTTATACATACATTAATTTTGTTTACACTGTTAATTGCAAAATGAAACAATATAAGGTTTCGTATCAGCTGTTAATTGCAAAATGGAACAATATAAGGTTTCGCAACATCATTGATGAAATACATAGGAATTGTATAGAATTATCATAACATAGATATACTCACAAACTGTTGACGATTGTTTGATTAGTTTACTCTAAAATAAACACGATTACTAGTACTAGGGGCCTACAGTTTAAAAAACATCAGTCAATATGATAAATTATTTGAAAGACGATGGCAGGGTTTAAAGTATACAATTTAAAAATAATCTAATAGCCCTGATCCCTCGAATGCAGTTCATGAAATGGACATTTACGAGATCTGAAATTGCAATAAGATGAAGACTCAAGTTGAAGAGAACTGGTCCGCCATCTTGGACGAAAGGTCTTTCCCTGACGTCATATCCAGTATCCAGTAGATGACGTATGAGGCGCCCTTCTTCACCTTGATGACTGCCATTTCCTGTTCGCGTGTCAGCATCTAATAATACAATCATGGCATTAAAACGTAATAAGCAAATAGACAACTTCGACCAGCCAAAAACTCATAGGATATACATTCAAAATAGGAGAATGCAAACAATTAACTTCAAACAATGAGGATATTCGGGGCCAGAATGGAAGTGGAAAGTACTAATTAACCTTTCTAATTCATCAAGAATCCATGCCACCGAAGCTCATCAAAGCTCATTTCCCTCATTCACGTGAAATTTTAATGTAAATAAAGCCAAGGGTTATTGCTAAAAAATTGACCGACGTACTAAACTAATGAATGGCTAAATGGGATAGGCACAACCTAATCAAAGCTTAACACTAATAGGATCCACCCCGTTAAATCCTTCTCTGGTTTCTCCTTGTTAAGAACAGGCAATTATAATCTCTCGGCCTCGAAATAGGTGGATTGTAAAGGGAACAATTCGTCCCTATTTTCACGAAGTGACGGTAGTGAATGATAATCCCATACAATATGCGTGCGGATTTTCTTCACTACCGTCACTTCGTGAAAAACAGGAACGAATTATTGATGATTCAAATGGTATACAGGAGATATCAAAACATAAATGCCCGTTTTTATTTTCATCCTAGAAAGCTATTGTAAAATCAAAACAATCGTGTATTGGTCACACTTATAACACTATTTTCACCTCAGTCTGTTTCCGAAAAACGAAAATCTTTAAAAAACGTAATTACATGTACATATGTACCCGATATTTCTACATTGTCACATTTCGTGCAAATTAAGATCTGTCTTTTTCCCCCTTTTTTTAAACACAGATGAGCACTCTTTTTATCATATTAGATAATTGATTATTTTCATAAAAAATAATAAGTTGTATTTCATTTACTTAATTTGTTATATTTTTTTCACTTTCTTCTCTCTTTCTCCTTTTTTCTATTTACGGACACGATTTGGTCGAAATGGGTGACTTTCGTCTCTTGCTAGAATACCAACTTTCCAGATTCTAACCACTGATTTTAGGGTACATAACCTATATGAATATATATTAACCGTAGCGTTTGACACTTAAAAATAAAAAAAATACATAATTATAATAATATGTTTTATTTATTAACAAATATGCATCGAAGCCCAGGGGCTAAATTGTACAATGTTAATTTTTACAAAAAAATTGACATGATAAAGAAATACACTATATAAAATTATCATAATACAAGTAAACAGTATGCACTTGTAAATTATTCCTGAGTATAATACCAAGGAGCACATGCAAATACAAAAGTTATATAACAAGACATCATATACGATGATAATTTCCTAAAAGCGAAGTTTTACAATCTCCAAGGGCTGTAGCCCATAAATAACTCATAACCCTACTCACAATGTTTATCTCATTTCTTACTTGGTGTCTCCGTTTTGCCTCAATTATTCTCCCTCGTGCACATGCATGTACAGTATTGTCATTTTTCGATAATTTCGCTCAAAACACATATTCACTTTTTTAAACCTTTCATTAATTCAATTCAATTCAATTCAAATAAACATTTATTTTTTTCCATTTAATTTGATAACATATTCGACATCTGTTCAAACAATACAATTTATACCACCGCATACATGATGTAAGATAAAAGATCCACAAATCATTTATGAAAACCAACGAAATTGATACTACAGGCAAAATAATCATTTTACTCACCACCGCATACATGATGTAAGATAACAGATCCACAAATCAAAAAGACGAACAGTTTATCCATGATGAAGAATGAATCGCCGATATTCTGATAGTTTTAGAAAGAAATGAACATTGATTCCACTGATGAGGTTCCTAGTCGTAATGTTTCCGTAGCTGCTAAAGATTAGTAAATGATATTAATGCAGGGCAAGATAAGGATGGATTACTTTGGAACAAGACCGTCGTTTTACGATGACTGCGCGCACGTAAAAACCCTAGAAAGGCATAGATAGACATATATATAAATTAGACAGGTAAATATTGGGTGGAAGAGGAACAATGTATTACGTGCCAATAAATGCGTGCGCATGCTGACGTATTTTACCACTTAGTTTGGGCATATAATTATGCACATTAAAGGGAAAGTTGAGTTTTGTTGCAGAGGGCGCTACACAAAATATTTTTTTGTGAGATAATGAAAAACTGAGTGTCGAATTTGAAAGAATATACAATCTAAATGACAACATCATCTTTGTTTGATCTAAAACGCCTCAGAGACAGCTGAAATATCCATAAATATAAACCATTTCTAATTATGTGGTGCCCCACAAAATATTCGGTAATTTTGAGTCAGCCGTTGAAAACGAGTTAGCGCCTTATACGTTTTATTCCAGCCAATGCCAATATTGGCTTTTTGTTGGCTTGTTCGTGTTGGTAACATAGGCGGCGCTCCGGGGGGGGGGGGGGGTAGGGGGCACAATGCCCTCCACACTTTTTCAAGTACCCCAAAAGTGCTCCTTCATTCATAGGAAAAGTGCCCCTTTTAATACTTTGCCAAGTGCCCCTATTAATTGTTTTAAATGCCCCTTCCCCTTTCCACCTCTGATAAGTGCCCCTTTTATTTTGACACGTATCCCTTTTCCTTTGAAAAGTTTCCATTTTCCTTTGCAATAAGTGTACATTTTCCATCCTCATAAGTGCCTTTGTTTAGTCTCTAGTAAGTTCTCTCTCTCTCTCTCTCTCTCTCACACACACACATACACACACACTTTCTCTCTCTATAAATAAATAAATATTCATGAAGCGCACTTTTCTAATTACTTACACAAGGCGCTATATACAAAACAAAATACAATTTTGTTATAGTATGTTTTTATTATATTTATATTTAATCGTATGATAATGGGCCCTTTTTACAAGCATTGCTTTTCAGGGGTCCATAGCCTGTCATCATGTTATAATTGTACCAGTACCAATGTGATTGTAAATTGTTTTTAATGATTGGCTGAATATATTGAATTAAATGTGACAGAACATTTTGTCTTCAAAACTATGATGAATTTAATATGAAAGATTATAAAACTAACTTCAACTAAAAATCTTTTCATATATTCCGTCCTGATGAATATTTAGAGTGAGTTTCACTTTCTGCCAATTTGCTTTCAGAATTGTTTTATCATTAAAGCCATCCTAGCCATATAACGTGTATCCACAATCTTACTCTGTTTTGCCGCATGATAGTAGAGCAATAATTAAAATCTATTTATCATATTTAATCAGTTATTGAAGTGTGAATTCGACTTGTTTTCCAATAAAGTGGTATTCAATAAACCTTGATACAAAGCTTATATATATTAATACTTATATGCTCTGCACCAAATATTGCCATATTGTAAGTGCTGAATATTATATGTACATGTATTCCATGTTGTGCTCGCTTGAATCTAATAAATGAGTGAAATATAGTCCCTTTTAAAGTGTCTTTAGTCTATCCGATCTGTGCCTATCCATGACATTATTGATATGATGAATAAGTTATACTGTATCACAATATTTAAAACTTAAATGTGAAAAGTGGTGCAAGTTAGTGTTGGGAGATACAGAGGGTCTGATATACAGATGCATGATGACATAGGGCTATATAGGCATTATAACAGTTAATTTAACACAGTCCCAGAACGATCGACCTGTTTACTAATGTAATGCATACATTTCAAACAAAAAGTTTCTCTTGACAACTCAAAATAATTGTCAGAGGCTTGTCCGACATAGAAACCACTAATGTAAACGAAGTAGATGTCATCCATAGAGAAACCATTATTTATAGAAGGTGAATGAGATGGATAGTAATCAGGGATTAGAAAGAGAAACATGCAGAAATTGAACAAACGAGGGGGGGGGGGGTGTTTCACAAAGATCTTAAGTTGATCTTACCTCTAATTTGGACTTGGAAATTATGGAAAGCCGTTAGCATCTTTAAAAATATTTTGTAAAAGTAATTTTTAAAGGAATAAAATGTTGATTCAAATCATCCATATTTTCTATTATCATGGGAGATTTTATGTTCTTGATGTAGATATTAATGAAAAGTCTAAAATACTTGAATTTTTCTTTTGAATATATTTCATTACGAGGCTTCAAATGGCTCTCCATAATTTTTAAGTCCAACTTACAGATAACTTCATCTTGGGATCTTTGTGAAGCGCCCCCTGCATGGTCTATCAACTCGTTAAATCTTTTGTGTAAATATTTTTAGTCAAAAAACAAAACGACAGCAAAGAAGGGGGAATATTTTGAAATTTAGATATGAGAGCATAAAAGAAAATACTTAGAGGTGCTAATTATTTTATTTTATTGCAATGTATGCTTACACTGCACACCTAAAAGCTAAGGGTTTATGATCATGAATGATATTATTCATATACCTTAGATAGATGGATAGATAAATGGTATTTTATTGCATCTTTCATGAATGGCAGTTTCACAACTGAATTGCACATTAATTACACGAATTGGATATATACATTGCAAAAATCTTACAGAACAGTTAGTTAAAATTATTTAAATGTGTCATGTTACTACTGCCTAAAATACCATAAACAATTGGCATTTATTGGCATTTACACGTATATGTAAACGATTTCATGCAATTTAATGTACTTTATTATATTTACAGATTAGATTTACTAGAATATATTATTCTTCATGTGTATATAATACCAGACTTATAATTGTCATACTAGCTCCGATATTTATACATGGTATAACTACCTTGGACATTTCTTACGTTTAAAATTCAGACAAAAAGCTGCTCAAAGATTACATCATAAATATGGAATATACAAACCCAATCATTTCTTTCATTTCGATTCCTTTTCTAATACCAGGGACTTTTAGATTGAGTGGACGAGAACGGCGTGAACGTCCACTGATCATGGGTGTCAACGTAGTCAACTGCCCCTGTTGACTACAGCCCGGGGGAGGGGGAGGGGGTACTCATTTTTGGTTTGGACGGGAGTATGCCGCTCAAGCCTCGAAACCCCTACCCATTATAA